AATTTTCATATTAATTTGGATATCTAATTAGCGATACATTTTCCATTATATGAGTAGTTTTCATATAGTCTCCTTGACCCCGATATTTGGATAAATATACGTGTACCGGTATGCTACATGTAGCTGTATTGGAACAACTACCGGTAGGTTTGAAAGCCGACATGAAACAAATATAATATCCCTGGAAACAATTTATGAGCATTAAAAAGGAGAACACGCACAATGAAATTTCACGCTTTTTATGACTCTATTTTTTTAAACATAGTCAACAGATAACTTCTCTGAAATCCAGACAATCTGCACTGCCAAGTGACTTGCGCGACAATGAATCGCAATCTAGGTTCCAGCCTCCATTTTCTTTTAATTCCGGCCGAGAAAAAAACCCAGGTGCCGTATTTCACTCTTCCTTTATTTTTTCTTCCGGAGGTCGCTTTGTTGGAAGATGGACTCGAGATATATGAGATTTGTGTTTGACGCAGCCATGATAGGGTGTCCATTCAATTAGCTTATTGGCTGAAAGGGAAAGACGAGACGGGCTTTGTGTTGGAACAGTCTCTCCTCATCGCGAGAGCGAAATCGGATTCTTTTCTATTTTTGATCTCTTGTCTGTATCTGTTCTAACCAGAACTGAGACACTTGATTTTGCATCTTTTTCTATAACTACAATGAATCCTTTAAAAAAAAAGACGGTGAACAGTTCTTGATAAGTTTCTTTAAACAAGTCCATGGGATGAATTTGTTTTTAAGAACACATTTGTTGTGCAACTTTCTACTCTTAAATGTATGAAAACGATTTAACATCCCTTTTTGGTTAATTGTTTTGAAAAGTACATGGTTTAAACATTCAAGAAAAATTCTGTGCTTTTCTGTTCAAATTGTGAACCCAAAAATTTGCTCATTGAAAACATCTTTGAGAACAGATTGCTCATTGGCTCACTGCCACGTACTGACACAACAATGAATCACCAAAGAAAAGGAAATTTACGACAGCAAAATATCCCAAATTACGCAACTTTTGATGCAGAAATAGAACCTTGATGTTTCTGCCTGAAATGATATCACATTTTGCTCACGGATATGGCATTTCGCATTAGCATAAAAACCAAAAAGGCACCAAAATACCCTTGAAAATGGGAAAACGAAAATTGAAATATAAGATTTAATGGGATACAAAGGTGCATTTTCAAGGATTGCATTAAAAAAATTATATTGCATGTGCCGTTTAATTTAAAAATCGTGATTCGGGTACATATATTTTTCTTTGGGTATACACTGTAATATTGAATGTAGGGAGAACTCTGATCTGTAAAAATGTAAATAATATACCTGATGATTGCTGATGATGGCAGACTTTTGAAAATCCAAAACAAAATGCAAATTGCACATCAGGCTTTATGAGGCTTCATCGGAAGACTGTTTATTATGCATGATACACAGAACGCGGTTCCTTGCTTCAAGATGTACTGTATGTAATGCTGGGAGATATTCCAACGCCACGGATGAATTACGATGTGGTTTTTATCCAACCTAAGAAAAAAGAAAATATAACAGTTTGACTGACTAGCTTAATGCTGGTCTGTGGCCAGCCAGGCACTGGCAGGTTGATTTTCTTCCTGCCTGGCTTCAGTAATTTTCCGCTCGTTGCAGCCCAGTAAATGAATCAGAGGAGAGCAATGCAGTCTTATTAAGGGAAGCCAGTATCTTTGAAATTCGAGCTTTGATTTCATTTGGTCCGAGTGAGTAGTTAATTTTTCCGCTGATAGGACGGCAAGCTATTTTTAGTTTTGTTGCATTTTTTTTTCTTCCGGTCGTGGAATGATTAGGGTAACTGAACTCTTTTTTTTGTTGCAGTCGTGGATTGTGTTTTAAATAGTTCCAGCTTCGAAACAAATACATTTTTGTGAAATACAATATGTAGAGAAACAACAGAGTGTTTTGGGGATGGGTTAATATATATGCGATTCTGAAACATACATGTAAGTGTGTCTGGATCGAGTGTTTTTCCACGTACATGTACGTATCATTAAAAAAATTCAAACTATTAAATTTACTGTACTGTATGTACATGAACATGTTTTACAGCAGACATTGAGTCATACATGTACTGGTACATTATAATATTTATAAAAGTAAAATAATGTGATCATCTAACTTTTGGATATTTAATTTCCCCAACTGTACCCTGTTGCCATGGTTCCTGGAAATTGTGCGTTGCACCGCATGTGGTGTTTGCTAACATGCATTGTACATGTATACATGTACATGTACATACTTTTTGACCTTTGGCTATTTACAAGTATTAGCAAATACTCTGCATGTTTGAGCAAACATGTACACGAATGTACTTCTACATTCCACATGTACATGTACAATGTACATGTACGTTCATGTCCATAATGTGCCATACACATGTACATGTACATGTATGTCCAAAATATGCCATACATGTCCATAATGTGCCATACACATGTACATGTACATGTACATGTATGTCCAAAATATGCCATACATGTACATGTCCATAATGTGCCATACACATGTACATGTACCGTATGTCCATAATATGCCATACATGTCCATAATTTGCCATGTCCATTTTGTGTACAATATATCGACCATACATTGTACATGTATGTATTCTTTGTGTTATTATTGCCTGTATAAAATTCAGGTGTGTTATGCATTAAACATACGTGTACCGGTATACCTGAACATGTACATAAAATGCTGCAGTGCACGTACTTTTGCCTGACTTACCATAATGCAATGCAATTTGGCAAACATTTGCGTACCTGGAAAATACACTGATTGGCACGGTGCCAAGAAAGTCTTGCGCTATATCGGCTATAAAAAAACCTGCCATATTGAACAGACTTTTGTAATTTACAAAAATGTATATTTGAGTAATTATTGAATTCAGATTGTGTACATCAGTGTGGCTTTATACTTTGTGTAAAATAACATACGTTTACATGTATCGTTATGTGTCCCATTTTCTATAACTCTTTTAAAGGGAGGGAAACATGTAGTTTTATTGCGTAAATACAAAATTATACACATGTACAAAATGTACATGTAAATCTGTTTGTTTAATTGTTTACTTTTTTACATTGTTTGTACATGTACCGTATGCATATCTGCAATATTGATTAAATTCATGTATGGAGAACGTAAGTGATGATTCATAAAATTGACGTTTGAAAAAGAAGCATTTTTCTTTTACAAAAGCAGTTTCCCCATAATGTACAAATGTACCGGTAGGTTTAACAGTTTCAAACCCCCACAAAAAGAAGTATTTTTCAAAAATCAAAAATTCACTAACCATTTAGGACAAAACATGTCAGCTCAAGAAATTGAAAACCTCATTTTCTACTTTTTTAATCATGTTCTCACGTCGGAAAGTCAATTTTTGCGGGTGGCCTAGATTCCCCAGGTCTTGTTTGTTCACCGTACTGCCCTGGTACACATACACTGATTAGGCCTACATCCTAGTTTTTCAGTTTTGTTTTACTATAAGTGCGCACATTTGATCTTAACAAGACCACCCCCAACTCCAATCAACAACCGCCGACCGACTGACTCCACGGGGCCCGAATGGCAGCCGTTCCTGTCACGCGAGATGGAAAACTGTTAATTGATATATCAGGTTCGCTGTTAATAAAATGTGGCAAGGGAACACTCGGGGCACTGATGGTTACATGAGTTCGAGGGGGAAGTGGAAAGAGGAAGGGGGGGGAGACTATGCGTTGCTGTTGAAAGGCAGGCACTGAAATGAACCTGTGCCGACCGTCACACGATTGATGCAAGATCGTCGAAGCATTAATGCTTTGGATTTCAGCCTCTACCACATTAATTGTGAGGCGTTCTGGAAAAATAAGACGGAACTGGGCACATGCCGTAGTGGACAAAATGCCAAGAAAAATGCAAAAATGCAAAATGCAAAAAAAAATGCAAAAATGCAACAACAAAAAAAGGGAAAAAAAAAACCACGAATGGGGGCGATTTTTGTTGATTTTCAGATTTAATAGTACATGTATTTGTAATCGTTGATCAATACGTGTACTACACATATTTTAAAGAAATAGTATAAAAATTGTGGACTTAAAGTGTTTTAAGGAAAAACAATTGGCATCTTTCATTTTCACGAATACAAAACTGGAAATTTTAAAGGCCTTTTTCTCAGTATTTAAAATTTTTTGTTGACATGTCGGTGAGTGTGAACTTTAAATTTTATACCCTTTCCCGATACCCACAAACCCTCATTTCGACCTCTGCCCGTTCCTGTCTCGTTTTGGCAGAATGCCTCGTAGATGTTCTCCGACACCACGAAATGGATGACAGAGATCAAAATAGCAGGACTTGATCAAATTGGATTGCCGGCTTATCTCCAGCGACCTGCTGTCAGATTGAATAATGAAGAATAATGGGATTGGAATAAAATTCGGATCGGCGCAATTTTATTTTTATTCGTGGACAATTTAGGAAAAGCTGCATCAGCGAATGATGAAGTCACATTATTCGGATGCTATCATCATACAGGTTGACATCTTAAATTGATATGATCTTGCCACGATATGGGATATGAATCAGAAATCGTGAAAACATCTGTCAAAGGTCAAAGAATATTGCAATGAGTAGACAAGGCAACCCTCGTAGAGCTGGTCACAGAGTGCACACAATTCTCGTCAATCGAGAGAATGGCTATTCATTAGAAGTTTTTGTCATGCATGTGGCCTTCACAGTGGGGGGACATTTCGCTGTTTGATTTCAACTTTTTGATTTTTGGGCCAAAGTGGGACTTTAGACATTGATTGCAAATGTATCTCGAATGTTAGCCGGACTGCCATCTGTAGCTTACGGACAAAGGCATCAGAACTGCTCAACGATAAAGACATGAAACACCTGAGCAGTCCCACTTGACAGCTCACCCAGCATCAACCAAAAAGTCTAATTGTCAACAATCACATCAAATATTTTCTTTTCTTTTTTCCTTTCTCCAGCCTAGTCCCTCCCCAGTGTTTGTCAATGCTGATCATCTGAAACAGTCTCCAAACGATATTTCACCAAGCGACAGCCTTCCAATGGTAATTAAAAAAAAAAAAAAGCAGGATTTTTTTTATAGAAAGGACAATATGTTGTTTGAAGTAAAGACACAGACAAAAATAAGAAAAGTAATGTGAGAATTGAACAATGGTAAGCAAGGCAGTCTGTCATTAGCCAATGTGGCCCATCAGGCCGGCATTTATCTCCGGTTTCAGTAGCATGAAACGACTGAGAATATTTCTACTCCCCCTGGATGGGATGCTAGTCCATCGCAGGTTACTCCCCAGCTAATGCCTGGGTGGAGAGAGACAAATTGGAGTGAAGTGCCTTGCCCAAGGACACAATTATGGCCAACGGCTGAATTTGAACCCCTTACCCTCTGATCATGAGTCACGAACCCTAACCACTAGGCCACATTCCCTGCTGGAGCACTGTATAAAATAACCTCTGTAATGTGCGTGACTTTTTCTTCCTCCTTGTTTTCAGAACAATATAGAGGAGTGGGAGTATGAAGACATTATATTAAATCGGGTAAGTCTCATCTTAAGATTCATGAACATTGTCTGCTCATGGTTTGGTCAACCAAGGGTTCCTCAAAAGAGGCTTTGTCACTATCTTGCAAGCCTGAAGAATCCCACGAAGGGAAGACGAGGATGAAATATTCTCCAGTTTTGATAGATTTGTCCATTCTGACTTCTCAGGGTGGAGCTGGGCTGGGCTTCAGCATCGCAGGGGGTGTCGACAACCCACACGTCCCCGATGATCCCAGCATCTTCATCACCAAGCTTATCCCAGGGGGTGCAGCGGCGGTTGGTGGAAGACTCAGGTATGGACATTTGAGCTGTTGAATTTTCAGCTGAGGATTGAACTTATATTTGATCTGACTATAAATGTGTGTCTACCAGTGGGGGGGAGTTGTAGTAATTGTAATGTCCAAATAGGGTGATTAATATATTTAATGCCGCAAGTGAGGAATTATGTTATCACGTTTGGGTGAAATTTAAATTTTTCCTATTTTTAAAAGTTTGTTTATTTATCACATAATCTTTTTTGTCTAGATTGAATGATGTCATTATCAGAGTGAACGAAACAGAGATCCACAACGTTCCTCACCAAAATGCCGTTGATGCCCTCAAGAAGACCGGAAGCATTGTCAACCTGGTGAGTTGTAGCCTCACTTGAGGTCAAAGTTCGTATCAGGTCAAGGGTCAGTTTAAAAAGGGGCAGTTAAAAGGTAATTTAAGGTAAGTCAAATGTTTCATCGGTTCACTACATTTCAAAGACTGGATCAGGTCAGTGCAGGTCAAAGGTCGCACCTGGTAAATGCAAGTCTAAGGTCATATCAGGTCACTTAAGTTCAAAGGTCATATCTGGTCACTTAAGGCCAAAGGTCATACCTGGTCACTTAAGGCCAAAGGTCATTTCAGGTCATTGTAGGCCAAAGGTCATATAAGGTCAGTGCAGGTCAATTCTGTATATTTGAACACAATTCTCATTCCCGACAGGTCGTTAGGCGGAGGCGGCAGCGACGTACCGGTGATGTCATCCGCATCAAACTGGTCAAGGGTACCAAAGGGCTGGGCTTCAGCATCGCTGGAGGGTGTGGCAACCAACATGTTGCCGGGGACAACGGTATCTTCGTCACCAAGATCATCGATGGGGGCGCGGCCCAGATGGATGGCAACCTCCAGATTGGTGACAAAATCATCGCGGTGAGTTTGGAGAGACAGCTATTTAATGCTTAAAGAACAAAAAAAGTGTTCAGTGCTTCTATCAATATCAAATTATTACCCCTGTTCATCAGGCCTATCAAGCTTCCTCAGACAATCTCAGCTACCAGGGAAATAAACAGCTCGATGCAACCACTTTGGCACAAAAACCTTTTTTGCTCTTTGATGGGGAGGAGCAATTAGTGACAAAGTGTTTTGCCCTTGGAAAAAAAAAAACAGTTTCTTGCCCCAAAACACACAAAAGACCATAATCCCCTTAGCTGGATTCGAACCCACAGCCAGCAGAATTAACCCACAAGATCTTGAATCAACTCAACAGACCATGAAACCTCAACACTCTAACAAGATCGTGTCCTCCTGACGAACCCAGATTCCACTCTTAACCGTTGAATTTCCTGTTGATTTTCATCGTCACTTTGGGTTGTTTTTTCTCCTCAGGTTGGCAACGATAAACTTGAAGAGGTAACCCACGAGAATGCGGTCGCTGTCTTGAAGGCGACCAGCGAAGTGGTCTTACTGACTGTCATCAAAGGTGCTGTCATCAGCTACCCGTCTCCTCCGGCCAGTATAACCTCGCAACCAGACGTGTCCACCATGCAACCTTCTTCCCCGCCTCCACGTAAGACAGCATTTTGTTTGATTTTCACTGACAATTCCCCTACGTCTATAAATTGCCTGGTTTGTCTGAAGTAGAGTCAGGGAACCAGACTACAAGAACAGTATTTTTTTTCTTAATTTTCCAGCATCTATGAACACAAAACAGGTCAGTGTAACAATCTTTGCTATAAAATGCTAACCCCAAAATCCATCCATTTTGGAAAATTACAACAAAAGCAATGTTGTATATATACCGTTAACTTCTCAAAGAAAATGAGCCCTGAGAAAAATGTCAGCAAGTCTATTTGACCCCAAACTGACCTTGATTGACCTCTGGTTGACCCCATGACACAGCGTATCCCGAAGCCATAGTGTCCAGCGTTGCCGGCGTGAGTTTACAATCGGAGCCCGCCCTCCAGCGACCTCCGACTCCGCCCCACCAGGAGATGTCAAACATGATGAATCCTCCGTTAACCTACCACCAGCCGCCCCAAGACACCGCGTATGGCTCCATGAAGAAGATGCACGTGCCGCCCTCGCCTACCGCTAACTATGAGGGCAACGGGGTAAAACCGTACGTCCAGAATGACGACGATTTCCCCAGGTTAGTACGGGTCCTCAGTCCAAATGATTTAAAACCTCTTTGCTAATACTTCTAATCTCTGAAACAATTATGTTTACAATCGCTATATTCTGACTTAGTGTCCTTCTCTGTTCGTTTTTCTCCTCAGGGAAGCAAGGACTGTGGTCCTGAATAAAGGAGCAACAGGTTTGGGTTTCAACATCGTCGGTGGTGAAGACGGAGAAGGCATCTTTATCTCCTTCATCTTGGCCGGAGGTGTGGCTGACCTCAGCGGGGAACTCAAAAGAGGAGACCAGATATTATCGGTACGCTGGATGTATTTTTGAATAAACACAATGTAATACAATGTAATACAATGTAATACAATGTAATACAATGTAGTACAGTTGCTTATGATTCAAGGCCAAGTACGATCACTTGGAGAAAACATTTTTCACCCAATTTCATGTTAACAAACTAAAAGTAGAAATTATAGCTCTTTAGACAATATGCTTTTTGAGAAAAAAATGCTGAAAATCTATACTTTTTTTGTTCAAGATTTGTTGCTGCTTAACTAAGTTTGGTCACCTGAGAATTCCTGGTTCCTGCCTCTACATAATTATTAGGCAGGGTGATAATGGAGAGACAGGAACCAGTCTTAACAAACCACCACATACAGTGTTGGGAGAATCCTAAATTATTGGTCAGAAAAATGTTTGCTTGTTTAGACTACTGGCACTGATTTTTTTTTTTCTTTCGACAGGTCAACAAGAAGGATTTACGGGGCGCGACCCATGAAGACGCTGCCTTGGCCCTCAAAGGCACGGGACAGACCGTTCTGATTGAAGCTCAGTACAAACCAGAGGGTACGAGGAGCCTACAAATCAAAATCCTTAACCCTAAAGTATTTGAATCTGTTGACAGATTCCTTAGATAGGTTAAAGTGTATTTAGGACCCTGATCCATGTAATAGAACAAAAAGACAGTTTTATGTTTCGGGTCTTCCCTAAATAGTTTGGATTGATACCAGCAGGAAGAGTCACTTTAATGTGTTTGGACTCGCGTCAATAGTTTGCTTAGATACAATATTGGAATTGACAGTCATTTGCAAAAGTCATTTTTGAACAGACCTAGGAAAGAAAAGGAGATGTCTTAAACTACACTTATACCCATAGAGAAGTCAATTACAAGTGCAACCAGAAGCCCATCTTAAGTCAAGACACAAGTAGCGGGGGTGAACATTCGCAGAGAAATGCTGTTGACTAAGTTTATTTTGTAAGCAAGTGACTTGACTTGGGACTGGATGACTTGTGATTGACTTGTGATAGACTTGTGATGACTTGTGATTGACTTGTGATTGACTTGTGATGGACTTGTGATGGACTTGTGATTGACTTGTGATGACTTGTGATGACTCGTGATTGACTTGTGATTGACTTGTGATTGACTTGTGATGACTCGTGATTGACTTGTGATTGACTTGTGATTGACTTGTGATGGACTTGTGATGACTTGTGATGACTTGTGATTGACTTGTGATTGACTTGTGATGACTCGTGATTGACTTGTGATGGACTTGTGATGACTTGTGATGACTCGTGATTGACTTGTGATTGACTTGTGATGACTAGACTACATCTCCTTGATGATGCCACAGCCATTTTGTGTCCAACTCCACCTTCCGACTCCCATTTTTATTCTGTGCCTTTGCCGTGATGATAACCACTTAAGACCAGAACTGATGTGTCCTAGACACACTGACTGCCAAACTAGAGGCTGTTTCTGAGCGAGGCTTATTGAAGACAAAAGATGATAATCATTATCTCAAACCCCCCCCCCCCAAATAAATGTATATCCCAATCAAGATTCAGTAACATTTCTGCTCCAGTTATCAGCAGATTTAGGGTTCAACTCCCACTCGAGTAATTGTTATGTACGTAGCAAAATTCATAATTATATTTTGGTGGTTTGTTTGTTGGCAGAGTATAACCGCTTTGAAGCCAAGATCCAATCGCTGCGAGAAGAAATGATGAACAGCTCAGTGAGTAGTACGACGACGGGAAGCCTACGTACATCGGCAAAGAGATCGCTCTATGTCAGGTAATAACCACTCACACAAAACGTCGACCAGATTATAAGTAGCTTAACACCCATTCAAAACCGACACTCTAGTTTCATGCTAAATTCAGCTAGCTGCTTCTGTTCGTTTTAAATGACATTGGTTCCATATTCTTTTGTCTCCTTCCCTAGAGCGCTCTTTGACTACGACAAGACAAAAGACAGCGGTCTGCCGAGCCAAGGGTTGAGTTTCAACTACGGCGACATCCTGCACGTGACCAACGCCAGTGATGACGAGTGGTGGCAAGCCAAACAGGTGCTACCCACGGGAGAGGAAGGCGAAATGGGTGTCATACCAAGCAAGAGGAGGTCAGGAACTAGACCTGGGACTAATTTCTATTTGTGGATAGAAAAAGATTGGACTTGCATATTTAAATCAAGTGGTTTAATTTGAAAATTTTTGATAATGCAGGTTTTTATTTGTTCCTCAGGGTGGAGAAGAGAGAACGAGCGAGGCTGAAAAGCGTCAAGTTTTCTGGAAGGGGAGGAAGTCTGGAAAGCAAGGTGAGGAATAGGCCTTCATCATGCTGCCACCATTTTAGTCATGTTCCCTATATCCAATAACAGTACTGAATTAATTTTTTTTGTGCAAAAAGAAACCAGACTATTTTTCCTTCCATTGTGACATCTTGTTAACGCGTTAAGATCTTTGTAGTAACCCTAACTTATGAGACTATGTAGGACAGGCATGAAATATGTCAGGATTTTTTCTTGATTTCAGGATTCTTTTTCTCAGGATTTTCCTGATTTCCGGGTTTGTAAGAATCCTTTTTGAAAATCTGGAATTTGTTAGGTTTTCGGTTATGGTGTTTTTACCTATAAACGTTCATAGAGAACAAAAGAAAAGGGTATTTTAAGGGGTGCCTTTAAGCAAATACAAACATATACCGAAGAGCTTTGAGGTCTTGACGACCCTTGAACCCTCTACTGATAATGCCACGGCCATCTTGTGTCCAATTCCACCTTCCAACTCTCATTTTTTTTCTGTAACCATAGTAATCAGTGCCTTTGCTGTGATGATAACCACTAGAGACCAGAAACTGACGTGTCTCACAGACACACTGACTGCCAAACTAGAGGCTGTTTCTGAGCGAGGCTTATTGAAGAGAAATTATGGTACTCATTATCTCCGCCCCCCACTTGCCAAATATAGATGAGGATGTTTACTAGTCCACCGTGTTCTTACTTACATTTTGTCAACTTTGCTCGTCTTTGGGGTTGTTTCCAGGGTTCCATGAACGAGAAACGTAAGAAGGGGTTCTTCTCCCGGAAGTTTAAAAAGGGACGGGAGAGCGACTTGGACACGAGCGACGCCGAACGTGAGTCTGCTTGCGAGGATTGTCCAAACTGTTTGTCTGTCTTCTGTTGCTGTGACTGTCTGTCTGTCTTTCTGTCGGTCCATGTATTGACTTGTGTGTTTTGTTTGTTTGTTTAGCGTGTGAAATCTCATGTTTGTCTCTTTGTAATAAACGTGTGTTTTTGAGTTCATACACAACGTCTCTGCAGATTGTGTTGTGTGGTGTTGATGCTGTGTAAATTCATGAAAGTTTAATCAAATCTGCCTTTATTTTACTCTTTGAAACCGTTTAAGTTAAAGACATCGATCCAATAACAAAAAAATGCTGTAACCAAAACCATCAGATGGAAAGCTTGAAAAGTAGTGTTTTTATTTTGTGCAAGTTTTCTTAAATCGACTCCTGGTATCTCTGTGTTTTTTCTGTTACTCTGTTGAAAAGTTTCTTATTTGTTTTCCTTTTCCTTTGGTATTTTCCGTCGTGGAAATTTTGCCTCCTCTTTACGCCCACAGACATCACCTCAAACGCCAGCGATAGCGAAAGTAGTTACAGTAAGTTACGCCCTCGACCTTGACGTTTAACACTTTGACCTTTCAACCCACGGCCCCTTCACTGCACTGTGACCTTCACTGCATTTAACCTTAAACCTTTGACCTAATCATTCCATTTTGTGGAATTCCTCAGTGTCGTGCTTTGTTCCAATATTTGCTTCGTATTTCTACATTTTTAACATTAACAAGATTCATAATTGTGGTTTTGGTGTTAATAATCCCATGCTTATGCAAATTTCCTGAAGTAAACAGTTGTTTACTTTTTTGTTTTTGTTTACATGTTGTGCTGTTTGCATGCTTCAAGACCAAAATGAGTCTCTCATGCTAAAATGCTACATAAAATGGACCATTACAGCTTATGAAACATCCTTGTGTTTTTGGTTTTCATATTTCACATGTAAGGATAGAAAAAGAATATGAAATGTCATTTTCCCCCAAATGAAAAATTATCCTTAATCCATCTAAATTTCAGCCCCCAATTAACTTGAAACTTTGTGAGATAATTGTGGCTTTTTTTTTTAAACATCTGGCTTATTCATTCCCCTTATATTTCAACAATTTCACTTCATTTTATTTGTGACATGGAATGATGAAGATTTTCAAGATTGTAACAATTTCCTCCCTCTGATGTCCCAAGCAGACTGCATGCAGTCCATACTCATGAATTTGTAGTTAAAAAAAATCAAACATAACCTGATCACTGTTTTATTTTACTCATTAAACATATCTTTCACATTTACCAACCATTTTCCCCACTCGTCACTCTTTCATTCTCGTTCCTGGACCCCCCCCCCCCCAATTATATTAAGACTCCTCCCACCCAGGAGCTTGCTTTCCACTTCCACTTCCAATCTTCATTTTTGCTGCGGCCATCTTGGTCAGTTCCCTGAGCGCAATGCATTGCCATTGCACTATTGTGCCAATATGTCACCAGTCTAAATTTGCTTCCAGACTTTGCTGTAGTCAAATTTATATTTTAAAAAAGTTTCATTTTAAAAAAAAAAAGAGCTCTCTTTTTTCCTCGCCATTTTGCACAATCCTAACTGTGGTGTACAGTAACAGCCCAAAGAATGGTGGCTAGGAACTGTTTGTGTGCTGCTTATTAAAAATAAAAGTCTTTTCCGCCCCCAACCGACCCTACCCCACCCCACCCCACCCAACCTAACCCCATACCCCCACCCAACCCCACCCCATACCCCACAACTGCTTTTAGCTTTCGATTCACTCACTATATCCGCTGTGATCTGTTGTCATGTGACTTTTGCAACATGAATAAATTGAAATAAGCACTCTGTTGCCAGTGGGCTTGGCTATGATGCAAATAACACTAAATTATGCTGTATATTGTTACATTAACTTGTTTGTTTCTAGCTGGCAGAAAGGCCGTAGAAACACTGTCTGCAAATTGAACCAGTATTAAGGTCGGGTCATACTTCACGCGAAAGCTAAAGCGAAGCGAAATTCGTGACAGCAACAACGACATGAATTTCCCTTCGTGCTTGCTTTCGCTAGAAGTATGAACCTGCCTTTAATCAGCATTTACTAACAAATAACTAATCTTTGTCCAATTAAACTAAAATAATGGTGCAGAGATAGCTCAAATATCCTGTAAAAACACCGGTGAATTACCATACTAAAAAAATACGTACCGTTTTGACAATGCCTGTCAAAATGTTTTGTCAGTTGTGCAGATGATAAAGCTTCAGATTGGTGCCAGTCTGGGACACAAATTCTCTGTCTTTTCATTACATCTTGGGTCTTGGTGTCAGACCTCCAGGATTCTGTCTCGACTTAAGGTTATGGAGCTGTCAATTTCTTGAACGGTGTCCGTATTCACAAAACCCAAAACAGCTTGAAATAGACGTAACTTTAACCTTGTGTATTTTTTGTTCAAACAATAATTCTTTTTTTTTGTCAGGAAATGACGAGATGATTCTCTCCTATGAGGGCGTGGTTCAGCAAGAAGGTAGTTGTTTCTTAGATATTTGACAGGAATCCTTAAACAATTCACTGTTAAATTACCATCATGTTCTTGGGATGAAGATGTGAAGATTGAAGAAATATGCCTGTCTTTCAAAAATTAGATGTGATTGAGAACTCAAGCATAATCTGTCGCAGGATTCAGCTAATTTCTTTCCACCATTCTTTTTTGTTTTTCAGTCAAATACACCCGGCCGGTTATCATTCTCGGTTCTGGCAAGGATCGCGTCAACGACGACTTGATCTCAGAGATGCCTGAGAAATTTGGAAGCTGCGTACCCCGTAAGTCTCTCAACTTGCCTTTAAAAGTTGTTAGATTTTGCAAAACTGAGGCTTTGTATCGTTACTTGTTTAAAAAAAAAAGGGAAACATGGGATAAACTTTGTTTATCCTAGAAAGTGGAGAAGGCAAAGACAAATGTGAGCAAATACGGGACAAAAAGAGAGGAGTGTTGCAAAATATATTTGACAAGTTTCAAACTTGCCTTTCCTGCCCGTGATTCTGCTGTTTCTTGATAACCAAATTCACCTGTTAGATGATTAGGTTCTTGGTTCTGGGTTGGTTCTTCTCCTAAATGCTCCGCGTGGGAGTTTATACAGGAGGCCAGAAACACCGGGGCAAACCCCTTCTCTTAGCGATAAGTGTCACTGGGTTCTTTTACATGCATTGGATTACACAACACACGAGACCTACGGCTTTACGTCCCATCCGAAGCATGAAGCAATAATGGTTCAGTGCCTTGCTCAAGGGCACAAGTTTCCACCCGGCAGGCTGGAATCCACGTCACTGTTGCCTCTGAAACACCAGAGCATGAGTCCGGTGCTCTTAACCGCTAGGCCATGACACTTCACCACATACCAGCCTACCAGGCCAACAAGTCAATTTCTTGTCATTGTTGCTCTGCCCTTTTGCCCCCAGACACGACGAGGCCGCGAAGGCCCCACGAGGTGGACAAGCGAGACTACCATTTTGTCGAGTCTCGCGAGCAAATGGAGAAGGACATTCAGGATCATTTATTCATAGAGGCTGGCCAGTATAACGAGAACCTGTACGGCACCAGCGTCGCCTCGGTCAGAGAGGTAGCTGACAAGGTACGAACTGCAGTCAAAAATCTTCCCTAAAAATGTAACTTTGCATTTAACTATTTCCAAGGTTCGCAGCATTGCTAATGTTGCTAGCATCATGACTTTGGGTGTGATCCCTGGCTACATGGCATATGGGTGTATGGCTTCTGACTAGTGTCCCTTGAACAAAAGTTGTGATAAAATGGGGAACTGCCAACATAGGGCTGGATAGCTCAGTTGGTAGAGCACTGGAACGGCAATCCGGAGGTTGCAGGTTCAATCCTCACTCCAGTTCATTTCTTTGTTCAAACTATCAAACTTAAAAAAAAAAAAAAATTGAATTGCAGAAAGTCGCACCTTAGCAGTTTTACAGCAAAGCATATTAGTGTCGTTAACGTGTGTTAGTACCTGTATTGTAGTCTTGTATGCTTCCCAGGTTATGAATTTATGTATAATCGTCAACCTCCTTCCCAGGGTAAGCACTGTATCCTCGACGTGAGCGGCAATGCCATCAGGCGATTGCAGGTGGCCAACCTCCATCCCATCGCCATCTTCATTCGTCCCAAGTCGGTGGAGTCGGTCATGGAGATGAATCGGCGGATGTCTCGGGAACAGGCCGAGAAGACGTACGAGAGAGCCATCAAGTTGGAGATAGAGTTTGGCGAATTCTTTACAGGTGTGTCCAAGATTCCGTGCTGATATTTTTTTTGTATCATTGGGGGATGGTTCTGTTGAAGCCCTTTGCCCTAATATTTCTTATCAAATTTCTTCATTGATGATGCCTTAAAATTAAATTGAAGAACTAAACAATTCTTTTTTTGTCCTTATAGCCATTATTTCAGGCGACACGTTGGACGAGATTTACTACAAATGCAAAGAGGTGATCCACGATCAGTCAGGCTCGACAATCTGGGTACCTGCCAAGGATAAATTGTGATCCCTGCACCACCCAGTAGCACCCACTTCAGTCCATGTCACAACCTGTAAGGTACCCAGTTGAGCCCGATGCAGCCTGTTTTGGAGGAACCCAGATTGGGCAGATCCTGCTTGATGTAAAATAGCATAATAATAAAAAAAGATTTGTATAAAGTGTGTAGAAGGCACAGGGCTGGTTTTTGAATTCCAAGCAGTCCCAGTTTTGATCCTTGTAGGCCTAGCCTTGTAGCACCCGTTACACTCATAGAGAAAGCAGTGAGGACACCCATAGGCACCCATTCAAGTAAAGGTAACATGGGTGTAAGGTGGTGGTACACAGGATTCGGTAATATGTGCAGTGTCACTCATGAATTTTTGTATGGACACTCAAAGCACAGGTGTGATTTAGAGCCCAGTAGCGCCCGTTTCATTCTATACCTTATCCCCTGTGGAACCCACTTGTACCCAGTTGTACCCAAGTTTTCTGGAGAAACCTTAACTCTAGGTTGGATTTTGAAATGAGGACAGATTCGCACTTGTTTGAGTAAATGTTGTTATACAGGCGATGTGAGTCAGTGTGTTTTAACGTGTTCCATCCCGTTGCTGAAGCTGTGGGATTAAACGGGTTTGGTGCACTGAAAGATTGTTGTTTGTTTGGGTACCAGTGGGCGTATTCTGGGCGTAGTGGGTTAGTAGATTATCCCCCACCCTTGCAAAGCCTACTCCAACCTTTCCACCCTTTTATCTCAAAGACTATAAATTTCTCTGATGTGTACAAAGTGTAAATTTAGCACAGTAAAGAGGCCTATCGAAAAATAATAAAACGCTGTCATTTTACGTCAATTTTTTTGGATGTAACGGAAAAATGCAGCGTGCAGTTTGGATTTCTTTATTTGTTACATTTAGCTTCTTCGTAGAATATAATTGGAGCTTTTTGTTTTTTTCAAGCTTGTAATATACAGCAGGAATCTTGGTCTATTCTCAGGACGATTTCTGTTTGGCCTTGTTCGGTTTTTTTTTGCCTCGGAAGTACAACTGTGAGGGCAGTATTTGATGACGTTGCTGTTTTTGACGTGGAAACTGACAGAGAAATTTGGCACGACCACCTGCAGTAGTTGCATTTCAGTCGTGCTTGGATGCATAAATACAATGGGTTTTTTGGAGTAGGAAGCTGCTTCCATTGCACTTTGCAAATAGTTTTATTCGAAGTGTTCGAGGAGCCATATTATTGTTTTTGCAGCTAGATCAGACAACTCCGCAACACAGTGAAAAATGCCGCTTCAAACTGTCCACCTGCCAACCAATAGAGGGCGCTATCCTATTAAATTTTGTTGGTATAGCAGAACGCCCCGGAATTGATGAAGGAACCAGGACAAAAATTGTACAGATCCGTCAGTGAAGTGTTACATGCTTTGTATACATAACAGTCTTTGGTCACGGTGTTCGTTACAGTGACTTTCTGAGTACGATGTAAACAGAACTCATCAACTGTATTATTTTTGCTACTTTTTACTAAATCTGTTCAATTGGAATTGAATGGATGTCACTGAAAATGTACATTTAATTTCAGTGAATGTCCTCTGAAGTTACAGCCCGCATCTGTAAAAAAAAAAAGAAATGGCCAAATAAGCCTTGAATATTCTCAAACATTCAACAAACCCACTTTGCTTACACTGGCTTTGTGTCACAATTGTTTTAGTTGATTTCGTCTGTTTACTCACTAGATTGTTGCCATGGTATTTTGTATTAAAGTTAGAAACATTAGAACCTCTTGCATTATAGAACTTTTATTCTGTCGGTCAATTCAATGAATTATAATTATGATCACTTCCCCCTAACTAAGGTTACAGTAGTGTTACATTTTGTTGTATTTTGAATCATGCTTTCGCAGTTTGGATATTATTACATCAGATTTTAGTTTGAAAACATAATTGCAAGTCTTTAAAAATTTTATTTTTTTTTTTTCCCAACAATTTTGTTATTTAAAAATTGACACACATACATTTAGAGCAGTTGTTATATTTGGTTTTTCATTTCTGTTTTGCCATTATCACTCAACTTGATTTTTTTCCAATTTTAATTGGAATTTTTTTTCCTTTCCTTTTTGGTGAATATATGCTTTCTATGTTTGTTCTTTTAGAAAAAACTTATATCAAGTTACCCTGTTAAGTTTGCATTCATTTTTAAGATTTGAGGATGTTGAAGTTGGGTAGATTATGATTTTGAGCCCTATATAAGGAAATATCGTTCATAACTTCTGATTGTGGTCACAATACACAAGTTGATGCAGCATGCATTTTGTACAGCATATATCAGGGCTGCTTGGAGATGGCCACATTAAACAGGTTGGGCTCTAAATGCCACATAGTCATTTCTCGTTAATTATAGTTGACAAGACTTGAAAGTTATTGAGGTGCTTGAATAGCAAACAAGGAAAGTAATATTGAATAATGAGTGAGGTTGTTTAAGACTGGAACATTTTGAGTTAATACTTATTGGGTGACATTTTTAAGCTTTGGTTAAATGATTTGCTTCTCTTTCAGTTTTTTCCCTTATTTGGTACTGGATTTTTTTTCATGAGCAAGCCTTGGAAGATTACTTAATGTTTGTTTTTGTTTTTCTGTTTGGATAATGTGGTCCTTGTGGGCCTATTTTTGTTACTTCTGTTTTCGTTTTGTTTATTAGAGGAAAATAATCGGTTTGACATGGCGTGCACAAGCCTAATTCTGCGATTCGTGTAGTTCGTGTCTGTATGTTTGGTTGCCAAATTTCGCTGCTTCAACTACACTCTGAAATTGAAGTACAGAAGCTATGCATCTGCATGTAATGCTGTCAGAGTCGTAGTTGGAATAATAAGGTCCCTTTTATTCGTGTGGTAAAAAAAAATATCGAATCAACCTAAATTGTTCGTTTCATAGGTAAAAAAACTCATTGTCGAAAGAGCTATCTAAACAATTTTTAATGAAAGATTTGGATGCAGGTGGATTTTGTAATCATGTTTGATTGGACGGGGGCACAATACGGGAACGAGGTTGACGTTTTCAACTGAGATAAGGACAAGGTAAAAATACCAAAGACTCTAGAGCTTCCCTTTTCTGGATGCGAGGTTGACAATATTTCTTAAACATTTAGATTTTAAAAATGTCACCTTCAGTGCGTGCCCACTAATATGGCATTTTTATTAGTTCCTGTATTTCCATAAACATTTGAAATTTACACATTGAAAACAAATGTGCCATCCACATAAATATAATCACTGAATGCGGACCCTAATTCGCCAGCCTCAAGGTTTTAAAAGCCATGAGAAAACTGATTGTTAATATGAACACTTTAATTTCATATTTTTTTTTAAAAGCAAGCTTGTAGATTACGCGTACTTAAAAAAAACCTGCTTTACATATAAAATGCATGCCACTTTGAATATCGGTTAATTAAAAAAAAAAGAAGACCTACAGGTGTTTTTTAAGCACATTAATCAGACTATAGGGCGGTGTATCATATTAACCATGACAGTAGACTTGCACAGTTATTGGAATTAGTTATTATTTTCCTATTGTATGAGAATTATAATTAAAAAGATATTGGGCTTATTTCAGAAATCGGAGGAGTAACGTGTGGATTTTGTTAGGAGTTTGTGAATGCAAGGTGTGTGTGAAGATTTGACGTCCTACGTGGTGCAAAACTAAGACTAGAATGTTTTTGTCTACAAACCTGACAAATACATATAACCTTAACATGTTCCTTCATTTTCATTTTTCTCCGATTCCGACCCCAAGAAATGTCCTGTCCCTAAGACAAGGAAACCAACTAATAAATTCATGATTTTTAAACCAATAAAGCTGTGATATCTTCCTAATATTTCATTCTATATTTACAAATCGCTACAATTGGTACATTATTTACAAATTATTCGAGTTCCGCATAATTGTCATCTTAATGACAACAACTTAACATCTTATTAGTTTGAAATTATATAATTTTTTAACAGACTATACCCGTTACTGCTTTCTGTGGAATTAAATATTTCAGATATTTGGTTTGGTTTTAGATCATTGGTGCTGGCATATACATCAGTTAATGGAAAATATAACAATTAATGAGAACATGAATAAGAAGAAATATTGCTACAAATAGTTTCTTGAAAGTCTTGCTCTGCCTTCTACTTGACTTCCCCTGAGACGTATGGGATTATTCTGATATCATTTTCAGGAAACGACATTGTTTTATCTTTACCCAAATATCACGTGCCTTAAGTGATCCGTGGACAAGGTTAAAAACAGCGTTTGTGTTCACAATTCCATAACTGGAAAAGTACATTGAGCGATTTAATAATAATAATAATAATACAAAGTATTTATATAGCGCTTTACAAAGAACAAAGCGCTTAACACTCATCCACAACAAAAAATAACAGGAAAGAAAAACAGACACAATACGATTACGAATGGACTTGGAACAGATGTGTCTTCAGGAGACGTTTGAATACAGGCAGCGAGACCGCCTCTCTCAGACGAGAAGGAAGCTCATTCCACATGCGAGGGGCGGCCACAACGAAAGAGCTATCTCCAGCCTTCTTCCTACTTCTAGGGACAGAAAGCCGGGTCTGATCAGATGATGAGCGGAGTCGCTGTCTGTAAGAGTCAGGAATATTTGAATGATTCTTTCACTATTAAAAGAAACCTTTTTAATTGGGCTTTCATATCCTAGATTTCGAAAGCACTAAATGCATAACTTCTTTAAACCATAGGCGGGCACCATTTTTGGTTTCATTTTATCTACTCGCCCTGTATTTGCGTTTTGTATTAATAACTATAAAACATTTTTCTTTAAAGTACAAGATTTATTTCGCAGTTCGCGATGAACCAGCTGCTTTATTTCTTACCCCTAGGCCTAGCTGTTTCCCACCCCTTTTCAGATAATCTCATCCAGAGCTTGCTTGAATGACACAATCTCCAACAGACTTTTAAATCCCAAGTCTTTCCTAAGCTCCGAGTAGAAGAAGTCCGGAGCCTCCGCGGAGATCGTCTTGAGACCGAGCAGACGCTGTCCGCTGTACCCGTCGAAACGGTTCTTGAGCCCCGCTAGTCCGTGCTTGGTCAGCCAGGCGTTGACCTGGTCGTTGGTCCACGTTAAGACCGTCTTGGCGTCGATGTGGCGATCTTGGTTGACGGGGTTTTTGGCGTTAGTGTTCCGGCGAGTAGGCGCACCGCGTTGGGCTGTTGCTAAACCTTTCTGATCTCCGCTCGTATTCAGAGGGTCTGTAAAACAAATAAATAACTTAAACGCATTAAATCCGTCACAGTGTTCTTTTATTAACTCAAAAACAACATGTTGTCATTGTGAGAAACATATCATGTTGACCTAAGATGATTGACCAGGCGTTGAGCAGGATGATGCTTCTCAAAGCTGATGTGAATTAGAAGCAGATGCAACGGCCAATTAAAGTTTCAAGATATTTCTCACTTTTTGCAGTGACAATAAACATCCTCCAAATCCTGCGCCAAAACAAACGACACAAAGTACGACACAGTGGTCTTCAAAAGTCAAGTCACGCACCTTGTAAAGTGGACTTGAGTGTGTTGTTCAAGCCTTCCTTTGCCACCCTGCCTCTCTCGCCAAGCTGCTGCTTTAACTTGCTGAAGTCTTCCTCCAAGTTGTCCGGTCGACTCATGTCCACGTACAGCTTGGCGCCGATCATGATGCCCAGCCAGCCGTCAGGGTCGTAGTCTGACTGCAGACGGAGCGGGATGATGGGCTTCTGTAGCTTGTAGGTGTACTCGGCCTCTGTATATTTGGTAAATATCAACGGCCAATAGTATTCCTCTATTTCATGTATTTTGAGATGAAGGGAATATCTCAAAAGTAAATCACGCCCGTCTATATTTGCGGCTAGTTTTCAGGCCAGTAGGGGAAATATGAAGGGGTTTTTTTTTGGGGGGGGGGGAGGGGGTGGGGGGGGGTAATATATTTAAGGTACAACACAACAATGAAATATTAAGAGGTCAATATTACGAGGGCAACATTGTCCAAAATACATTTCGGTGACTATCGTACCTGTTCGACAACTGGCGCTCCGTTTGTATTTCTCGGTAAAGCACACAAGCACGACGGCAGATTGTTCCACGGCGGCGGCCATAGACTCGAGGGTAGAGCCACCTGCGACAAGTACAGTAACGACAAATCATTGACATTTGCACTGATCTCGTCGCTATCATTGTAAACGTCGTCTACATTGTCAATATGTCATCGTCACCATTATAACCGTTGTCACCAGTGTCACCAGTGTCACAATGCCATCATTGTCACCGTTGCCACTCCTGTCACAACTGTCACCAATCACACCAATGACACCACTGCCACACAGCCTACAGCCTCCTCCTGGTCATAGGACGCCATCACTGTCATGACAGACACGTGACATGACAGACACGTGACATCATCGTCGTCATCAGAGACATTAATGACACATGCTACCTACCCATATTGTCCACGTCCATCCACACGTTGTACCCAGCCGCCTTCAAGAGCTCTTTGATTCTGATCATTTGCTGCTGGACACCCCATTGGTAGCTGATCATCACGTGGGGCATGTCGTCATCAAGGTCATCGAGGTCATCGCCGTCTGAAGACGCCATATCTTTGTCGTTGTCGTGGTCGTTCTTTTCAGCCTTGTCGGGAGCGCCAACGGACGTCTGTATAGGGAACCAAAGAACCTTTATTATTTCGGCTAGTCGTCGGGCATGTGTTGAAAATATATTATTTATCCTAAAAGTAACGCTTACCTTGTCCGAGTTCTCAGTTGTCCTAGCCTTGCTCCTAGCAGTCGTAGGCCGGTTTCCACCGCCGCTTTTCGACTCAGCGTTCTCTACGATCACGTCTAGCATCCACAAGACAGTCTTACAGGCTTTGAGAAGCTTCGGATCTGACTCGTTCTTGTGAAGTTCCTTCAAGACTGTACAAGAAAAGAATGAATTTTTATTTTAAGAAACTGCAACAGAAGATTCAGTTAATCAATTCAAACAATGTGCCTAGGACATTTTTTTTTAATCTCCTTTTAAAAAGATTTCTTCAAAATTATGACAGTGATGGGAAAAAAACACATGCCTGTAATTAAGACGGTGTTTTCCTTGAACAGTTTCTTGTTATCTTCGTGGAATGCTAGCTTCCACACTGCCTGTGCGGCGGTGCGCTTCTCAGCCACGCTGTCCGTCTTCAACATTTTGATCAGCAAATCGGTGACGCCTTTCTGTTGGCACAAACAAAAATATCATATTGTTTCGGAACACGTAGTAGGCCTAGGATTCCTTTCGATAAATCTTAAGGTAAACACAATGGTAAAGACCAAATTGTGGTGCGCAATATTTTCATGGCACTAATACCGAAAATACGAATCTCGGGAAAGAGCAAGACATTTAAACTTGCAGGCCGAGAGCAGAATTTGTTATGCCAGATAAGTATGACATAATTCAGCGAACACAGAAAATAGTTCGTGGTAGGCAGAGCCGAGATCTATACCATCATTTTGTCTCGGTTGATGAAACGTACCTTAACCAGCTTGACCTTATTGGCGTCGTTGTCTGCTAGGTAAACGATTCCGCCCACAACAACCTCGGCCGAAAAGGTGTAATGTCTGGAGTAGTGACTCTTTTCATCAAGACACTTGCCAAGAATCTGAAGAAAAAAAACCACCAAAACAATGGTTACAAGAAAATGTCATCTACCTTAAAATTTACACCGCAAATTTGGTTTTGCAGTGAATCTTAACAGCGACGAAAATAAACATATTTAATCTATTTGTAGATAAAGTGTGTGTGTGTGTGTGTGTGGGGGGGGGGGGGGAGGGCAAGGAAACAACTTGGGGGATGCCCCCATGGCCCCCCTATCGCCGCCACTGGTTGCGTCTGTAATCACCTTGATAACGAACTCAATGTTGCTACTTGTAGTGTTGAGAGCCTCATTTTCGTCCTCGTTGAGAAGATACACAAGACAGAAGAGCGATTTAGCACGCATGATCATGAAGCGACATTCGAGTAGGGCTGCCAAGATGAAAAAAAGCCAAACATTTTAGCTGTTATATTTTGATGAAACAATTCAGCATTAATGTGCTGAGTTCTACGTTAAAATGGTCTTTGGAAAATGATTCGGGAAGAGCTGAGAAAATTCTGTACGATTCAGGTTTGGTTTTATTATTATTAACACGTGTCCTCTTTTTGCGACGGGGAATTGAACAGATGGCTAGTGTTCGTTTCATAACTTTATCCAAATAACTTTTTTTTTTACTTTACCTTTAAGATGAGGCATGACGTCGGCTTCCCGAAAGACTGGCTTGCTGTCGATGTCTCCCCGGATGATGTTAGCTAAGACGTTGACTGCCTTCTTCAGTGTTTCTCTCGACGAGTCCCAAAGGGCCTGCGACTTCATGTTATTCAAGGCACTCAACTCCATCAAGGGATGTTGGAATTCCTTGGCGATGAGGGGAACAATGCCGTACTCGGCGCTGCCCATAGCCGCGCACAGCTTGCGACTGACGTGGGTGAAACTGATAGTGGCTTGCTTCAGAAGATTGTAGACGATGTACTGTCTCAACAGTGCTTTTGAAGTGTATATATCGTCGTGATAGACCCCTTTCCAGATCTTCACGAACAGGGCTGGGTATCCCTTTTCCACCAGCTCGTCGGCAGTCTCGGGGTCTGTTATGTTACTCATGTTACAGACGGTAAGAAGGCTTTCCATCGAAGTGTCGTCGGTGTGGGTGTCTGTCTGGCGTAGCTGCTCTAACGATTTCAGAAACTCGGAGCGGAGGGCTTCTCTGGGCTCGGTGTTCTGTGCAAACGCCGCCGAGTCGCCTGGGCTGCACTGGATGGTTTGACCACCAGTCCTGGTCGCCACTTCCATGAACTTGATACATTTGGATACGATCTCTGAGTTGTCTTTCTCAGGTGGTGTGGCGTCGACAGCGGGAGTGGCTTGTGGTTTGTCGGTTGGCTCATCTAATGTCTCATTCGGTGGTAGCTGCTGAGCGGGTTTGTCGCTTGAAGTCTCGCCGTGTGTGGCAGGCTCAGATCCCCCGCTGTCCTTGTTTAGTTGGCCGGTAGCATTGGCCGGTACGTCCCTAATGCTCGGGCTGGCGGACTGAGAGGGTTGAGCTGGTGGTACAGAGTCGGGGGCAGTTTGGCCCTTGGCGATTTGGCCTGTGGCAGTTTTGCCGGTTTTGGGTTGGCCGGTAGAAGTTTTGCCATTGGCCGGTTTGCCGGTGACACTTTGGCCAGTTGCCGGTGAGCGTGTGGCAGTTATTTGGGGTTGGCGGATGGCCGGTTGGCCGATGGCACGCGGTACTGGCGGTGGGCTTTTGCTACGCGCGTTGCTTGAACCGCTACCCATTTTTTTGGCTATAAACATGGGATAACAATAAAAGGAGAAATATAATCGATGTGTGCCTCAATCAAAACGATCTGCCGCGCGCAATGTACACATTTTCATCGTCATTATTAGAGTTTTTGTCATCACTAAAATCAACCTCATCTAACATCTTACTCATACCATACACCATCCCCACACTGTGACTTGGTGTCAATCGCTTCTCAAAAGATGGGATGCACATTCCTTGATCAGAACTGCAAGCGCAAAGCGCGAAACCCTAACGAGGTGGGGTTCGGGGACCGTTTAAAGGCCAGAAAAATTTTGGATTCTAGATGCTCCGTGGTGCGATCTGAGGCAATTTTCTGACCACTTTAACCAATTCTTGTAACAAAATAATTCATAATTTAAACATAATTTTCCAGTTTGGAGTATTTGAATCATCTATCCTGAGCTATAGAATCTAATGTGGGCTACAATGTTATTCGGAGAAGAAATAAGTGTGTGTAGGGGGGTGGGGGGGGGGGGAGAAACGAAATAATATCCCCAACAGGGGGGGGGGGGGATATTTTCCCAGTCCGCCACCGGTCGACGCCCATGCTTACCTCATAAACGCAGTCGTGTCGACAAAACCCTTTTTAATGGTAGAACCATCAGCAAAAAATAATCCAAAACCAGCACTGTTTAGTTATCCAAAGACAAAGTCAAAGCAAGTCACTCTTTGGAAATATTCCACGCCTTAGTGAACGACGTCAGAACCCAATAATTTCCACGCGGAAAATGGCCGCATTATTTGTCCATCATCAACAGGTTAAAGTAGACCTATAGGCCTACCAGTTATGTGTGAATATTGTTATTGTGCACGACATCATTATATTTTCCCCCGCGACAAAACATGTACATGTATAGGAGTTGGCTCCTATACAGTATACACCAACAGCCAAGGGTTTATTTTAGCCGTTGCCATGTGGCGCTGTACTGGATGAATAGGTCTATAGAGAAGCGTCTCTCCGTATCCTAGCAACCGCCTCATTGCTAGGGGAAGTTCAAGGCCATTATGCAGCATAACGTCAGTTTCAATTGATTTTCCCCTGTTGCACGCCTCGTGTACATAACTACCTTGCTTATTCATAATTCATGATGATTGATGAGAACATTTTAGTTAGGTGATGCGAATACCTCCCTGCACAATATCTTTCTTGGTGTTGCCGCGAACAATTTGATTGTCTTTCAATGAAATAAGTAATATTTAAACTACGGAGTGGAGAAGGGTGCTTTGTCCATTTCTAAACGAATACATCACACAACCCCAACTTTGCTAGTAATATAGATATACATGTAGATGTACATTTACAATGTACAATAATAAATATCCACCACTGTTTACACTTCATCTTCATTAGCCCTAACCAACCCAACTCCATCAAAATCCATCCCCCCATTTCGGTGGATTTTAGGGGACTTGGTCCTGCAGGCCTGGTTTGACTGAATATTGTTGGAGTATGATGGACTTGGGCCTGGGGCCTGAAGCAGTGCAAGAGGTATCCGATTGGTTTTGCCTAGCATCCTGCACTGCTGTTGTTAATTTGTTATAGAAGCCATGTGGACTATATCCACCAGTATACGTCAGTGGTGGATTCTATTATGTCATATACATTGTACATTGTACAAATGTACATGTATTGGAAGCAGAGTAAGTGATGGATTTTGGCAGACTTGGTCCTCTACTTAGTATCAGACAGTAGGGGGAAAGGCAAGAACAACACAAGGATTACATTCTTTTCCTTTTTTTAAATAAAAAAAACATTTTCGCATTTAGTTTATTCATCAGTAAGAATTCAAAGTCGGAGTCGAATTTATGGAAGGCAGCAATTAAGGTGGTTTTGTAATTCGGCTATCCTCCAAAATGGCCAGTGTGACCTATCAGGGCGTAGAGGGCGTTCGACACGACGATTGCCAGATCCAGACATTATTTCAATGCGATCTTAATTGACATAATCATGATAACGATTCGACATGAGGATGCGATCATACAAAATCTGTAGTTCTTTAAAGCAACACTTTCTGTTAATTGCATGGAATCATGCAGTTTAAAAGCTGTGAAAATGATACCTGTATGTTCTCTATAAACTTACAAACATTCTTTGAAGCCATTCTTTCATGTTGGAAAGGTTTAAACAAGGTTTGAAAAATCAAATGTGGAAACATATTTCTTATGTATGTACACTCAAAGCAAATGTCGTTGACATTTCGAACAACATCTTTTTAGAAAGTCCAGGAATTGTATTCCTCTACTGTTAGATAATCCCATCCAAGGCCTGCCTAAAAGTCACGATCTCCACAAGGCTCTTGAAGCCCAGATCTTTCTTGAGCTCAGATAATCCCATCAAGGCCTGCTTAAAAGTCACGATCTCCAACAGGCTCTTGAAGCCCAGATCTTTCTTGAGCTCAGATAATCCCATCCAAGGCCTGCTTAAAAGTCACGATCTCCAAAAGGCTCTTGAAGCCCAGATCTTTCTTGAGCTCCGAGTAAAAGAAGTCCGGAGCCTCCGCGGAGATTGTCTTGAGACCGAGCAGGCGCTGTCCGCTGTACCCGTCAAATCGGTTCTTGAGCCCCACTAGTCCGTGCTTGGTCAGCCAGGCGTTGACCTGGTCGTTGGTCCAGGCTGAGACCGCCTTAGCGCAGACGTTTTCTTGGGTGCCCGTGTTTTTGGCGTTCATGCTCCGTCGTTGGGTCGTCGAGCGATTGAAATCCGTTCCTTGGCCTCCACTGCCATCAATATTTTCTGTAGAAAATTAATGCAGTTTTATACTTCAAGAAATCCAAATGTTACCTTGTGCTTAAAGACTGTTTGGATGATTTTGACTCATAAAAAAAAACCACACGTCACATTTAAGGTAACGGTTGTACCAATTTACCGGTACATGTATATAACATCTTTAATGAACTGGAAGTTTAAAGATGCAACATGCGTCGTTACCTTTCCTTTCTTTGCGAGTGGATTTGATGGTGGACCTCAGTGTACCGAAGCCTTCCTTTGCCACCCTGCCTCTCTCGCCAAGCTGCTGCTTTAACTTGCTGAAGTCTTCCTCCAAGTTGTCCGGTCGACTCATGTCCACGTACAGCTTGGCGCCGATCATGATGCCCAGCCAGCCGTCCGGGTCGTAGTCTAACTGCAGACGAAGCGGGATGATGGGCTTCTGTAGCTTGTAGGTGTACTCGGCCTCTATAGAGTCGCCAAAAGTGAAATAGAAGGAAAATATAGACTGAGGGTAATATATACAGGGGAATATGTGCAAGAAGGAAAATATTGTTGTGGCGATATCAAAATAGTGCAACATGAAAGCTAGTCTCCGTAAATTGTACCATTATCTGCATTCTCAAATAGACATACGTGTACATGAATATTTTTTTGATGAACAGAAATAATTTGCTCGATATTTTGTGGTAGTTTTTGTGACTGCTGTACCTGTTCGACAACTGGCGCTCCGTTTGTATTTCTCTGAGAAGCATACAAGCACGACGGCAGATCGCTCCACTGCAGTGGCCATAGACTCAAGCGTCGAACCACCTGAAACAAAGTCATGCAAAATGTTAGTTTGACGGAAATTGGTGGCCATGATATGTTATGGCTTTGACTTTTCTATTGACATGCTGCAGACACAATCCATAGCCGCGTCTAAAGTCTCGCGTACTTTCGCTTGTATTTCTATTGGTCCATAGTTTGTTTAACCGCGCATGCTCAAAACCTCTTTAAACGGACAATACAAAATGGCCCAAATCACACCCGTTTCTTTCAGAGCTTTAAAAAAAAGATTTAAACGAGACACACCCATGTTGTCCACGTCCATCCATACGTGGTACCCTGCCGCCCTCAAGAGTTCTTTGACTTTGATCATTTGCATCTGGCATCCCCATTGGTAGCTGATCATCACGTGGGGCTTGTCGTCATCGAAACCGTCTCCATCCACGGACTGAACCTCCATTTCTCCGTTATCTTTTCCGCCCGGAAGTGTTGGCGGCTTCTATTAAAAAAATAGGAATAAAAATAATTTGAATGTGAAAATTGTTCAAAAACGATCTTCACGAAAAGTTTCCTTAGCTTTAGCCGGGGAATTTAAGAAGTATTGAGCAGCAGATTTGAAGTGATTCGCGCGCCATTGTTGCGAACTTTAAGTCTGCTGTCAAACCTCCTTTTAACTTGTATTTTAAGACCATCCAAAAGTTGCATTACCTCGACAGTTTCATGTTGTCCTTTCTCCACACCGTCCCCGCCCGTTGCGTCCAGCATCCATAAGACTGCCGAACAGGCCTTAAGGATCTTATGTTCCGTTTCACTGCTTTGGAGTTCCTTCAAGACTAGACCACGAAGCAAAAAATATAAGAAATAGACATCTATTGAGTATTGCGTCTAAGTGGGGAATCCCTGGCTGCAGAAGGACAAGTTTGTGTTGGAAAAGGTGCAGAGACGAGCAACCAAGTTGGTACCTGAATTGAGAGATCTACCATACAAGCAACATCTCCGAGGAGACCTAACTCATAGAAACTTTTAAACTGTTTGATTTGAGAAGGATTTGAGAACCTCGACAGAAGGACGATTTTTAAGACAGGAACCAGCACCAGAACAGGAGATCTTCAAAAGGCTGAAGAATATTGGCTTCAGGAAGAAATGTTTCCTCCCAACGAATCATTAATGTCATAATGCTCTCTTTCAGGAGTGGCGAATGCTAGAACTGTGCTAGCATTTAGGAAAGAGCTTGCCTCACTTTGGGAGAGAACAATGATAGGATATGGGGTCACAATGGCTAGTGCCTAAATAAATTACCCCAAAACCGTATCTATGTAAGTGTTTTGAATCCACACTTCAGAATCACGTGGCTAGAAATAAAATCAAAGTGACAAGAACTATAATAGCCCCAAGACTTCCCTATCCCCAAAGAACACCAAGACTCCATATAATTTACCTGATATCAGAGTGTGGTTTGTCTTGAATTCTTTCTTGTTGTCTTCATGGAAAGCTAGCTTCCATACAGCTTTGGCAGCGGCGCGTTTCTCGGCTATGTTGTCCGTCTTTAACATGGTGATCAGTTTCGGCAGCACGCCATTCTGTAAATGTGAGGGGGTAAAAGGGCAATTTTTGAAGTGTTACCATGTATGGAAATAACTGAAGGAATGATTAGAATTCTGGTTTTATTTTCCGGATTAAATTACATAAAATAATATTTTGCTTCACAGGGAAGAACTCATGTGATGATGACTAGGTTTTTAGTTTATTTTTATTTTTATTTTGTTATTATTATTATTATTATCTTAAAATAAAAAAAAAAATCGCCTCTTGGTGGCAGCAGATTTTTTGCCATTGCAGTAAAATGGTACTTTCAATTAAATACTTGCGACAACTGATTTATGGATACAATATGCCTTCAATGGAGAGGTATAGTCTACATCCCTACATGTAGCATCCTTTTTGTGTCCAGCTTGGACGATGGTCGTCCCTACACTGCCTTGTTTCTTACCTTGACAAGTTTCACTTTGTTGGAGTCATTCACCGCCATGTGGACGATTCCATTGACGACCACCTCGGCCGAGAACGTGTAATGGTCCGAGTAGTGGCCCCGCTGATCTAAACATTTCCCCAACACCTTGAAGACAACACAAACAGGTTTGGTGGAAATCTTTCGCTGAATTCATTTAAAACTGATACCAATATTGTGTCATTTCGTTCCCGTCATTAACACGACCGACTTGACGAAGAAATAAAAACCATAATAGGAATACATGTAGATGTAGGCCTAGGATTTTATGCATGATAATAATTGTAGGATCAACAGTGAATGTTTTTGAATAGCGGTGTTTCTTACGGTATGTCTGCCGAGTTATCTGATCAGAACAAGGCGGTCAAGCTTGTGTTCTTGAGCAAGCCACTTTATCAAATTGTACCACTACAAGTGTGCGTTGCTCCTGTGGTATGGTTGTTTTCGAGCACATTAGGCACTCGATTCCCGAGTTACAAGAAATAGCAAGGAAATTGTATTTTACAAGTCAACAAATTGTACTCCATTTAAAAAAAAAAAAGACTCTCGACTCACCTTGAGAACGAAATTGATGTTATCGTCCGCTGTATTGAGAGCCTCGTTTTCGTCTTCATTGATGAGGTAGACGAGACAGAAGAGCGCCTTAGCGCGCATGATCATAAATCGACACTTCAGTAATTCTACAAGGAAAGATAATAATACATGTACATTGTAGAATGAACATAATATCTTTGTCAGGGCTACCGACCTTGACGAAGCCAATACTGTCCGAAGATTTGGCTCCATTTCTTCGGTTATATGAACACTGTTTTATGTTTATTTTTCTACACTTATAAACATGAAACACATTGAGTTTACAATTAAGCAGTTTGTTATACGGGCATTTTTTCATCGTCTAAGGCAATGTGAAATACTGCGAAAATTTATTTAAAAAAATCTTTTCACTCACAAGCTCTTGCAGCTGTAAAATTGAAGGATTCATAAAAAAACAAACGAAGTATTATAATTGTGTTTTCATTGTGTATAATGTGTATTGTAAAATGTTTTTTTTTTCAATTGCCTTGTATAAGATCTGGTGGTTTTCAAAAGGTTCTGTTAAAGTGGTGAGTTTGGATAGACAAAAAGAAAAATTTACACCGTTACAATCATACGCACGCCTTCCTGACGAATGTTTCAACTCTACGGGTGCAGTATAAATTTGCACACAGAGGCCGAATACAGTGAAATATCGATAAATCAAACTCTACTAACTCAAAACAACTGTTTAATCAAACAAAGAATCCATTGCCTTCAGTAGTGCATCAATGATATACAACCCTGCTTAACTCAAAACTCTGCTTAAGTCAAATTTTGAACCTGTTCCTTGAGATTTGACTTATTAAGATTTCACTGTACATTATGTTTTTCGTGGTAAGGTCCTGGCCGCAATGATTAAAATCCAATACCTTGAAGATGAGGAACAATTTGAGCTTCTCGGAACACGGGCTTGTTGTCGATGTTCTTCCGGATGATATTGGCCAAGATGTTGATCATCTTCTTCAGTGTCTCCCTTGGTGAGTTCCAGAGAGCTCTCTTGACCCCGCTCCTCAATCCCTCCTGGGTCATCAGAGGATGGTCAAACTCCTTGGCAATCAGCGGGACAATCCCGTGTTTAGCACTGCCCATTTCCACGCACAGGTTCCAACTGACGTGGGTGAAACTGATCGTGGCTTGCTTGAGAAGGTTGAAGGCAATGTATTCTCTCGTCAATCCCGGGGACAAGTAGATATCCTTATCGTAGACCGCGTTCCAGATTTTCACAAAAAGCTCCGGGTATCTCTTCTCCACCAGTTCATTCGCAAGTTCTGTGTCCGTCAAGTCACTCATTCGGCACACAGTAAGAAGACTTTCCATGGAGCTGTCATCGATGTAAGACTGAGTCACGTGAAGCCTCTCTAAAGATGCCACAAACTCCGGGTACAGTGCCTTCCGTTGGCCGGCCGTCTGCTGTAGACCTTCGGGGTCCAGCGGGCTCCGACGGGCCGTCTGGCCGCCGGTAGACGTGGCGACTTTCAGGAACTCTATGCACCGACGGACGATCGGCCCATGGTCAGTTTCATCGACTTCGGGTGCATGGAATCCCGAGCTCTCGGTCGGAGGACCTACGATCACTGTCTCTACATTTGTTTGTTTAGGGCGCCGGCGGGGGATGGCGGGTCCTTCCTCCACGGACCTACCATGGAGTTCGGATCTGCTAGGAGTAGAACTAGTACCGCACCCCATGGCGATAACTTTCACTCGCGAGAGTTAAAACATTTGTTCTGGCAGTTGTGATCTTGTGAACTCGGATGAAGACTACGAAGGTCTGTCTTGCGTATGTAAAACCGAAAAGACTCCGTATCTCTTCCTAGGATATGAAGGAACCCTTTTTCTCCACCATTAACTACAATGTCTTTTCTTCTGAAATGTTCATCCTTCAGATAACATGGCTGCCTGAGTCTACGGGTAAAACCAGTCTACGTACAGATGCATGCATGTACATGTACACGATTTATTCCTCATACGTATAATGCTTATTCATACGTCCACTGTTAACTTTATCGATTAAGATGCAAATAAGGCGATCGCTGATCCCTATCAAAGGCCGATTATTGAATGCGCTGATGGTGCGGATACCAGCGATTATTGTGTACTGGACCGTCCAGCTCAAAGTAAACCAGCCATGCGTTACTGTAACCTAGCAACCAGTATGCTACGGTGGCCGCCGATTCTAAAAAGGGTCATTATTTTTGGAAAACATAGATTTCCGTTTACCCCCATAAAGGCACCATTCCATAAATTTATTGAAATGGACTTTAGTGAACACCAGATTAAGAGATACTTAACTAAAAACATCTGCAAATCGACAACAATTTGCAATAACCAAATGAACACTGTTTTTTTCTGTGCGACTTTATTTACATGAAATAACTCAAACACAGACAAACGTAGGCCTTTTGTTTAACACATGAAAAATAAAAACCAAAAGTCAAGGGAAAAAACTATTAAAAGTGAACGATATTGGTTTCAGTAGTCAGTGAGTTACACTCAATCTCTTCAGAGCAATGAATTCAAACAAAAAATTCCTTTTCTCAAGTCTGTTTGTTGGATCATGACAATAAAAGATATTTACTGGAAAGCGATCTGGTTTGAAGCGTATGAAGGAAACGTGTGAGCTTGACCAAGACATTACTGGCGAACTTTCCCGCCTCAAACTTTCCAGTTATCTTACAAGAACCCATTACAAAGATCCTTCATTGAGACGACTACTTCAGCTAAAAACCCTCCTATGCAAACAAACGTTCCTTGCCAAGTTATCCTTTCAGTCAAAATCAATCAAGTGATTGTTTTCAACCCTTGAAGAATTCCCAGCCTACATAAGGCAGGATTGACTGGCTGGGACTGTTTATGTAACTTGATACAGCTACATTGTATGCTTTGACTGTGGGTGATTGGTAAGCCAGCAGTGCCCACAACTTGCCTGCTTTGTCTTTTGACTGAATTTGACTAGTCACAGTGCTTGCTTCAAGAATGATCTGACTGTTGGTGACTAGCCTGTATAAAAAGCATGGCGGGGGAAGTGGATTGATTTATTTGACTGTCTGGGACTGTTTAAATAGCAGGAGGTAAATTAAATAATCCATCAGCTGAGTGAGGGTCGGAACCCCACTCATCAATGCCAGAGAGTTCTTCAGCGACTTCACAATCAACGACTTGGGAATGTTTGTCCAATCCGAATGGTCCACCTTCCTTGACGACCGTCGAGTCTTAAGAGTCTAGAAAACCCCTCTCAGAACATGTTTTGGTCCAGCGTCTGTAGCTGCCGTAAGGCAGCCTTGCCGTATCCTCCCCGATCACTGTCAAAATCTGTCCGGTATTCATCCCTCACCTAAAGTAAAATCAAATCAAAAAAATCCAAATTATTAAATGAATAAATTACCGTAATAATAAATAGCAAATAGGGCCTATAAAATTTCTGTGTACGGATAATCTGTTTCCTTTCAGGAAAACAAGCACTTTTAATTCCATATGAATCACTAGACGATGAAGTTTGCCAAAAATAATTTGAGATAAGTAACTGATAAACTGTCATATTGGAGAAAAATCCCTTTTAACTGTGGATTGACAGACCCACTGGAAATAGAACAGCGGGTGGGATCTACCAACCTGTCCACCGCTCTTCCCTCTACCGAACTGCCTCCCCTCGATGAATCCAGCATCCCAATCCGTTCTGATGATGCGGTCGTCCAATCGCGTACCGCTGATGAACCTCAATGCATTGGAGGCATCTTCTCTTGCATAATATCTGATGAACTAGTCAAGGAACTTTCTCTCGCTTTAAAAACAAGGTCAGGCAAAACAGCGAGTGTAGGTGGAAATTCTTATGAGGACATTCTCCCGTGAAAAGGTACTTTGTGAAGAGACCATAAACACTGATGAGGCTGGCTGTCTTTGTTTATTTTAAAAGTTTGTTCATTTTAATGTCAGCAAGCTAATTTTTAGTCGGAGTATCATCCGTTGTTCAACAGAGCCCGCAAGCTCTGCAACAACGTCCGATATTTATGTGACCTGGTGCTATGTTACCTGGTGCACCAGTCGATCGCAGACGACCTTAGAAATTGTGACATCATTTGGAGCAGACATTCAGCCTAAGCTGTTGATTGGTCAGTTGGCTGCCATGTTTCTTTAATACAACAATAGGTTACTGAAAACCATACAGAAGACGCCTGCTGAATGGCCAGAATCTAGGGGTCAAGACGCAGTCATGTTTTGCACAAGTAATCGTCAAATCTGCGCGCATAATCGTAGAAGCTTGCTTTGCCAATGGCTATTTCATAGACTACTATTTTTAGTGATTTATTTTAAAATTTGTTAACCCAAAAGAAAAACAGGAGGATGATAACATTTAAAACGGAATTCATGGGTAAGGAAGGCTGGCAGTGAATTCAACAGGATGAAAAATATTACCAACATTTATAAAACTTAGAAAAAGAGCTAATTCCAGCATAAAATGTCCCAAGCCTTTTTTAGAAAACTAAAAACAACAGGTAGTTTCACTGCAAAATTGCATAATCTCGTCTTTGAAGAACATCCCACAGAAGGAAAGGAATTGCTTTCCAATGCTTTCTGTCATATTAACAAAAGGATACTCTATGAAGCAGAATCCACAGGGGGTTTTCCTGACTTTGTCCAGACCCATGATGATTCGCTTGAGGTCACCGCATTTGGAGAACAGCTCGTAGATTTGCTCTTCCGTCGTGAAAAAGGACAAGTTGCCGACATATAGTGTGGTGCTGTTCTTTAACCGTTTCTCTTGCTGAGAAATGGTTCCCTGTCAAGAAGTTAAGAGTAAACAATTAACAAAATGTACATATCGATAATGACCTCCAGTGACCTTAATTCTTAAAAAAGAAATGCTTAAAAATAAAAGACGTTTTTCAATAAAAAATTATGTAGGCCTACGTCACAAAATTATTAATCTATTTGAGATATGGCAGACACAATAGAAGCCCGCTATTTTGGTTTGGGTAAATAAATACAGAAGACTTGACTCAGATCAAACAGCGCCCTCCTCTGCCATACCCAAATAAACATAAAATAGGCACAATAATACTCCGAACCGCAGTTTACATCGTCCATTTTAAAGCCAAACAAGGGGAATTATTTCCAGATTTCGGGTTACTAATGATGTTTATTGTTCTGGTTTTGCAAAATACTCTAAAAATATCCTTAAAACACAGCAACTCACTCTATAATGTTGATCTCTATAAGAGCCAAGTTCCTGAGCGCGGTCGACTCGACTGATCGTCGCCATGTTGAATGCTATAATTTAGCGCAGAAAAGAGAGGGCGCCATTTCATTTTCCAAAAAAATTATTTCAGGCTGGTTTTCGAAAACTAGGATTTGCTACCAATTCGGCTTCATTACTGGCTCTGGAATAATTAATTACGAAGCTTTCACCGTCAAAATAAAATTAAAAGAATGTAATATTTTGGTCCCGATTTTTGGTGTAGACTAGTTCCCGATAGACTTTTAGCAAGTCTAGTGTTTAAAGGACAAACTTTGACCCCACGAAGTAAATATCAGCCTCGTGTCCATTCATAAAACAAGCTGCACATTAAGGTGTGTAATTACTAAAAGCACTGGGTGTGAGGCTAACATCGAAATTAAAAAAATGGCGTACTCCTTTCCACCACGAGGTTTTTCTCCAGCTTCAAACAATCAACAATTTACTCCGAATTTCGGCTGGCCACCTTTTCCACCTCCTTTTCAACAATCACAGGCGCCTCCGAGACCACCGTGGAACTATTCAGCCGGGCCTGACAGGCCTCCATTCCCCGGTGGAGGACCGCACTTTGGACCGCAAGTCCCCGTAAGGTTTGCCAATTTGGAACCGTTCGCACGCGGTGATCATGCTCAGACACCGAGCGAGCGAGGCGGGCTTGCGCCCGGTCCGCGCGCCGCCGAGCCCGGGGCGGTACCAGGGGAGTTCCCGCTGCAGAGACCTGCCGGACGCGAATCACGGAGTTTTCACCGTTCAGCCGACAGGACCAGAACCACAGACATCACAGAGTGTGAGACTTGGCCGGGAGTCGTGGGGAGAAAAGTGAGTTTATCAATATTTGACAATAATCATAAAAAGCTTTAATTTTATTTTATTTTTGCAAAGATTCCCATATCTGGCCGTCACTACTATTTCCCTTCAGTGACACATCAGCCACCAAAAAGTGACGATATGTCCTAAAAAGTCAAAATTAGCAGGGAAAATATTGAAGTATTTACTGAGAAAACACTTAGAAATTTTCAGACCAGTCTCACTCTCATTTGCGCACAGGCATGGCATTGTTGGCAGGGTGACAAGTGATGACCAGATATGGGAATCTTTCTCAAAATGGGAAATGTTTCTCAGTCCCTGATTCATGTCTTATCATTTTTTGCAATGACTGACCTTCATTGAGATCAGGTTGCAACATTCTTTCCGCCATTTCTTTGGTTGTGTACAAACTATATGGAGAGTTGAGTGCATTTTCAAAGTATTTTCTAACAAATTGGAAATGTCAGTCCAAGATTCATGATTTTTTAACATCTTTGGAATGACTGACCTTCAGTTGTTCAGGCCTCATTGAGATAATATATGATGAAAAAAGTGGCGTCAGGATGCAACAGTTTTTCCAATTCCAAAATGATTATCTGTAGTTTTACTTTTACTAGAATCGGCGGCATTTTCCAAATGATGGACAACACACAAGCAAAAACAAGAATGGACCCCAGAATTACACAAACGGCGGACCTTCAGCTTGGAAAAACCAACGAGACAAACCATCCAAAAAGAAACGTCGTGGGACAGGATCCAACGCTGCAAAGCAGGTTGGTTGAAAAACAAATGACATTCAAATGATGTAGATTTGAAAATCACTGTAGTTTGTCCTACAGAAGAAAAGGGATGACATGTCCATGTTGATGTAAAAATTGATATCTTTAATTCTCACTCCTGTTTTTTTCAGTTGCAGGCATCAAGCCAGTTGGAGCACTACTGTGATGTGTGTGACCGGGGCTTCAAGTCTCAGCAATTACTTGATGAACACATTGCAGAACACGTCAAGGTAACATTTTTTAATTGGCTAAGGTGTATGCCTGCTTACATTCGCATGTTACAAGGACAATCTTTTACCATTCTCTCTTTGGTGTTACCTGATGTAATTAACGGCTCATTTCTACATGCATTCACAATTTTTAATGTCCATTTAAAAAAAAAAACTTTAAAAACTTGGAAGAGAGTCTTGGAATACACAGGGGTGTGAAATCTCAGCTTTAAAGCTGATTTCAGCTATTTTTGTTTGGGATTTCAGCTTTTTTCCCTCACTAGCTGTGTACAAAAGTATAGGAGATTTCCAAAGTTCAGCTTTTTTACACCTTTTTTCCACCTTTTTTCAGCTGTTTTCAGCTATTTTTATCAGTGGTCACTCACACCCCTGAATACAGTATGTCAGAAATTCTTGTCACTTTAATTAACACGTTAGTAAGCCGGTGATTTCTGGAGGTTGGATCCATCCATTTTTTTGTAATTGAAAAAAACAATTGAAAAATTGTATTTTTATGAAATAAACTCAACTTATCTTTTACTCAACTAATCTTGTCCCCTTTCCAGTGCAACCATGAAGGCTGTAAGTTTGAAGCTCACTTCAAGGTCGTCAAGCTCCACACCAAGTTGCAGCACAGCGCAGGAAGTAAGAGAGTGGCTTGGATGGATACTCCTGCTGCGGTATCCAAGTGGAGAGAGGAGCGAAAAAGGTACAAATGTGCGACACATTTATCTGGTAAAAAGACGTAGCAGATCAAGAATGGGGTCTTAAACTTTCTTTGTTAGTAGCATTTACTGTTTAAACAGTGATGAAATTGAGTAATACTGGATCTTATCCCAAGATTTCTCTATAAACCCTTACCCCCTAGTAGTTCCTCAAGACTACCCTGCTACATATTAATCTAACAGAGTCCAACAGAGTCTTTCCTGTTCAATCCACTGTGCCTTATTCTGAGTTGTCTGCTGGATCCAACAGAGTCCAACTTGGCATTATAATGTGGTTCAGTTGCCTGCTGAATCCAACATATTGCAATTAGGATTGTCCACCAGGGGTTGACTGCTTAATCCAACAGGCTCCATCAGGTATATGATATAGTTGGATTCTGTTGGATTCTGTTGGATTCAGCCTTGTCCTGTTGGTGGTCTGTCTTTTCAATTGTCTTCTGAGCAAGTACTTGAGAGTAGACGTTCCTGTTGAAGTTCTGTATTAAATGAAAGGGTGAATTGATGTGTTTGAATCAATTGAATGACAGGAAGTACCCATCTCTCTGCAACATCACCAAGAAAGCCGAGGCCAGGCAGAGCAATGAAGAGAAAGGGGTTGTCCTCCAAAATAAATACTTTGGGTAAGTCAAGACAAGTTAATTAAATTACATGACAGGCTCATGCCAAATTTTGAGCCGAGAAGATTCTGATTTGGAATGCTTATCCAGATGTGACTGACATTTTGTTTAAAATATATTGATTTTAAACAAGTTGGTGGTGAGACAAATCCCTCCCCCCTGCCCCAGCTTCTGTCACTACTCACTAATAATAAAATAATAACAAATATTTGTTTTAACAGGGGTGTGAAATCTCAGCTTTTTGTTTTGGATTTCAGCTTTTTGCCCCTCACTTGCTGTGTACAAAAGTATAGAAGATTTCCAAAGTTCAGCTTTTTACACCTTTTTCAGCTGTTTTCAGATATTTTTATAAGTGGTCACTCTCACCCCAGTATAAATAGTAATAACAAAAATGCATATGTTGAAAACGTTTCATTTGAAATATTTACATGTAATTTCCATTTTTTTGTTTTTCTCTTTTCTAGCAAAATGCGACGGCCAAACCAAGGGCGGCAGAGACACAGGAACTTCCAGGGGGATGACGGGATTGATACGAAGAAAGCAAGAATGGATGCCATCCAGAACACAGAAGACAGCAGTCTGGAAAAGTCAAAGTCTAGCAAAGGTGATATCCTCTTCAGATTATGTTCTTGCGTTTAAATTGTCATTTATTAGCTTAAATAAAAGTTATAGAATTCAGAAATTTTCAAAGAATGCCAACAGTTACCGAATTCATGCAATAAACTTTGTGCCTTTTTTTCTCATTCTCAGATAAGAGCGATACTGCCCCCTCTTCCCCTACAACTCATCACCAGGGGGTGGTGGCCTCAAGCGGACAACTCGGATCTCTGTCAGCTCTGACTGCCTATGGCGATTCCAGTGAAGAAGAGGAGGGAGAAATTAAAGGTGGGTCTTGTCTGGGCTTCTGTCCTTATGTTGAGGACAAGCAATGCCTGGATAGGTGTTGGTATGCACCATGACAACGGACCGATCCATTAATTAGGCCCCGCCCTGACCATGATGTTCTGACCAATTACAGCTTTGCAACCAAATGTCAGATATAAATCTGACAAACTGCATTTAAGCATAATAAGCGCAGCTGTGAAATGCAATTTGGAACTTGTATTTTCCTACATGCAAAGTGGGCGGAGCTTATGGCCAAAAATGGAACAGTCCATTCTACCCTCCCTGTAGTCTAATGGGCTGATCTGTTAGGCTCCGCCCACTGCACACATGTTCAAGGACACATGTGCCTCTCCCATGCCACACTGCATGTTCCAGCCGTGCGCGTCATGTATGTGTATGTGCACAAATGTCGGACATTGATCCTAACACCATAGGGCGGGGCTTAAAGGATATTCTTGTTTGATTATTTAAATTAAGTTGACCCCACATCAGAGGTCATAAGGACAGTTATATGCAACTGTTCTCAGACAGTGATTGGAATTGTTCGCAGCATTTCAGACAGCTTCCATCACCCAAGGATAATTCAACCTGGAGTCGAAATCCGTCTTTCACTTTCTTGTTACTCACTTTAAGACGACGCCCCCGAGCCAGAAGTGGCCACGCCCCCACAGAAGCAGTCCCCGAGCATCAGAAGAAACAACGGAAGACGCAAGGTGGGTTGGAAAGGTTTCAAAGGAAGGAAGGCGACCAGATGCTCAAAGGCAGACCGAAGAGTTAACAACAGAGAACAGAATGATCTCCAACTCAGACTAAAGAAGAGACCCAACTTGTTGGAAATGGTAAATATATCGGCAAATGAGATCTTTGTGTTCAAGCTAATGGTTTTTACGAGTCCAAGAGGGCAGGCCAAATGCCCTCTCTGTACCTATCTCCCAGACCGCTCACTGACTGACTGTCACTTGTGACGAGCCGGCCACACACGAGAGCTATGTGCTAAGCAAAAAGTCCTTCAAGGCGATTTGTTCAGCACGTACATTATGTAGCTCACCATGTGCGGTGAACTTTTACATAGTTTTTTTGCCTCACGACGCCTTGAGGCAAATATCTGTCCTTTTTCCCCCCCAAATGTCTAAGGCATACCATGACTTTTATCTTGTTGACCAAAAATGAAATTTGATACGTGTAACTGTTGTGAAGGCTACAGCAGTAAAGTAAAGACAACTTGAAAAATACATCTGGTTTTATTTTAAGGATATAATTCTAAGTCTTGAATGCATAGAAGTCAAATGTAGCATCAGAGGACTTGAACACATCTGATACTAAAAACTGAGAGAGTTTCTTGAAAGTATTAACAGTTTATAGAACTTCCGTTAAGTACATTTTCACCCTTCCTTTGTACAGCTTCTGGCACCAGAGATCCGCAAGGAACGTAACATCATTCTTCAGTGTGTACGGCACGTGGTCCACAACGACTTCTTGGGTGTGAATCAAACCAAAGAGACGGAAAGGGATTCAGAGAGCAGACCTCCGTCGAGCTCGGAAGAATCTGTCAACATAGAGTCCAAGGTAGAGTCGAGAGCAATGATCGGAAATCCCACAAATCTTGATGTTGGTGTGGAGGATTCGCAGTTGAACGAATCGGAAGAAAAGACAGTTGAAAACGCAATCGCCGTTCAAGGATCTGATTGGACAAAGATACTGGACACAGACATCGCAAAAATTGCAGATGAGCAAACAATTTCTCAAGAAGGCAAAGAAGGCGTTTTGAAGGAAGGGACCAACGCGGAAGTAGCTCAACAAGATGACAGTACCAGAAACGGGGAAAGTGATATTGGGACTGACGCAGTCATCACTTACAGGGAAGAAAGAACTGACGGAATAACAGAGGTAAACAGTTCAAAAATTGGACTTGATGTGGAAAGTGGTGAAGCGCTTATTGCAAAAGGAAGAGAAAGTCACATCGTCCAAAATGGTGCTAGTTGTGATAAGGTTACGACAGATTGCAATGCAAACCCAAGTGTAAATGGAGTTCTGGGTGTTACAACTTCCATTGGGGAAGAGAGCAATTTGGAAACTGTGGAGAATTTACCGAAATTGGAATTTCTTTTCACAAACCGACAAACAGAAGCATTGTTTTAAAGCAGAAGGTCAGACGCTATGGTTTGAAGTAATAATTTTGTCAATTCTTGGTACGCTAAAGGTAATACAGTCGACTCTCGTTAGTACAAACTCTGTTAATACAAAATTCTGGTTATAACAAACATAAAGCCTTAGTCCCAACTGTGCATTTATGTGCAGATAGAATGGGACTGATGTTCCTCTTAATATAAAATTCTGATATAACAAACAATTTGGCTAGGTCCTAACGAGTTTGTATTAACGAGACTCGACTGTATACAACATTTGCGAATATCAAAAATCAAAACAAAATTATTATGAACTATCTTACTTGACTGTAACTGAATACATAATAGTCTAAAGCATCCTGTGAAATCATGGCACCTGTTATGCTGTCATTTTCAAGAAGAGTGGAATATTTGTATTCATTTCCAAAAACGATTGACCAACCACTATTGGGAAAAAAACTGACTTTTTATTGCCCCCAATTTACCAATTTACAAAAATGTAGTTAGTACACATTTTTTTTGCAATCGGTTACACATCACGTGAACAGGTATGGTGCAAGCCAGCGAATCTGGTTCCCTGACTTGACATTGCCCTGACGTCTATTAATTGTGCCATTTCGTCTGAAATAGTGTCAGGGAACCAGACTACAAGAACAGCATTTTTTTCTTGTTTTTTGCAGCATCCATGAAACAAAACTTTAAACAGGTCAGTGTAACACAATTTGCTACAAATACTAACCCCCAAATCCATCCATTCTGGAAATTACCTCAATAGCAAATTTGAATATTACCTTTAACTCAGCCAATAGACTCGAGGAATGTGAAACAGGAGGGGAATTGATCGAAAGAACACCAATAAAAATCACATGTATAAAACATAAAGAACATAAAAAAACCTGTTTTGGAATGAAATCCGAGGAAGAAAGGGCCTGAAGAAATGTAGGAAATTGGAGGTGTATTAAGCCATTTTCAAGTAATCACACCAATGACAGGAACAATGATTATTAATTACTCATTTTGTGTTCATTGCGCATAAGCTTCTCTGAAACTTTTCCTTCAAGAATACATGTTCACACATTTCATTTGGCTTATTCATTTACTGACCGCTTGCAGGTGTTCACAGCATAAAGTATTTCACGTTTGAAGTGGAAAGTTCCAAGTCCATAGACTCCTTTAAATCATGGTCTTTGTTTTTTGGAACATGGAAATTGTCTTAAATTGTTTACAGATTAACTCGCCTTTTTTAAATGCTGCATTTAGCTGATTCTAATTTACTACATGTAAGACTAATGAATTAATTCAGTGCATTTTTTGTCATCGCATTTTGGAACTAATCTTTGATATTTCATTTGATTTTTTTTTATCTGAATGCATCTCCTTTGAATAAAATATTCACGACCTCATAATGTATGCCTTAAAATTGTGGCTTTAATTTTTTCATGATTGATGTTCCTCTTGCATCCAGATGAATTTCTGCCTTGTTTTGAGAAAAGTCAATTTTTGGCCGATTTTGACTAAAAATGTAAGGCTAACCCCTTACATTTTTTTCAATTTTGGCCAAAAAATGAAATTTCTTGAAAGCTGCTAGAAAGATGCCTTAAGGCCTCTAGAACGCATTCCAAATCGATTACTGGACAGATGTGCTATTAAAGGGGAAATTCCGTCGAAAAATTTAAAGGAAAAATCGCTCAAAAAATATTTATTTATCCTCCAAAAATCGATGATTTTTGCCCAAATCTTCCAAATTATGCGTGTTAGAGTATTGATTGATGTTCCTCTTGCATCCAGATGAATTTCTGCCTTGTTTTGAGAAAAGTCAATTTTTGGCCGATTTTGACTAAAAATGTAAGGCTAACCCCTTACATTTTTTTCAATTTTGGCCAAAAAATGAAATTTCTTGAAAGTTGCTAGAAAGATGCCTTAAGGGCCCTAGAACGCATTCCAAATCGATTACTGGACAGATGTGCTATTAAAGGGGAAATTCCGTCGAAAAATTAAGGAAAAATCGCTCAAAAATATTTATTTATTCTCCAAAAATTGATGATTTTTGCCCAAATCTTCCAAATTATGCGTGTAGGAGTATTGATTGATGTTCCTCTTGCATACAGATGAATTTCTGCCTTGTTTTGGGAAAAGTCAATTTTTGGCCGATTTTGACTAAAAATGTAAGGCTAACCCCTTACATTTTTTTCAATTTTGGCCAAAAAATGAAATTTCTTGAAAGTTGCTAGAAAGATGCCTTAAGGCCCCTAGAACGCATTCCAAATCGATTACTGGACAGATGTGCTATTAAAGGGGAAATTCCGTGGAAAAATTAAGGAAAAATCGCTCAAAAAATATTTATTTATTCTCCAAAAATCGATGATTTTTGCCCAAATCTTCCAAATTATGCATGTTAGAGTATTGATTGATGTTCCTCTTGCATCCAGATGAATTTCTGCCTTGTTTTGGGAAAAGTCAATTTTTGGCCGATTTTGACTAAAAATGTAAGGCTAACCCCTTACATTTTTTTCAATTTTGGCCAAAAAAATGAAATTTCTTGAAAGTTGCTAGAAAGATGTCTTAAGGGCCCTAGAATGCATTCCAAATCGATTACTGGACAGATGTGCTATTAAAGGGGAAATTCCGTCGAAAAATTAAGGAAAAATCGCTCAAAAAATATTTATTTATTCTCCAAAAATCGATGATTTTTGCCCAAATCTTCCAAATTATGCGTGTTAGAGTATTGATTGATGTTCCTCTTGCATCCAGATGAATTTCTGCCTTGTTTTGGGAAAAGTCAATTTTTGTCCGATTTTGACTAAAAATGTAAGGCTAACCCCTTAAATTTTTTTTCAATTTTGGCCAAAAAATGAAATTTCTTGAAAGTTGCTAGAAAGATGTCTTAAGGGCCCTAGAATGCATTCCAAATCGATTACTGGACAGATGTGCTATTGAAGGGGAAATTCCGTCGAAAAATTAAGGAAAAATCGCTCAAAAAATATTTATTTATTCTCCAAAAATCGATGATTTTTGCCCAAATCTTCCAAATTATGCGTGTTAGAGTATTGATTGATGTTCCTCTTGCATCCAGATGAATTTCTGCCTTGTTTTGGGAAAAGTCAATTTTTGGCCGATTTTGACTAAAAATGTAAGGCTAACCCCTTACATTTTTTTCAATTTTGGCCAAAAAATGAAATTTCTTGAAAGTTGCTAGAAAGATGCCTTAAGGCCCCTAGAACGCATTCCAAATCGATTACTGGACAGATGTGCTTTTAAAGGGGAAATTCCGTCGAAAAATTAAGGAAAAATTGCTCAAAAAATACATATTTATTCTTCAAAAATCGATGATTTTTGCCCTAATCTTCCAAATTATGCGTGTTAGAGTATTGATTGATGTTCCTCTTGCATCCAGATGAATTTCTGCCTTGTTTTGAGAAAAGTCAATTTTTGGCCGATTTTGACTAAAAATGTAAGGCTAACCCCTTACATTTTTTTCAATTTTGGCCAAAAAATGAAATTTCTTGAAAGTTGCTAGAAAGATGCCTTAAGGCCCCTAGAACGCATTCCAAATCGATTACTGGACAGATGTGCTATTGAAGGGGAAATTCCGTCGAAAAATTAAGGAAAAATCGCTCAAAAAATATTTATTTATTCTTCAAAAATCGATGATTTTTGCCCAAATCTTCCAAATTATGCGTGTTAGAGTATTGATTGATGTTCCTCTTGCATCCAGATGAATTTCTGCCTTGTTTTGAGAAAAGTCAATTTTGGCCGATTTTGACTAAAAATGTAAGGCTAACCCCTTACATTTTTTTCAATTTTGGCCAAAAAATGAAATTTCTTGAAAGTTGCTAGAAAGATGTCTTAAGGGCCCTAGAATGCACTCCAAATCGATTACTGGACAGATGTGCTATTAAAGGGGAAATTCCGTCGAAAAATTAAGGAAAAATCGCTCAAAAAATATTTATTTATTCTCCAAAAATCGATGATTTTTGCCCATATCTTCCAAATTATGCGTGTTAGAGTATTGATTAATGTTCCTCTTGCATCCAGATGAATTTCTGCCTTGTTTTGAGAAAAGTCAATTTTTGGCCGATTTTGACTAAAAATGTAAGGCTAACCCCTTACATTTTTTTCAATTTTGGCCAAAAAATGAAATTTCTTGAAAGTTGCTAGAAAGATGTCTTAAGGCCCCTAGAATGCATTCCAAATCGATTACTGGACAGATGTGCTATTAAAGGGGAAATTCCGTCGAAAAATTAAGGAAAAATCGCTCAAAAAATATTTATTTATTCTCCAAAAATCGATGATTTTTGCCCAAATCTTCCAAATTATGCGTGTTAGAGTATTGATTAATGTTCCTCTTGCATCCAGATGAATTTCTGCCTTGTTTTGAGAAAAGTCAATTTTGGCCGATTTTGACTAAAAATGTAAGGCTAACCCCTTACATTTTTTTCAATTTTGGCCAAAAAATGAAATTTCTTGAAAGTTTCTAGAAAGATGTCTTAAGGGCCCTAGAATGCACTCCAAATCGATTACTGGACAGATGTGCTTTTAAAGGGGAAATTCCGTCGAAAAATTAAGGAAAAATCGCTCAAAAAATACATATTAATTCTTCAAAAATCGATGATTTTTGCCCAAATCTTCCAAATTATGAGTGTTAGAGTATTGATTGATGGTCCTCTTGCATCCAGATGAATTCCTGCCTTGTTTTGGGAAAAGTCAATTTTTGGCCGATTTTGACTAAAAATGTAAGGCTAACCCCTTACATTTTTTTCAATTTTGGCCAAAAAATGAAATTTCTTGAAAGTTGCTAGAAAGATGCCTTAAGGCCCCTAGAACGCATTCCAAATCGATTACTGGACAGATGTGCTATTAAAGGGGAAATTCCGTCGAAAAATTAAGGAAAAATCGCTCAAAAAATACATATTAATTCTTCAAAAATCGATGATTTTTGCCCAAATCTTCCAAATTATGCGTGTTAGAGTATTGATTAATGTTCCTCTTGCATCCAGATGAATTTCTGCCTTGTTTTGAGAAAAGTCAATTTTTGGCCGATTTTGACTAAAAATGTAAGGCTAACCCCTTACATTTTTTTCAATTTTGGCCAAAAATGAAATTTCTTGAAAGTTGCTAGAAAGATGTCTTAAGGGCCCTAGAATGCACTCCAAATCGATTACTGGACAGATTTGCTATTAAAGGGGAAATTCTATCGAAAAATTAAGGAAAAATCGCTCAAAAAATATTTATTTATTCTCCAAAAATCGATGATTTTTGCCCAAATCTTCCAAATTATGCGAGTTAGAGTATTGATTGATGTTCTTCTTGCATCCAGATGAATTTCTGCCTTGTTTTGGGAAAAGTCAATTTTTGGCCGATTTTGACTAAAAATGTAAGGCTAACCCCTTACATTTTTTTCAATTTTGGCCAAAAAATGAAATGTCTTGAAAGTTGCTAGAAAGATGCCTTAAGGCCCCTAGAACGCATTCCAAATCGATTCCTGGACAGATGTGCTATTAAAGGGGAAATTCCGTCGAAAAATTAAGGAAAAATCGCTCAAAAAATATTTATTTATTCTTCAAAAATCGATGATTTTTGCCCAAATCTTCCAAATTATGCGTGTTAGAGTATTGATTGATGTTCCTCTTGCATCCAGATGAATTTCTGCCTTGTTTTGAGAAAAGTCAATTTTTGGCCGATTTTGACTAAAAATGTAAGGCTAACCCCTTACATTTTTTTCAATTTTGGCCAAAAAATGAAATTTCTTGAAAGTTGCTAGAAAGATGCCTTAAGGCCCCTAGAACGCATTCCAAATCGATTACTGGACAGATGTGCTATTAAAGGGGAAATTCCGTCGAAAAATTAAGGAAAAATCGCTCAAAAAATATTTATTTATTCTCCAAAAATCGATGATTTTTGCCCAAATCTTCCAAATTATGCGTGTTAAAGTATTGATTGATGTTCCTCTTGCATCCAGATGAATTTCTGCCTTGTTTTGAGAAAAGTCAATTTTTGGCCGATTTTGACTAAAAATGTAAGGCTAACCCCTTACATTTTTTTCAATTTTGGCCAAAAAATGAAATTTCTTGAAAGTTGCTAGAAAGATGTCTTAAGGGCCCTAGAATGCACTCCAAATCGATTACTGGACAGATGTGCTATTAAAGGGGAAATTCTATCGAAAAATTAAGGAAAAATCGCTCAAAAAATATTTATTTATTCTCCAAAAATCGATGATTTTTGCCCAAATCTTCCAAATTATGCGTGTTAGAGTATTGATTGATGGTCCTCTTGCATCCAGATGAATTCCTGCCTTGTTTTGGGAAAAGTCAATTTTTGGCCGATTTTGACTAAAAATGTAAGGCTAACCCCTTACATTTTTGCAATTTTGGCCAAAAAAAGAAATGTCTTGAAAGTTGCTAGAAAGATGCCTTAAGGCCCCCTAGAACGCATTCCAAATCGATTACTGGACAGATGTGCTATTAAAGGGGAAATTCCGTCGAAAAATTAAAGAAAAATCGCTCAAAAAATATTTATTTATTCTCCAAAAATATGATAATTGCCCAAATCTTCAAAATTGTGCGTGTTAGAGTATTGATTGATGTTCCTCTTGCTTCCAGATGAATTCCTGCCTTGTTTTAAAAAAAGGCCAATTAAAATGTAAGTTGACCCCTTTCATTTACATACACGAATTTTGTAATTTTGACTGAAAATATTATTTTTAGACAGACTTTTCAAGATTTTTAAATTTTATTTCATGAAATATTGTACATCTTTATTCTCTAAATTGCACATGACTGGGTGTACAGAAACAATGCATACTTACAAACATTCGTAAGGTGGAAACAGTCCATTGAAGATAAAAACGAGTAACATTTCATAAGGATCTTTAATTCCAAGGACACCACTGATTTTACCTTTGACTTTTTCAACAACTCTTTCCCAAAACACAAAATATTGAACACTGTTCTGCTCTGCAATCAAATAATTGTTCCTGCTTAATACTGTGTCACATTCCCCTATTTCAAGCACCATAATCTAGCGATGCTTCAAAATCTAATAAAACATGTTGCAGCATTTTGTAGTAACTCATCAAAAAGTTTTTCATGCATAAATACACGTAACATAAATTACTAAAACCAAATTGAAACCTCAAATGAACAACTGTACCAGAAGAAGAGATGTTCATTTCGCACAAGTCTGAAAAAATGTTGAAATCTATACATTTTCTCACTTAGTCATCTAAAATGTTTACACACGTATGTATTTCAAAGTTTATCAAAAGGTCTTTAGCAATAAATAAACTGTTGTGGGAAAGAATGTGTCAACCTGACGCCACTTCAGAATTTCCTAACATAATTGGAAATGTTTCTCAGTCCAAGATTCATGTCTTATCATCATTTTTGCAATGACCGTCCTTCACTGAGATAATTTATGAAGAAAAAAGCAGCGTCAGGTTGCAACATTCTTTCCCTTTTGTGACCTGTATATATTAATATTCTATGTGTTAATGGTACCATTTCAATTCATTAAAATAGACATTCACTATTACATGTATATGCTATCTTCCTTGGATAATGGGTGAAAACCCCCCCCAAAACAACAACAAAAATCAAGAAATCAATGCCTGAAATAGTTGGAAATTAGACGGCATATCAGAGGGTGTATTTTTTGGTTTTGTTTTAGGGTTTTTCCCCCGTAGAGCGTTTCATCAAATTTTTACATTTCAGGAAAAGTGGAGATGATGAATTAGGTGAGGGGAAGCGGGGTAGTTCGATTTTTTGTTTCCTCTGAAAACAAGGTCAGCTTTTGAAGTCACTGAATTAGTGTCATATATGTACTGGATCTTATATTGTGGGCCAGTAACATTTTCAATCAAAGTCTTCGTTCAACCTACAATGTACGTATGCCGGATGAGTCAGGATAGAGACTTGTCTTGAAGTTAGCCAGAAGTGCGCATACCATCCACATTTCATTGGCCGACTCCGCCAAGCTCCTGGGAATAATGGTTCGGAAGACGCGGTAATCCTGGACGTGGGCAAGCGCTCGCTCTATGTGCTGTTTCAACTCCCTCATTTCCTGCGTCGGGTGCGTTTCTCCGTTACGCGACCAAAATGAGGGGACTACGATGGGAGACTTGTAGGTACTAGGGACGTCTGGGATCTGGAAGCTTTCGCGTGCCAGGACGGTACAAGGGTCCACAATCAGGTTTAAGATTCTAGATGACTTAGTGATTTGGTAGTTTGAGATACAACCATCGTACAAGTTGCTCACAAATATGACGGCTCCGTTGGGGCTAATGCCAAGCAGGCCCTTGAAGGTGAGGATGACGTCCGAACTGTCGCGTCCTGGAATCTCCGTTCCAGGCATTTGAACCGTGACATCTGTGCAGTCCAGGATTACCCGGGTGCTTGGATACGTCGTCCTGAAGCACGCGGGCATGGTCGCATCCACGGCCTTCCTGCTAGGCCAGATTTGGAACTTGCGCAATGAGATGAACAGGTAGTTGATCCACACCAACAGAATATAGGTGACGGACTTGACCGACAGGTTGAACCTAACGGCAAGATCCTGTTCGTGGAAGCCTTGCTTCACGTAGCACAGAAACATGAAGAACTGATCGATAAGTTTTAACGGCATTCCGAGATCTCCAGTTGTCCCCATCGTTAGATTACAATATCTCCGTACCTCGGTCCATCGTAAGGAATTGCTTTTACTCAGGGGATCTAGGGCCATGTAAACGGCCTTCAGTGTCTCGTAATCGGCAAAGCCGGTGTAGTACTCGATGCACTCCGAGTCGCTGGAAAACCTCTCCAGGAAGAACAGTTTGCTGATCAGCGTTTTGCACTGTGACTCCAGAGCATTAATCCTGTCACTGGCAAGATGAAGCTGGGTCTGAACGTCTTGGGTTTCATTGTCGGATGACCAAAGACCGCATGTTGAAGTCTGTGCTGGTATGTTGGCCGATTCTTGCTCATCTGGTGCCTCCTGCTTGTGGACGCTGGGACCAGTTGTGTCTTGGACCGTGCCTTCAGTAAGACTGCTGCAATGCAAAGCAAAATAAAGACACATGAGTATCCGTTTTTGTGTCAAAGTGTAGTGTGTTCTGCAACCAACTCAGACAAGCTAAATGGGGACAAGTGTACTCATAAACACTGCCCCAGACAGTAGCATAGATATAGAGTCAGATGACAGCCAACATTTCAATGTTCCTGTGACCTCTCATATTAAGTCACCATGTTCGAAGCTTTTAAACACAGAGATTTACTGAAAGAGAGAGGGCCATGATGTACAAGAAGTTTATATCAAGAGAAGAAGGATATGAAACAAAATAGGATGTACATTGTAGTTGACTCCATCACAAGTCCAAGCAAGTTCCAATTCAATCGCAAGCTATTCAAACGAGCTTAGACGAAGGAATTCCTTTCTCATTGTTTATCCATTGTTTCTTTTGACTGGACTTGTGATGAACTCAACTAAAGTATATCCCCGATATGGTCGATATCTTTTCTATCTCCTTCTGCTTTGTCTTAGTATTTCAAGCAATAGTTCCTCGGAAACATTAGAACTTCATGACAAAATAACTGGTGTAAATTCACGATGCTAGCTTACCTATCAGCGACGTCAGATCCCAAAGCAGTCATTAACGAGTACGCCCTGGAGAGCTGGAACTTGGACGGCAAGACTCGAGGCTTCACAACTCTCATCCCGCTCTCGTCGGTGACGATGTCGGACTTTCGAAAATGCCTTGAGCAAATCCTGGTGTCTTTGGTTACCTGTGGTTACAAAATAATAAACAGATGGGCATAGATTTTAGGAATTTTGTTAATTCAATGCGAAACGCAAAAAGAGAAAAGAGACAAACAAGAAACGTGAATTGAGGAAAACAACTTGTCCATGAAATGGAGTTTTTTTTTCAAAAATTGTGAGTTCACCTGCAAATCCTTGCCGAATTTCACTGTGATTTTTTGGACCCATCGGTGCTTAAGTTCAAGACTCTTGGGAAACGGATGGAACGACAGACTCTGGGTTTGGTTGTAACGGGAATCGTTGCAGCAGTTAGGAACGCAGCACTTGTCCATGTGCGTACATGTTTGCGGCAGGTGACGGATGTTGCTGTTGTAGGAAAAAAGACTTGGGACGTAATCCGGATCCTTAGGATCATCTGAAGCTGCACCTGTGGGAATGAAAATAAGTTCCGTGAAAAACGTTATCCTTACATATTTCAAATCTTGATTTTTGCTTAAGCCTTTGGTCTTTTAATGTGCGACGCCTCATCCCCACCCCCCCCCCCCCCCCAAATAAAGGATTTCAAAGTAAAAAAAAATGTGACCAAATCCCCACATAAGACCCGGGGTGCATGGGGAGGGAGAGGGGACTTTGCGTAATTAGGCAGTGGGTATTTTGCCGGATCGCACTCATAGCAAATAAGCATCAGGCATGTCAGGAAATATAATGCCGAATATTAATTAAGATTTGTAATCCAATAACTCTGTGGAAAGAATGTTGCATTTTGACGACTGATGCCACTTTTTTCTTCATATACTCATCTCATAAAGGTCAGTCATTGCAAAAGTGATGATAAGACATGAATCTGGGACTCACTGAGAAACATGTCCAATTTTGTTAGGAAATACAATTAACGCTCCATAGACTTTGTACACAGCGAAAGAAGTTGCGTCTGTATACTTATTACCACATTTGTTTTCCAATTCTGCAACTGACCTGATACGAAATGTGCACTACAGATCCGAGCGTGTTCAGGCAATTTCTTCCGGCATATGGCCTGCATCCACAGCCGTCGTTTCTCGATCTTCTGCGGTGTGCGACCCCACGGAATCCGGTAGAAATGCAGCTCCACTCCGTCGGTCGTAGCGCGCTTCCTCTGCCGTCGATTCTTGCAGCCGACGGCACTGCAAGTATCAGGCATTCTCTGGCAAGGCTTCTGGCCTGAAATCTGGAGAATAATGTTGAGAATTTGGACTTTTGGAGGTTTTCTTAGCGGAATAAACCATGAAAGCAATGAGATCTTTATTATGCCTGCCGGAAGTGCTAATGTGCAGTAGTTGAAGCCCGCCCTCTATTGTTAACTTGGGAACGTTGCTTTTTTTTTTAAGGCCATGCAATGATTATGAAAATAAAGAAGTTTTCAAATGAAAAGAAAGAGGCGTACATTTATTTCAACGAAAATAAAGTGAAAAAGTTACACAGATTGTCGTTCATGAATTTTGAATTTCGTGTCGTGGAGAGAAAAAAATACTGCGCGAAGTGATTCTGAAGGGCGCCACCGTGCGACGCTCATAAGCAAGTATAGCTCTATGGTTGAAGTTCGGACATTTCGGCCGGGAAAATTCAGATACAGCGGCCTCAGAGTACTGACACGACAGAACGTATAATTATAGGACTTTTTTCGCCATTTTTTTTTAGCACTGGAAGACTTACTGGTAGTGGGCTCATTGTATTCTTTAATGATTTGGAAGTACAAAATGTTGGCCTACATACCTGCATAAAAATCGGGTAAAGCCTGGATGGGTTTTACTATCCAAAAAGCAAGGTCAGCTGAAATCTTGTCTCCGATCGATCGAACAGCACTTGAAAAGCAAACCAAAATGCACAATGAAATACTCCTGTAATTAATTAGTTATTCATTTATTCACCAGCCAGTGTTCTGAATTGAAGCAATAATTTGCACTGTGACTGCATATGCCGACGTGCAGACCGCAATTTGGCCTTACTGAGCAACTCCAGCTTCTAACGTCACATGCTAGACTTTTTTTTCTTTTTTCAATGATCCATTTTCCAGGGTTCACTGATCAGTACTGCGTGTTACACCGCTAACCGATTTTACGAGCTCATCCTTTAGAAACGAATAAAAGTCATCCAGACTGTTCGAGGACATTACAACAGCCTCCCCGCCAGCAACAAATGAATATCGCATGCAGATTGTGTTTTAGTGTGCGACGATCGAGGTGAAAGCAACGCAATGGCTCCCGTTGGAGCGGAGGATGGTTTAGGAGTCCAACCCCACGCAGGATTCTGGGGGCCTAAATCCTCGACCCTAGACTGGTGCGAACGGAACTATGCCACTACGACCTACATCGCTGAATTCTGTAAGTTCCAATGCAAACACGCTGTTTTAAATTCGCATTATATTATATATCGTTTAGAATAATTATAGCAAGAACCGAATCAGCCTGATCCGACTAAAGTCAAATGAATTGTTGCAAAATTAAAATATTTCAACAAGAAAAGGATAGGAGGATAAAATTGCTGTCTTCCGACAATAAGCATATTGGAATCCAACAATGGGTGTTCATATTGTGCAGTGGACTCAGTCATATTTTACCTATATTCTATAATTTTTTTTACAAGCAAAGACACAGCGTTGTATACTGAAATCAATAACTCTCCTTTAGAACAACGAATCTAAACACAACCATGGTTCATTCAGTACAGACAAAAACAGCTGGTTTGTTAAACGCGAACGCTAACCGATCTATTTTTAGCAGCGAGTTCAGTGACAGACTGCAATTAATTATAGACCAACGCTTGACATTATATGCCGTTACATTTAAATGAAAAGATTCAATAATTTGTTTGATCCGACAATGGTTGCTCGAAGATGGATTCAAATATGAGCTGAATGGTGTTGGAACTCAGAAGTACATGAAATAATTATTTGATTTCAAAATTCATGATGAATAGGCCTAGGCTATAGGCTTAATACTAGAACTGATTTTACATCGAGCCTGCGAAATCTCAAGTTGCAGACAATCTGAAAGTGTAATGATGTATGTATACAACTAGTCTGGGACGGTCTGCGATATGCTCTGCATAAGCGTGTCTCGCGATCGCCTGCTTTAGTCTCAGACACGTGCAATCTGGGACCAATATGGGTTCAAAATCCCGATCGTGGAGCCAGAAGTTATGAATATTCATTATGATAATTATCATCATTCATGTGCAACCTTCACGTGACACCACCTAGGTATCAGTTGCACATCGTAATGCATGTACAACATGTGTATTGCCACCGACGTCTGACACTAAATTCAGATAATCCATGTAATGATAAGCCACCACAATTTCATACTGGGAAAATAACACCTGTGTTATCCATAATCTGCTTATGAAGACACTGGGGATCAGACCGATGATAGAATTATCTTATATCTTATATTAACACAAATCCAAAAAGAAGAAAACTTTAGTAAACTGACACATTTTCGTATCAGGCTATTCTAATCTGGGCACGCTATAAATTCTATCATGAAGGCCCCCTTCAATGGCAAAAGCATTGTGCTAGCTATTGTTCAGAGTCACTTTGCACTGACAATAGTGTGCACAATGGTTTCTCCATTGATGGGGGCCTCGTAAGTGTATACAGTTATCACATGCTCGGATACGATCCAAAGGTGGATCGTATTATTTGAGTCCCTTTTATATTGTGTTCCTCAGGGAACACAGTGAGTAACATCGTCTTCATCATTCCGCCACTGTTCGGCATCGCCTTCGCCTGGAGAGACCGAGTCGACCTCAGGTTCATCCTATCCTACATCGGAGTAATCTGTAAGCCCTTATACTTTTCAGCAGTCTGAACAAAAAAAACTATACTATTTTGTTGTATTTTGCAGATTTTTGTTTGTGAGTAATTCAGGTACAAAATAACTGAAGACTGGCCCTCTGTGACCAGCAAAATTACCCAGAATGCACGTGAAATTTTCTCTGTGTCTGCCTCTATAGCTTATTAATCAGTGTTCTTTTTGTTAAAATTCTGTTCCAGTTATTGGCATTGGATCGATTAGTTTTCATCTGACGCTCCATATCTTTTCACAGGTTTGTTTTAAGGTTCATTTTTGTTTTAAAGGGAAAGCATTAACAACGTAGGGTCATGCACTGTCGCAGGGGCGGAGCTAGCTTCCAGAAAACGCACCGAGAAGGGGGGTCTCGATATTGAGTAAAGGTGCACTCCTGCTATTTGGGATCCGGGGCATGCATTGCCCCTCCCCCGTTCCAAGGCAATTCGAGAATAATTTTTGGGACTTTGAGACAAATTTTTAGTATATTTGGCCCCATGTTACTGCTAGAGGGCGGCCTAACGATTGGCTTCTCCAATGGGTGTAATATAAAATAATAGAAATACCAGCACCTTTTACGAAAAAAAAGCTGGTTGAAATGTATTTGTATACTGTTTTAATAGTCTCAAGTTGTTGAGATTTGCAGTACAGTATCTAGTTATTTCACTCAAGTGATTTTCTCTGCTTGTTTTTTCCTTCAGATGTTGGATGAAATCTCGATGTTATGGGCCACCTCCTTCTTTCTATACTGCATGTAAGGTTCGACTATTCATTCCGTCGAGAACTACCAGGAATTAAAAAAAAAAAATAATAACACGGTCAAATGATCAAAAATGGTAGTACTAATACTCGAGTGTCAGTTGAAAGCAAATAAAAAGGAACAAATATTATTATTGTCTCTTACCACAAGGAATAAGCCTACTTTAAAGAGTCCATGCAATTAATTTCACTGAAGAACATATTCTTTGCAACTTCATTCTCTGCTTAAAATAATGTATAAACACTATTTGATATCCCTTTTTGGTTGATTTGTATTCAAAAGTGCCTTTTTGTAAACATTAAAAACATTTTAAATTAGGTTTTTGCCCTTTACCGACGTATAAACACTGCATACCCAGTATGTTACCGCGGGAGGTAGTATACAGTGTTTATACATCGGTGAAGGGAAAAAACCTTATTTTGGTTTACATCGCCCCGACGCAAAATTCCATCTTATGAATATAAACAAAACATTTCCATGCCTTTTGGGCAACTGAGGGCGCTGTTTCAGTGATGTCATTTCAGGAAGACACCGTTGACAGTAACGTTTCATATTTTTTTAACAGCACAATAATACAGACAAGAATGCATATTCTGGATGTTTTGCTTTTCTTTGTTCAAAGGATGGAAACAAGATCGAAACCAAGAAGTACCAATGCAGGCCTGATACAGGTCCTATACCTCTACAACACCTTAGCAAGTCTGGCCCATTTCGTAATGCAGGAACCATTATTTTTCCAGGTAGGCCATCAATTAAAATGAACTAAAAACTCTGAAATGTTGAGCCACTTTCGGCACTTGACAAATCAAATGACAAATCAAATACGATTAGAACGATACGCAGTAGTGTATCTACAGGGGGGGGGGGGGGGGGGTTGGCAGCCCACGTGTTGCCGCTGACTAATGTAATGAAACTAATAAAATGGGGTCAAAAATAATAAATTTAATGCTGAAGATCCTAAATTTATTCCTGAATTGGCTTAGAATGAAGGAGGAATCATCGTACATTTCCAAATTTTCCGGGGCATGCCCCTAGTAAGGCCTTACACTCAACCCCTTATATCACCCCCAGGTACGGTACAATATATCGAAACAGAATACAAAAGCAGACATAAATTTTATATTACAATAAATGAAACTATTTGTCATTGGTCAAACAAAGAAATGTGTGAATTCAGTCATATGCACGAAGCACATTTTCTTACCATGAATCTCCCAAAATACGTTTGAGTTCATATGCAGTGGTTTTAATTTTGTAACATCATACTCGTATAAGTTGTCAAACGTATATGAAATATCGCGACCACTCGTTTAAAGCTTATACAATGTATAACATTTCTTGTATTTTTTTCTCTTATAGTTTTAGAAATACAAATATCGATATGTTGTGAGGTATATTAATTGGCGCATTTCGAACTCAGAAAAGGAGAGAAATTCTCATGATTTATTTTTCCATCAATTTATTTTTTGAAATTATTGTTCTACTTTATTTCAGGTTGCCTTTGGAACGCTTACCGTCCTTATGCTGGCCCGTGGTTGCTACATAGCAATGTAAAACAATTCGTTTCTTTGTTTTGTTTTAAAAGATGATGGTACAAAACTTTCCTTTAACCAAAAGAATTATTCAGTTAAAAATAACCAGAGCAAGACGGATGACGCTTTGTCATGAAAAAAAATCCATTTAATTTAATTTTTCAAGGGATAATTCACCTGCGACATAATGACGTCACGCTTTGTTTACATGTGCGCTTTCCTATGGGAGTTTGGTTTGATCTCATCCCCACCTGGCTCCTATAGGAAAGCGCACATGTAAACAAAGCGTGACGTCATTTTGTCTCAGGCCTATTTATATTTCTCTTTCAAACAGGAATCAAGATTGTTGTCGTTACCTTGTCTGGTACCCTGTGGTCCTGTACGTTATTGCATTCGCCTTGTGGAATATTGACAATCTATGCTGTGAACACGTGCAGTAAGTAACACAAAATCTGAGAGAAACAAAATGACGGAACAAATACGATAAGAGACCCCCGGATGGTTGAAGTCTTTGCGTTGGTCGCGTTTTGTTTTGAGTACAAGGACTTTTAATTATACAATTGTGTGGTTTCTTTCCGCAATTGAGATATCTGGAGAAGGTGTATTTTTAGTTTCATAATGTCGCTTCTTAACAAAGAGCTAAATATAGTCTGATGTGTCTGTTTCAAGATTTGTTTGGTAGTCCGGCTTCACAACCATAGCACGCACGCTAAGAATTTTCCCACCTTTTTAACCTCGTTGGCTCAATCTACGTTCACAATCTGATGATTATTAAAATCATTCTAATGTCAGTATTAATTGTGTTGAATTCTTTTGTTCGTTTCTAGAATCAAAACGGTAAAAAAATAAGATGAATTTCGCTTCTGTTTTTTTTTAGTATGCGCCTGTAAAATATCAAACCATTAAAACCAAATAGGGTTAACTGGCTTCACATACATTCCACGAAAAACGTGAGAAAAAATGTCAATTGAATAATGTCGAATTTTGTGAGTTCTACCTTTGTGTGTGAGTTTACTGTATAGTTATGAATATTCTGAATATCGGAATACAAATTCCTAATGAATATTCATTATTTTCGCTTTTATCCAATCAAATGGCTCCGAGATTCTCTGCCGTCGGCATTGGCTGGTGTTTCCTACCTCCATGGTTTGACGCAGCTAGCTCCACGCATAATTTCCTGATAAATATTCATTATTTTGCCCTTTATCCAATCAGATGGCTCCGAGATTCTCTGCCGTCGCCATTGGCTGGTTTCACGCAGCTCCACGCGTGGTGGCACGTGCTCGTCGGCATAGCTTGCCACGCCCAGATTCAATTCAGGTAACTTCAACCTAGTAAAACAATATTATTCACGAATTTTGAATACATTATCTGAGATAAATAATGAGCAAAAATTAATGTCTGACACATAGGTACATGTTGTATTCTTGAGAGACAAAAGGACCATTTTATTATCCTGTCTTATCAGACTTGTATTCATCTAAATCATTATTTTCTTACGAAGAGGCCCTTTTCTTGATCGAATGGGTGCGATATAGTAATCTATTCGGATGTATAACCATAATGTGAATCCAAGGTAACTGATGCAACGAAGTTATTGCTACAGCTAAACAAATCACATCTTTTACAATCTTCAGTTTTAAATATATTTTTTAGATCTTAGTAAAGTTACCTAATTGCATCAATACACGGGATTTGTTTGGTGTTTGAATCCAGCAAAAAAATGCGTCTTGAGAGCGTCATCTTTCGGCCTGTTGTGGTTTGATTTCATTATTTCTTTTCCTGACAGTTGTCATTCGAGGAACACCTTCCTGAAGCGGGACTGTACCGTTTGGGTGAGAACACTTTCGTTGCTTTTTCAAGTCTTATAACATCATAGCCTGCATGAGTAATTTGAAATTTTCCGTAATTGTAAATCATACGAAATTTCTTTAATTTCTGCATGCGAAATTACAGTTTCGGAATTAAAGTACCCCATTACATTTACCGTATTTCTAACGAGATTTGGTTGAATTTTCTAATGAAATATCTCCTTAGACTTGGTGCGGATTTCTTCCTTTCCTTAAAATCCACGACAAGGAGCAACCAAGCCAAACCGACGTCTCCAAGCAACCACAAAACCGAACAGAAGATGGCGCCAACTGCAATATAACGCACAAGGTTTCGACAGAAGGGGGCGCCCTACAGAGGAGTCACTGAAAGCATAATGCTGTGTAGCTTAGTTTAATAACTTTACCTTTAAAATACCCCATGAGTATAATTAGCGTTTCTAAACATCATATTTATCATCGTATTTAAAATATTATGGAGTCCATGAGTTTTGTCGTTACTAATAATATTGAGGACATTAGTTCAACAGAAACATCATGTTAATGTTACATCACAGTTTCTGCATTTCTGTAATGTTGAAAGAATTGATCATGGATGTGGATTAAGGCAGCTATGTATCCACAAGCTATTCGAATAAGCTTTGGCAAAGAAATTCCTTTGTTTTTGTCCATCCACTGTCTATTGTGACTGAACGTGTGAATGAACTTGTGATTTACTTGGACATAATTATGTTGGACTCGACTATACATCCCTGAATTTAGGGAGAGGTAACGAATAGGCGAGTGCAGATGGGGTAAGATTAATGGTCAAGCTTAAGTCATTTAAGTTATAGCAAAGAAAAATGTGTATTATTTTCCGCGCATTATACACCAGCTCTATTGGTGGTAAGCTCTATTGCTAGGTGAATAGGCCCAAGCCTCGTTCATTTTGATTGATTGAGTAACATCATGCTTCAGTCACTGTTTGGTTGCTCAGTAATGTTAAGATCGAGTAGACAGCCTTACGTAACTATAGGGCCTACACCTTATACATTTCATATTTTACACAACACAACATTTTATAATTTATGAGCGAAATAAAGAAAACAAGGAAAACAATGTACTGATTTGTAATATACATCTTCCCTTTTAAACTTTTTAGCAGCTGCAACACACTGACCTTTAACCTCTACTCCAGGGTTGCATTTTTGGGGGGGGGGACGATCTGGCCCTGATAACTGCCATGACAAGGTTTTAGTGTTGTTCTGTTTACTGGACGAACGATAAACTCATCAACGGACCTAAATTTGCACAAGAGATACGTCTATTAAAATGCGCATCTGCATAAAACCAAACAGTACAAAATTCCAAAGTGCAAGAAAATCGTAACACTGCCATCTATTACCGACATTGTGGCACAAAGCTGTTAGAGACTGAAGCGAGGATTTCAAAATGGCGATGGCGGCGATTCTCAGTCGAGCGGTGCTTGCTACTACCAGATGCGCAGGGGTTCGTGCAGCTTCGGTCGCCCCTCAGTACAACAGGTATATATAAAAAACACTCAAAGTAACTGTGACACTTTATTTTAAGGGTAGTCGTTTTATTACCGCCGCTATATCCGCCAAGGAGGTTATGTTTTCATCGGCGTTGGTTTGTTGGTTGGTTGGTTTGTTTGTCTGTCAACATGATAACTCAAAAATGTTATGGACGGATTTGCATGAACATTTTTGTAGGGGTGGTCTTTGGTACAAGTACCAATCGATTAGATATTGGAAGTGATACGGATCTGGGTCTGGACCCAGGAGGATTGGATTTTTTTTTTTTTTTTAAATGATTCTTCACCATTTAAGCGAGTATTTCTTTTGGGTGTACTGACAATATGGCGGGGAATTGTTTAGCCTTGGCGGAGGTTTGCGCTCTCTGAGTACTTTCTAGTTTTCAAATGAAACCAGGGGAAGTGGGCCTACCGCATTGTGTTATATTTTGGTCGCTTTGCTGATGATGTACATAATCTACACAAATGAATAACAAAAACATTCTGGTACTAAATTTTGTCGGTACGTCAGGGCAAGTCAAGAGTGTCGATATCAAATTATGGAAACTCGTATGAAAGTCATAATGCCAAATATTCAGTCGTGATGTCACAAAAGGTTACGTCAGGAGTGACGCCAGTTTTCACCGGTTGCTATGTGTTACCATTCAGCACTCTAGGCTCAAGAACCATTGAGTTTCAGGAACATAGGTCTGGGAGCTAGATAAGCCAATGTAAAAAAAAGTCCCGGATGTCTGCGTCCACCTATAACGTCAGGTATAACTGTATATATCTGCAGCTTTCTCGGCAGTGGAAGCAATGACCTAACCCAACAGCATCAGTGGATCCATCGCTCGCTCTACACCCAGTACCCCACCGAGAATCCCTCCCTCATCCCCGGGTCCGTCGCCTCGATTCGCCGGTCCCTCAGCACCGACTCCTCGCAGCTGGAAGACGCCGACAATGTCTACTTTGACGGCTTGCTGAAGCGCGTCGAGAGCGGTGACATGCAGATGATTGACGTCAGAGATGCCTCAGAGATTGAGGAGTTTGGGACAATCATCAAAGATATCTGTCACATCCCTGGTATAAAAATGTACACTCGTAAAATCCCTGGCTCACATTTCGACCCAGATCCGGCTCAGCATTTGACCTGACACCCTTCTGAGTCAAAGTGTCATTTTTTGAGTCAATACACACGCAGTTCCGGGTCAAGTGGCCGGAAAAGTGAATCAGAGAAGTGCTATTTTGACCTGCCCCAAGTCGGCCAGACTATTTTGTAATAATTGAAGTGCTTGCCTTGTTCAGACAAAATAATTCTCGTTGGGGTCCAAAACAAGAAACGATTGATGTTTCATCCATGCATTTAGAAAACGTATCTCAGCACAGCAACATTAGTCCACATTTATTATATTTATTGTGTAGAGTATAGGTTATCCCTCCAGCACTCTATTGGCAACAACCCTTAAACTTCAGAATAAATTAAACCAGAATAAACTTGTCTTTGAATGTTCCGTTTTACAGTTCTTGATGTAGAGGCCGCACTGCAGCTACCAGACGGCGAGTTTCGTTCCAAATACGGGCGCGGCAAGCCGCAGAAGTCAGACGACAACATCGTCTTCACGTGCAAGAAGGGCATCCGGAGCCTGAAGGCGCGGGACACTGCGCGGAGCTTGGGTTATTCAAAGTAAGTCAACACAGGGCGAGTCATAAAAAAACAAAAACATTAGCGGCATCCTAAAACAAAGAAATATATTTCATCAAAACAATCTGTAGCACCGAAATGTATTATGACTTGGAAGCCCATTTATTCAGCTACTTATAAGTGAGAAAATTATTTCAATTATTGCTCTACACGTTAAATTGTATACAATAGGATTTATAAAATGTATTTTTTTACAATCACTATTTCCAATAAACCATAGCACAAATACTTCCATATTTTTTTCCCATACAGGGCAAGGCATTATCCGGGCGGATGGATGGAATGGGGCAGGAAGAACAACCTGCCTTACCCGAAGGAATAGAGAGGAGAAAGAAAAGGAAAAAAGGAAAAATGAGGAAAACATGAGGGCACTGTGTTCTTATCCCCCATTCAGGTCGTTCAAAGTTAAATGTGCTTATTGTTGATCTGGAATCATTTGCTGGTTTCGTAAATTATACTGAAATATTAATTATAAAATATATTGCTTTATGAAAATTAAATCATGTTTATAGTATTTCTTTAAACACTAGTTTTGAAAGTATTACAAATCACCAGCATTTTATAAAATAATGAGAATGTTACTTGCATTGAGCGATTTTTAAGCCAAAATTATTTTGTCATACAAAGTTGCATACAATGTATTATTCCAACTTGTCTGAATATCGTATTTCAGTTTAGGCTATATCGAGAGGGAAAAATGTCGAAATCCATTCGTACAATAATTTACAGAAAAATTCACGACCTTATTTCGTTCAATGCTTATCTAATTCTAATCAACAATTTTTAATTTTTATTAAACGTACAAGTTAATAACGCAAGGAAACATTGATGCGTTTTTTGCAGTTAGTCAAGATTAAAATAAAATGCACAATGACACTGTTTTTATGCGTCTTTACGTCATTTTAACAATTCAAATAATGTTGAGAGGGATAATGCTAGTAGTTCTAGTCTAAATAAGTTCTGGGTTGCAATCAGGATCGAGGATTCAGGTTCGTTTGTATAGTGAAATCACACGACAGCAATCATCAGGTCCAATCGCGTAAAGCAACTAATTTTTGTTCCCCACAGAGGCGTACGTAAGCAGTAGGGGACATTTTTTTAAAGAAATGTTTTCAGTAACTTTTTCCATAAATGCTTGGAGAGTTCTGACATGAAAAAGAAAAGAAAACCAAGCTCCAATACGCCGTGAATATCGGCATATATTTTCCAGTATGCATAATAATGGTGAGTTTGTTAAGAACGCCCCCATTTGGAAGATGGGTACCCCCCCCCCCACCCCCCGACGTCAAAAGCTGGATAAGCCACTGGTTCCCCAAAATTAAATCTAACGAAGCACGACCGACTTTTATAAGCAACGGAAAGACTGGGACAAGTTCAGTGATGGTGCTTCGAATTACCGCCATAATGTACGTACATGTACATGTACTTGTAATACCGGACCGCGGCCATAGTACGCCATATCACGGGCGGGGCATGCAGAACATGTTTTGTGAAGTGCAACGGTAAGTGCAGCGTTTTGCTCTGTGGTTCCGGTTGCAGGCAGTGTGGTGACAGCGCCAAACAACTTATAAACAAGGTCACTCACTCGTCCACTCACAATGGCCAGTGAATTAAGTGGGAAAATACAAACCGGTAAGTACAATGTGTTTTGGTTTGAATTGTTCACGGTGTGAATAAACACAGCGTGTTCTTAGTTATGACTAATCGATCATAACATTAACAGTACATGTACATGTACACACAGTACATGTACATGTACATGTGTATATGCACCAGAAGGCAAACTCGCTGCGTGCACACAACGCATAAAGGCCACTGACTTTTTGCCCGACACGAAATAAACATACAATGTAGGCCTATGTACTATAAGCTTTTCGGCTTATCAGTGAGAAGTGACTTTCTCAATAATGGGACGCTACTATATATAGAGGCAAGTGGGGATGAAGTGGTTTACCCAAGGACACAACGTATAATTATGACCAGCAGCTGGATTCGAACCTCTGACCCTCTGATCATGAGTCACGAACCCTAACCACTGGGCCACACTGACGATCCGCCCTTCTGAATTATTTCCACACAGTATACTACCACATAAGCAGTTTTCATTTCATCAGTCTATAGTAGCAGTCAATACTCTGTAATTCTCCAGTATAGGATATATAGTTAATATTATACAAATATTGAATGCTTCGAGTGGTGTAGTAAAACTAGCCTCCCGCGGCCCGAGGTTATCCATGGACATTCTATTTTCCCGAGGCGAAGCCGAGGGAAAATAGAATGATCCATGGATCACCGAGGGAGGCTAGTTTTACTTCACCACGAGATAAAGCATTCAATATTTGTTTTATAACACTTCACCCACAGATTCTGCTTGATTTTAATATTTTAAATTATTTAAATCTGAACACATCTGAAATAAACTTCAATTTCAATACAAAATTGGTGGAAAATGTATTTCTCTCTTAAAAACTAGCCCTTCACGAAATGTTTGAACCCAAGTCTGCAGCGCGCTCTCTTTGGAATAATACGCGCTACGCACAACGGGCAACGCGCACACCAGCATGCATTTGCACACAAATACCGCGCCGTGGAAATAGTACTTTGGTTGCTAATGGTATAGTACTTTGGTTGCTATGCGCATAGTACATTTGGCCGTGCACAGAAAGATAGCAACATTAGAAAGTAACATGTGACTCGCTCTAGGCCAATCAAGACAAAGAATCTGTTGGTGAGGTGTTATAAATAGTCAATATTCAGTAATCGTTCTAGTTAACAATAAATAATCAGTTCTTTCCACGGTTCTCATTTTAATGAACTCAGTCCACATTAAAAAAAATTGCGCCGGGATTAAAGTCGCTGTTAACACTAGTCTTTCACTATTTGTGTATTCCTATATTCCCCATAAATTGGCGACATAGTGCACCCAACAAAATGTTCACATGAAGTCATGCATGTCGGTGTAAACCGTTGTGTTTTCCTTTTTCTAAATTGAAAGGCAGCACGAGTCCATGAAAAGGAAAAAGCATCGACCTGACTCCACCAATTGTGCTGCCCTCATGCACTGCAAACCGTGATGCATTCTTTCGTTGGTGCACTTTTTTTAAGAGCAGTGGCGTAGCCGGGGGTTGTTGTTGTTATTGTTACCCCCCCCCCCCCAATATTTTGTAAAGACTGCCCTTCCCCCTCTTCCACTATTTGATTTTACGGAGGCGAAGTGTGTCAGGAGAAGAAAAAAACTGTCTAAATTTCAGCACGGATGTGCCAGTTACATTTTTACCCCCCCCCTCCCCCAATGAAAATGACCTTGCTACGCCTATGAAGATTACGAACTTTCATATAAAATGTCTTTATAAGATTGGATCGGTACGTAGGCATACATGTAGGCAAAAACCTAAAATAGGATTTACAACTCCCGACGCGACACCAGTAGTTCCACAATAATCAATTCATTCCTGTTTGCTTTTCACTGCAGTGCTAGGGACCATAGATCCCTCGGGTCTGGGCATGACACTGACGCACGAACACCTGAACATCGACTATAAGCCGTGCTTCGCTGAACCGCCTGCAAAGTATAAGGATCATGTGAACCTGCCGCTTACCATTGAGAACCTGTGGTGGATCCACCGCTATCCGTGAGTTGATAGACGTCATAATGACGTCACGCTTTGTTTAAATGTGCGCTTTCCTATGGGAGCCTGGTGGAGCTCGTCTCGACCTGTTTCAGTGAAAGTTTGTTCCGTGAATGAAAGTTTGTTCTAAACTTCCAGCCTAGCGACAGCTAGAGCTGCAGGTCACTGTCATTTGCACAACGACCTTTTCCCGCCAGGTGGAGTGGTTATAAAATGTTCAAAGCCTGCAGAATTCTTGATTCCGAGTGATTCGTCCACTATACAGCAGCACAAACGTGCTCGCGATGGGAGTCGCCATTTTCTCCAGATCGATACCAACATTTCATGAGACGCGGCCTGTGATTGGTCAATATAGTTAAAACATTGGGCTTGTACTTTTCGAAATACATGTTCAAGCAAACATTAAGCAGGGGAAAAAACGTATTTAAAGGCGTTGAATTTAGTTGTAATGTCGTTTTGATAATCAAACATTTCGACTTACTTGTTTTGGTATATTTTTTTATGTAGGAAACATTATTTCAAAAATGAAATCATACTGCTATTTTTGTTCGTAGGTATTCGTGTTGGGACAACCTCGAGTTGAAGACCGTTCAAAAAGATGTCACAAATGAGCTCAAATTCTTTTACGAGAACGGAGGTCGGTCCGTCGTGGATGCAACGACGATAGGGATTGGCCGAAATTTGACCGAGCTCGCCGAACTGTCCAAAGAGAGTGGAGTTAACATCATCGCGGGCGGTGGTAAGATTATGTCGATTTCAATTGGTCATTCTAATGCTTGCAATGTTTTGCTTGATTTTCTATTGGTCTGTTTATTTATCATTCACGTACTCATGGTAATGACTTCTGTTTTATGAACTGATTACCTCTGGGCTTGAGGTGATAAGCTCCCCGATCAATCAAAAAATGTTTCGAAACCACGATGTCGTTTTAGCGTTAGTCATCGCGTTTATGATTTTGAGGGACCTGGGCTGAAATCTTCTGGCTCTATGTAGCACCACTTTCTGTTAAAGAAAGAGAGTAAATCGCAGAACTGAAGTCAAATTTTAGAGTAGTCTTGTTTGGTCCCTCCATTAAATCTAAGTGAGTCTTGAGTGTGTGATTGAGCCAAAACTGGAAACGATCCAAGATTTCGAAACTGGCTTGTAAACAAACATATAGCGAGTCAGTCTGTGTTGAAAAACAACTGTTTGAAAATATTTCAAATATATCAAAATCACCAATCACGTCTGGATACCACCCACATCTGCAACTTTTTTTGGTATCTTTTTTGCCCCCCCCCCTTGCAGGGTATTATTTGGGATACACCCACCCTCCTGAAATGAGTACCATGACCCAGGAGGAGCTCGTACAAGGAATGGTCCATGAGATCACCGCAGGGGCCGACGGGACTAAACTCAAATGTGGACTCATCGGCGAGATTGGCTGCTCCAATGATATATTGCGTAAGAAACTCTCCAGTTTAACTATTTGTCTTTGGATGCAGAATTGAATGGCAAAGGCTGTTTGTAAAATTCATTGCTACTTTGTGATAGACTTGCAAAAGCTACCGCTATGGTTTATTTATGGATTTCAAAGTGCAATTGTTTCACCTGTTGGTTTGATGGTTGTTTGTTTGGTTGAATTCGTAAACAATGTAGCCTTTGTTTGGATCGCCAGTCATTATTGTGCTAAATTTTGGACAGTGTTATTCTACTTGACGATTGGTATACGAAACGATTGTATTGTTAGTTAATTCGCGTAAAATGTTTCCCAACTTTGGGATGGATTTTTTTCTTCGAAATTGACGACAGTGTGTTTATAGTTTGACCAACATTGGGCAACATTATTTTCAAGCAACAAGTGGCAATTTTAGGGTGTATTATTCAGCTCTTTTTAATTTATTTTGCTAGCTAACGAGAAGAAAGTGCTCCAGGCGACTGCGGAAGCCCAGCGGCAGCTGGGTTGCCCCGTGCTTATCCACCCGGGCAGGTTGCCCAAATGCCCCGCCGAGTGCCTTCGCGTCTTACAGGAGGCCGGAGGGGAGGCTGACAAGACGGTCATGTCTCACATCGATCGTAAGTGATATAACGGGGACATCTCTTGTCATTCGAGGCATTCGAGGGCATGTGTCATTCGAGGGCCTGTGAAAAGAACTTCACAAACTACACTCAAGTGGGACTCGAACCCACGACCTCCTGTATACAAGTGCAGCTTGCCGGGGTCGGCTGGCTGGTTCGAATCTGATATAGCAGCGGGAACGTCGAAGTGTGGAGTTTCCCCCAATCATTCTTGTCAAAACCAAACAAGCTCACACGCGGTGCAACCACAATCGCCAACTTTACAAATGCAAACCTTCAAATCTTTATGTTTGGAGACAACTTCCTGAACTAACAAGCTTGCAAGTGTTTTAGATAAGACGTTTCCTCTTCCTGTCTCCAATAATTCAGGTTGTCTTTTCAACCGCGAGCAAGTCTTGGAGTTTGCCGAGATGGGCGGCTACCTGGAGTTCGACTTCTTCGGTACCGAGGTAACTTACTATCAGCACGACGAGACGGTACCCCTGCCCAGCGACATCCAGCGGATCAGACTCATTAAGATTCTCGCGGAGGAAGGCTTTGAGGATAAAGTCGTCATCGCTCATGATATACACCGCAAGATGCAACTGGTTCGTAAGATTCCTCCAAGATGCTTGGATAGGACTGTGTATATTTCAGCTGACATTTCTGGGGTTGTTGTTCATCTTGGTATAAACTACACCTTTGCATACCAGTCTTGATTGATTCGCCACAAATTGACAGTACAAAATGACACCTAGAGTAAAATACTATTTTAAGTTATTAAATAATATTTTTTGTTTCTCGGCCGAGGATTAATATTTCCCCGGATTTTAATTACAGAGTGTTTGCATAAATATAACCTCAGTCTTTCCTAAAGCATGAATCATTGAATCAGATAAGAAAGAGGGATACACAACTTACTTTAGGTAACGACCTTCGAAATATTGTCTCGAATTGTACACAGATAGAGCTACCTAGTCCTAGTTTAAGCGATAACCAACAAAATTACAATCGATTTTGATCTATTCCCGATTTCAGATGAACTACGGAGGCCACGGCTACTCGCACATCATTCTCAACGCCCTGCCGAGAATGCTGGTGAGCGGCTTGTCCCAAGATGTCATCGACAAGATCACCGTGGACAACCCGCGAACTTGGCTGACGTTCAAGTAAAGGCACCTGAGTGTACGGCGGTGTGTTGCCGCGATCGCTGCCCGGTGTAGAGGTGGAGATAAACTTTCTCTCGTGTCGCGAGTAAGGTTTATATTAATAATTGCCATAGGGCAGCGTACAAAGTGAGTCTTTTACAAGTCCAGTCAGGCTTGATTTAAGACTAGATGGCGTGTAATTAACCTGTGAATAACACCTGACTTCTGAGCACTACTCTAAAACTGAAGCTGGAGACACATACCTTTTATTAAGTGCCTTATTAATCCTAAACTAATATTTTTAATACATACCGGAGCAGTAAACGAATATGAAAGGTATTAACACACTGAAGTTGGTTTTTACAAAACTCAAAAACACATTGAATTTCTACAGCAGTTAGACTTGCTTTGCATTACGAAGTAAAAAAAACACATAAAATATTGAGATAAATATTAAATAAACACATTAACAATTCAACCAATTAATATAAAAAATATTTAAAAATACGATAACCACCTTGGTATTTGCATTATCACTGGATCACTGTATTCATGAATAATTTTCATAATCTAGGAAAAGGCACATTGATTGTAACCCCTGCGTTATATTAACCAATTTCAGTTTAATAAAAATATAAAATGCTGCAAAACTCTGCTTTGTTTCTTGGAAGACGCAATACTAGTTCACGCACGGAGTCCTAGAGTGTTTTGTTCTCAATATTCATAGAGCAGCCCGGGTCGCATTGACGTAACATGGCACAGTAAACGCCGTGTCCCCGCGGGCAATCGCCGTCCCCGTGCCGAGCAAGATGGCTACCATTAGACAAGGAGTTGCTGCGATGATGAACAAGCAGACGACTGTTTCCAACACGAACCAATTTCTGCAACGATCGAGAAATGGTCTTTTTTAACTACATGTAGTATCATATTTTGGTCATTTGGCTCGTGTGTGGAAATGGTACTGCTGAAGTACCAAGGGGAATGGAGTTTGGAAAAAAATACAGACGACCGATAGCTGATATTTACGCTTAAACTAGAACATTTCTTTAAGAGCTTTCAAAAGTACAATTAATTGGTAAAAAATATAAAAACACCAAAGTGGGAATGTTGGACTGGAATCAAATAATAGTGAATAAAAAAAAGAAAGAAAAAGACATTCATGAGCCAATATGGCCGGCGTTTATCTCCAGTTTCCTTGGCATCAAAAGACTGAGAATATTTCTATTCCCCCTGGATGGGATGCTAGTACATCGCGGGTTACTTCCCAGCTAATGCCAGTACCAATTAATTGAATTCTCCAGTGTGGAGAGCCAGGAGAGGGGCAAGTTGAGGTGAAGTGGCTTGCCCAAGAACACAACATGTGGCCAGCAGCTGGATTCGAACCCCTGACCCTCTGATCATGAGTCACAAACCCTAACCACTTGGCCACACTCCCAAATTAAGTAGGATCCGGTAAATTATGGCTCCCGATACCGCTATACTTAGGTAAGCAAGCAGCTAAATGATAAAGAAAAAGGGGGAAAATAAATACATACGAGGGTTTTTCTTGGCGTTGACTCCGAAGACGTATGTAACACAGACAGGGAATGAGTAGAGCAAGGAGTGGGGTCAGGAAGCCGCCCGAGATGGAGGACACTAAGGTGAAGTGAGGTAATGTCTCCTGGATGAAGACCTGGCCGAGGAGAATGGAGGAGCGGAGCACCACTCGCTTCCAGCTGAAATCTGTAGAAGAAAAAGGAGGATATCAATTAACAACTAGTCTTTACATGTTAATACAATTACCGTCACTGAACATTAATTGTGATCATGGTTGTTGCTCACAAATACAAAGTCAATGATATAAGTATATAAGTGTCCATCTATTTTTGAAATAACTACAAAACCACGAAGCAAATTTTGAATTTTTTTTTATTGTGCAGATACTCCTCATCCTTGGCCTAAACCCATATGAGTTTCGTTTAATTTCCCTCACGCATGCACCACTGCACAATGGTCAATCGATCACAACAATATATTGAGACACTGTGACCAAGTTCCTTGCCTTAAATATTTCCAGTGCTGTGTTATGCAAACTGTGTAAAATCCTGCATGTTGTGAAAAGGGCTGTGCTTGGGGAGTGAAATCATTTGCCGGGCTATCAGTCATCATGCTGGCAAGACATCAGTTTCAAACACCAGGGCAAATCATTCCAATCCCAAGCCACATCAGTCCTTGTTTTTCACAGCACGAAGGATTTTTCACAGTTTACATAGCACAGCAATGGAATTGATTAAGGCAAGGAACTTGGTCACAGTGTCCAAAAATGTTCTTGTGACCAATTGATCATTGTGCAGTGAGGCGTGATGGCAATTATATTAAACCCACAGGGGTTGAGGCCAGGGATAGGGAGTATCTCCACAAACAAACAAATTCGCAATTTGCTTAACATTTGTTTAATCGATCAACTATTACCCGGGGATATATTGAGCACCTCTTCGAGGTACTGGAACAGTGGGTTGTTCACGACCAAGACGACCCCAGCCAAATGGATTAAGATGAGAAAGGCTGAGACTTTCTTGAGGGCGTCATCGGGCAGCAGCGTGAAGACAATGGCGTTACCCGTCACGTTGGTCAGCGTGTCACCATAGACAATGAACAAGGCCAGCATCACAGGAAGACATAAAAATAACGTCACTGGAAAAAAAAAGACGATCAAACAAAAACGATCTGGTGAATCGTCAAAAATATACGTATTTTGAAGTATCTATTGGCATGTTGATGAAATGACTAGTGATGGTTATCAATTTAACATGATGTACACTCTCCATCACAGTACGATGCGGATGCAAACAGAAAAAAATAGTAGTTTTGCTACCGTGCGAAGATGCAAAACTGCCATGCAACAGCCGTATAATTCTTTACTGCAACTTTGCAAACCAAATTCTACATATTCCTCCAAATCGGAAAGAACTCAAATTATTTCATTCCGTATAGTATATTGGGTGTTGGTTGAAAAAAAAAACTCAGAATAAAAGCAAAACACGTAGCTGGTTTATGTACTGTATGGATGAGGCATGGCTTGGGTTGTCCACTTTTTGGCAGCCATTTTGAAAGCATTCAGGCCTTTGTTTTGATTTCAAAAATCGAGCGCTATTATGAAATGCATTTATTGGTTTGTATAGTGATGGCTGCTATACTTTACCAACCACTGAGTACGGTTTAATGTCGTGTATAGTACTAACAATGGCCTAGGTTTCAAACGTTGTTAAGCCTATATGTATATTATACAAATAATGCTTCTTTATGAGTGCAATGGTAAGAACAATTTCATGAGGTGACAGATGGAATGTTCCATTCCATGAGGCAAAGCCGAATGGAATGGAACATTTCATCTGTCACGAATGCAATTATTCTTTCCATTGCACGAACGTGAAATATTCATTATTTGTTGTATACAACACCTAACCCCTGAATAAATCCTCGTCATTGGTCAGAGACACAATCGTGTCTGTGCAATAGAACTTCTATTTACCGTGCAATATAACTTCTATTTACCGTGGAATATAACATATATTTTTGTGGAAAGGCCAGGCTGTACGTAAGTTGGGACGATCGAATAGTTCAGTGACATGATATTATGATGAACAACCCACCGATCAGGTGATAGGGATTTACTCAGGCATTGTAATTGTCCTTCATGCAATGCTAAATAGAGGAATAGTGGCAGATGGCGGCGAATCTATAGAGTTTTCGTTTACATGACTTTTAATAAAAAAAACAAAAGAACGCAAGTCTGAATATCGATAGCTATGCATGCTGGCTTCATTATGAGACGCTTCATTGATTTGGAATAGCAGATATGACTTTGGGATGTGTTTATCATTAAAAAAAAATTATCATAACAACATTGATATTTAGCTACCGTTTTTATTAGTTGTTATAGCCGTATGCGGTGTATACATAGCGTCTGACGACGATTATAGCATACTGGTCGAAACGTTGACAAATAATAGAGCTATACACTGCAGAAACTGTGTTTAGCAATACAACACTTCTCTAAACACTTTCTTGCTATCAGTTTGTAAACAAGTTTAAATACTAAACATGTTTGGAGTAAGGATGGATAGTGTTTAGCTATTAAACATTGATGTTTAGGAATTGGACACATAATGTTGATTGATAAACACAGTTTTTAGAGTGTACCCCTGACTGAAGTAGGCCCTAGACATACAAATGGAAGGAAACACTAACAATCGGAGACAAACGACAACAAACAAATAACAAACAAACAAACAAACAAACGGGAAGACAAACGAACACATGAGAGAAAAAAGCTCAAAACTCACTTAAGTCAGCAAGGATAATGGACTGTGTGAAGGCCTGCGGCTGTTTCATGTCTTGCTGCACGGTCGGGAAAGAGCCGTGCAGGCCGACCAGCCATATCACCGTTCCGGCGATCTCAGCAAGGTGCAGATATTGGCTCTCTTGCTGTGTTTCGTCTGAGGCGCCGGCGTACCCGCTGGAATTAGAATCGCTGGCGTACCCGCTGGAGTGAGAATCGCCGGCCAGGAAAATGGACATGATGATCAGAATCACCGACAGAACGACGGTGAAGAAACTGTTTGCCAAAATCCACCTGTCAACGGATGCATGAGTTCAAAGGTCACCAAGGGGCAAAGGTCATGGAGCTGCAGCTTAGCATAAGCAAGACCAGGTTACCAGTCAAACTGTCATGTGGCTAGTATTGCTTTTCTCAACTGATGTTTAGCAACATGATGTACATGTAGGCCATGAATTTAGAACTGAGTTTATCCTGCATTATCCAATTTATTCGGTAAACTGGATTTACTTTAAAACAAAACCCTTGATTCAATAAAATACAGCACCGGCAGGTTCATAAACGTGTACAAATTGTCAGTTATAAAGTAATTATTGTCAAACTGGCAATCTTCCCCTGAATGTACTGCGCATAAAAGGTCGAACTTTCAGCGCATGATTGTAGTTTGTAGAATGAAATTGTATTGTGTAGAGGTCAATTTGATTTGGGTTTTGTCCTTCGCCGAATTTATTGTACAAGTATACCCCCGTGCTCTCCCAGTGCTTACGAGTAGAAAAATTCACATGTTTGAACCAAATAATGAAACAAGAATTAATAACACATTGTATTTTAGGACTCCACTTGCGTTATTTTCAACAATTCCTTTTTTTACGGAATTTGGCACCGCTTACCAGAAATTCTTGGGTGTACCTAGCCACAGAAATGGACAGATAAGTAGACCATAAGCAAGCGGCCAGTAGCACAGCGTGCCCTGCAGTGCCGGTCCGCCTATCGTCAGGGTCAGCTCCGTGAAGCCGAGTAGCGAACCAATGGCATTGGTAAAGCAGGTGGCTGCCACTAGAAAGTTGATAAGTTTTCTATAGAAAACAGTGAATCAGGGAAGTCAAAAAAGGTTAAGAGATCCTAGCGTTTCGAGGCCCAGGATCTTTCTCTATAAAACGAAATGACAGGGGTACAGAAACAAACAGGTAGGCTCGAGACAAACAAATTACATGCATCGGTGTACGGCAAAATACAAACAGGAAAACAACGGGGGAAGAGTACAAACAAACAGATTACAAGTAATTTAAAAAAGTAGAATAAGATCAAGCATCTTTACAATGATTGAAATACAGTGGGAAGTACATATTTTAATATAATAAAAAATGTGCAGGTTTCATTTTTTTTTAATGTTTCTCCGTTTTACGTGTTTTTATACTTAAATGAAGATAATAATTATTGCATGAAAATGACACGCACACAGTGTCGAAACAAACTCCACGTGTTATTTATAATTCACCGCAGTATTTGCAGTGCATATAATACATTGTACATTGTGATTGAAGTCTTTGTGTTTTTATGTAAATTAATAAGTCTTTTTGAATTAGCGTTCCATTGTTTGACAACGCAACGTACTGAACGTACACTCTGACTTCAACAAAGCAGTGGTTTTAAAAGTCTTGAAATGATTCTGAAATATAATTCTAAAAACCCTGCAAAAGTGAAATCATTTCAAGTTTCTGATAAACTCTTACCGTGCCCAGTCACCATAGGCCTCGTAGCCAATGGCGCCGTACGGATGCCGCTCATTGCCCCATTTCTCCCGTACCATATTCCAGCAGCGGCCCAGTATCACGGACGTGTAGAACAAAGCTAAGTACAGGGACAAGAACAGACAGAAACCGTCCCAACCTGAGGATGGAGAGCAGGCAGGATAAAGAGTAAATGCGATCGTCGAAATTTCCTCCATAGTTGCACTTGTGGTTGTGCCGGTATTGCTGCTCCAACACAACTAATTCTCACACGATATTAAAATAAAAACCTAAAAAATAACCTGTTTAAAATCATTCACAGTTATGAATCAGTCGCGGATCCAGAGGGGGGTTTTGGGGGTCGACCCCCAGCTCTGACTCAAACCTATTTATTTAACGGAGGCTAAGGGTCCGGAGAAAAAACACCCTGTCTACATTTCAGCATTGATTAGCTGATGAACCCCTTCCCCCCGCAAAACTTCCTGGATCCGCCCCGGGACTTTTCTTCTCTGTTATATTTAACAAAAATTATGTTTACAAAATTAATACATTATAAACAAAATGACACAAACTTCAAATCAGTTTTACAGTCCTAAATAGGGACAGAAGTAAAGACATACTTTCGATAAGGCAGGTTTAGAGTGTAACGACCCCGCGTTACGTTAGGGAAGCCGGGGGGGGGGGGCAGATATTCCCAACCAAGGTGAGTAAAAAGAAAACCGCATCCCAAATGGCAGGATCAATTTTTGAACGTTTTTAAAAGGTTTGCCTGTAGCACTTTCAAAATCTAGGATATGAAAGCCCAATCAATGAGCTTTCTTTTAATACAAGAATCATTTAAAACACTCATGTACTTTTCAAGTAACAGAATTTTGAACACAACACCGTTTTAAAGGTCTGTCCACGGATCACAACAAGCTAAGTGTTCTTTCAGCAAAACGAAAACATTTCACATGCATCCCTATGAGAATTGTTTTCGTTTTGCTGAAAGAGCACTTAGTGTTTACTGATGAAACCAAGGGCGGATCCAGAACACAATATTGGGGGGGGGCCAAAAAAAATTTTGGTCCCCCCAAAAAAGTGGGTCTAAAAAAATTACGGGGTGGGGTTCGGGGCCCGTGAGGGCCCCGAAAATTTTTTGGATTCTAGATGCTCTGTGGTGCGATCTGAGGCAATTTCTGACCACTTTAACCAATTTTTTTGAGGAAAAGATGGTGGTGTACTCATTGCCTGCCTTTATTGCGATGTCACATTAAAACAAAAAAAATTGGTTTCGTTTTGGGGGGGGCCATGGCCCCCTTTGGCCCCCCCCTGGATCCGCCCTTGGATGAAACATGGATCATATTGAAGGGGTATCCCTTAGTGTCAAAGGTCAATCATGACGTCACTCACCCGTACTGACGACGAGAACTTCCACGGCAAGGAAACCCAAGCCGGCAAACGAACCTGATAAGGAAATAGCCGTCTGCCAAAAATTTATGCCATCTGCCTGTATGTATAAAACCAAAAAAACCAAAAAAATTTAATAGCGAAAGAAGACCACAATACGTAAGTAAAATTACCTTCAAATAAAAGGTACAAATTACAATGCTTTTACAGGTTCTGAACCAACCACATCCCCACCAAAAAACTCACTTTTTTTAAATGGCCTTTTTTTTTTTTTTTTAAATAAGATGCAAAGATCATTTTTTACCATTGCATTTGTTGCACTTCAATATTTTACTCTCCGGTTCCGAAAAATATGTCTCACTTGATGGATTTGTTTGTGTCTTCTCGCAGACCAACCCCCCCCCCCCCCCCCCCCCAAAAAAAAAGAAATGGAAAATAAGAGGCAAAGTGACACCAAGGAATTTAAAACAAACCTGGACCGGTTCCCCTTCTTCAGTTTCCTTGTCATCTTCACTCAAATCCTGCCCTCCGCTTTCACTTCGTGGTTTCTCAATGAGTCTCAATGTTTGCCCATCTGCCATTTCGCCAACGCTTCTGAAAAAAGAGACATTGCCAATTTAAAAACTATACCTAACAGTCATAAAAAATTAATCATAAAATCCACACCGCAATGTTATTGTGTTGTGTCGTTGGGTAAGTCACACTGTTGCTAATTATGATAATGATGAGTCTGCATGCATAATGATATACAGAAGCCTAGACAACACCAGCAGAAATATTGTCGTGCACATGCTCTCTCTTAAATTTAGAATGCACGGACAATAAAATAATAATAATAAAAAAAATAAGCATTTACCATTACCTCTGTGAATAATTGGAACCATACAGCTGACAAGAGAACCACTGTTTCAGGCTTTGAAAGTGAGAATTGTGTGCAGTTAAAATCAATACTTCACTGAAAATTTGCCTGGGTTAATTTTACCAAAGAAAGGCTGAAAACTGGAACTACCCAAACTTGGGTTGTTCTATTATCAATTGTTTGGGTTAGAATTTCTGCTAAATTCAATTAAAACTTGTGGTCATTCAAGACAAAATTTAATTTGGTCTTGTATGACTACAACTTTTGGTTGAATTTAACATAAATTATAACCCAAACAATTGGTTATAGAACAACCCAAGTTTGGGTAGTTCCAGTTTTCAGCCTTTCTTTGGTAAAATTAACCCAGGCAATTTTTCAGTGTAGTCAATTCCTCTACTTCTTCAAAACTGACTGGAATATAACAATATGGCAATCACGCACCATAGCTTGTACTTACGAAGAGATTCAATTCATTGTAGATTTTGTTCAGTAACGTGACTGTAAAATCCTTTCAAAGTGGACTCTTTTACGGTCAAATGGAATAGGCAATCAGTTTTTCAAGAGTTCGAGGAATCCCTAAAATTCTGGTAGAATTATAGAACATTACTACATTTGTGTTTATAAAACAATGACTTGCTAAATGTATACAATAGGGTGTAATAAGCGGCTTAGTTAAACACCGTTCTACTCTCGGCGGTCATTATATAATGATAAATTTTAGATGAGATAAGACTTACCATAAGAAAATATCAGTCCGTTCACCGTCAGGTCCTCCTCGTTGCATGCGGATTTAGTTGTTCTGGTTGAAAACAGCCTGTCAATGGAGCGGACAAAAAGCTAAAAGCCAAACGAAGAAAGATCATGGATGTCCACTTCGGTCCTCTTTATACGCAAGTTAGGTTCTTGCGATCACGGTGACTCTCTTCAAGCCCGTGACAATACAAAATGGGCGGGAAAATAGGTCCGGTGAAAATTATCGCACGCTTCCGTCCACCACTGATCGGGTGAAATATGCCAGAAGTCTGTTTGATATTTCGATATCTGCGCAAGTCCTGTATAGCAGGGCCTACACTTAACCGTGACATGCAATCGTCTGTACGGTAAGAACGTTAAACGCTGCATGGAGTCACAATTACACTTCTGTCATGGATCAATTAGTATGAATGTCTAAAAAAAACCACCAACAACACACACGGGCCCATTCTTTATTCAGACGCCTGTAGCTACAGCCAGCCACCATATTGTGCTTGCTACGTCAGCGGTGACGGTAAGAGAAATACATGTAGTACAACACCAAGTTTGAATCCTTTGTCGGACTTTATCAGACAGAACCCCCACTGATCTGGTGGAATCTAAAGCTAACTCAAGTTGACAAAAGATGCGCTGTTCACTCGTTTACAGCGAATAAAGAAGAAAGCTTTCTCCCCCCCCCCTAAAAAAAAAAATTGAAAAAAAGAAAAGAAAAAAAATCAAGGCAAGTTATAATTAAAAACGTGCTCAAACGTTCGATTTTGTAAATGTAATAGACAAGAAGGTGGTTCTCCATCCACGCGTCTCGCCTGCTTTCGCGATTATATTTAAAGAGTGACCCTTGACCGACCGTGGTGTGTGGTGGGTGACCTTTGACAGCATTATCATTTGGACGTTACCATGTTGCATCTATGACCCAAGTTTGTTTTCAATTGGACCTCAACTTTTCAAATGAGACCAAGTTTACATGTTCAGCCTATTTTACAAGTTGACCTCATATGACCTTTGACCTTGGTATGTGACCTTAGAAATCATGATCATATGAAGGTTCCCATGTTTGATCTATGACCCAAGTTTGTTTACAATTGGACCTGAACTTTTCAAATGAGACCAGTTTTACATGTTCAGCCTATTTTACAACTTGACCTTAGATGACCTTTGACCCTGGTATGTGACCTTATACATCATGATCATAATGAAGGTTCCCATGTTGCATCTATGATTCAGGTTTGGTTCGAATAAGACTTCAAATTTTCAAATGAGACCAATTTTACATTTTCAGCCTATTAGACAACTTGACCTCAGATGACCTTTAACCTTGGTATGTGACCTTTGACATCATTATCATATGAAGGTTCCCATGTTGCATCCATGACCCAAGTTTGGTTCCAATTGGACTTCACCTTTTCAAACGAGACCAATTTTTTGAAACTTTAACCAAAATGCCACATATACTATACATACAATAGTACAGACATGGTGATTGCATGTACATTTAGTCTATTTTCTGAACAAAGTTCAGGCGAGACAAAAAACATTCAACGACATCGGAGTCAGGTAATTGGAGTAGCGGTAGTGCCCTCGCCTTCCACCGCTGCGACCCCGGGTTCGATTCCTACCCTGCGCCAATATGTGGATTGGGTGTTCAGTCCCTACTTGATTCCATGAGTTTTCCCCAGAATATTCTTCTGAAAATCTTCCCCATTTTGAAAATGACCGCCATTACTTGTTATTCTACCTATTTTTATTTGCACAGGACAAATCTGCGATGGCCCTATAGCCAAATATCTTTCTCATGACATTCTCTGACTGTGTGCCAAATTCCATGCTTGTATCATCAAAGACACTATTTCCCCAATATTTCCCCCTATCCTTGGCCCAGTAAAAAAAACAATAACAAATAAACAAACAAAAATCCATCCGGATTTTATCTTTCACGTAAATAAATGTCTATACTTCAGATATGGCCTCCAGTTGATGCTTTTATGTATAAGGGTGAAAGGTTCACCTACACTGTGTCATCTGCAGTAGGGTTCAAATTAAGTTCAGTCGCACAATTATCAATACTATCGCATCGATTATTTGTACAATCGCGGTGCGCGTAACAATAATAGCCATACTCTTGTAGAAAAAACCCCAGCTACATACACCTTCGGCGTGAGTTGGAGGAGATGCTTTAGTTTTCCATCCTGATATATTGTCAGTTTTTGGATTTGCTCGACGCCAGAATGACATGGGCCTTTCGTTTCTTACTCCTGGGGCTAGGTTCAACCGGGCTAACCCTTCAAATTTGCAAGTACTGCCTGAGTCCCGAAACACACGGTATGCGGAAGGCTTTTGCAGGTAGGTATTGCATGCTGCTAGTTCTATTTGTATACAGTGTGATTTTTTCTGCTATTGTGTGGTTGGTTTACTGATTACTAATCCAGCGACCAAACTAATTCTCGCGCAAGTCGTAAGTACGCGCGCACTCTTCGTCCAATAGGGTTGCCAAAATCCGCGCGCGCCTTTTATTTAAGAGCGCGCGCGAGATGCGCGTGGAAATTATTTATTCGTGCGTGTGGATGCCCGGCCCTCAGGCAAGTTCTGTTCTTAGAGGGGTACTTGGTCCTGAAATCCCCGAAAATTTCATGTTTTGGATTGTTAACTTATCCTATTTCAAACATCTGGTTGAAAGGAAACCAACCTAATGTCTAACCGTTCCCGAGAAAAGACGAAAAAAACCCGGTTGTTTACATCGGACATGTCGCAGTTCCTGTAGTTCAATGTACGATATACACGTTGTGTGTGTGTGTCTATTATAACGTACGTATAGCACCGTGCTCGCAAACAGCGGTGACCAATCACCAATGCATAAAATGCGGTTTCTTACACGTCCGCAAAAGGCGAACACTTCACGGATGAAATCACGACTACGGCAAAGAAACAGCTCGACTTTTTGAGGTCACAAAAGTGGACCCGAAATTCGTTCTCGCACGCATAATACAGGAATAACACAAAACGCCCAGTTTTTAAAGGATAGTTGTGCAGGTGTTTATATCCTACTTTTAAATGTTCCTTCCGATCAACATCACATCGTTCAAAGTAGCCCAATTGGGCTGTTCCAGGACCCAGTGTCCCTTTAAGGATTTGTCGACAAATTTGTAAAGAACGTTTAGTATTTTCTTGGTGAGTTAATAATAAAACAGTAAAATGTGTATCCCTTCCCTATCTGTATTTTTTCTGCAGTTTTCTTGGCGCTCCTAGGCGCTGTTTTCTCGTTCGTAAACTTCCACATATCCAGCCTCCGATGCTCTCAGAGCCATACTCTACGCACATTGCTGGGAAGCTACGTTTCCCACACCTTAATACGCCTGGCGTATCCCTTCGTCGCGTACAAGGTGTCCAAGCAGTGGAAAAACCCCAGAGATTCGCAGGAGAATCGACTTCGACTACTGACTACCAGAGATGCCAAGACAGAATACGGGAGGAAGTTCCAGCTCGGAAAGATCAAGACTCTGAGAGATCTACAGAGCAAGCATCCCATCACGACGTACGATCACTACCGACCGTACGTTCAGAGACTGGCTGACGGGGAAGATGGTGTTTTCCTCGGAGACACGATCCGAAGGTTCGGTATCACTTCGGGGACCACGGGCTCCGGTAAGCTTATCCCCATGATCCATGCAACAATCGGCAACGGTGCTGTGACTGTCCTCAACATCAAGGTCACTGATAGAGCCTTCGGACGTCCCAGTCCACTTCAGCGAGGATGCATCCTCTACTGCAAACCAGCACCGGCTGTGACCAAGTCAGGGCTTGACGTAGCACCTCTCATATACTTCTCAGAGAAAGATAAAACCATGCTAATGGCGATGCAGAACGCACCATTTGAGGCCTTCCAAATTATGACCGACTTCGAGGCCGCTTATGTCCATCTCCTGTTCGGGATTGCAGATAGGAACCTCAGTTTCTTCTACGGTGGCTTCACGTCGATGACCCACCGGGCTTTCAAACTCCTTGAGGACAACTGGGAGCAGATGCTGACGGACCTGATCACAGGGAGGCTGAACCCAAAGCTTAACATCGAGGACAATGTCAGAGCAGGCCTGGAAGCGGTATTGGTGCCAGATCCAGACCGCGTCGATCAGCTCAGGTCCGAGTTCTCCAAGGGCTTCAAGGGTGTCGTGGCCAGAATCTGGCCGTACTTGCACTACATCTTCTGTGTCGATATGGCTGGCTTCAAGAAGAAACTACAAGAAGGTTACGCAAAAGGTAAGGATGCGCACACATCTATTTACAAAGTGACAATCCTGCCTGCCTTGGCAACTCTGTAAAAGGATAGGAAACATAAGAGCTATAGTTCGGGCGAGGACAGTCGACAAGTTGTTGATTCGTGACGTAACTCACGCCTGCGCACAATAATAGCAACGTGCGAACGCCTCTTGTCAAACGACGGTCAACACGTCATCACAATACTCTTGGTCCAAGCTCCCGACATTGTGCTTTATGATGCGTGCAGCTATTGGGAACCAGCGATGCAACCATGTCCCGTTGTCCGGTTCCAAATAATCGACCAAAGAGTAGGCTAGTCCAACTATCCTTCGTTCGAGAGAAGTTGGTGACTCTATGGTTGAGTATAGTTCGTGCCCGAAATTGCTCAAAGTTGGCATGCAGACTGGATCCCCAGACCAAGGGCGGATCCAGGGGTGGGGGGGGGGCCAAAGGGGGCCATGGCCCTCCCCAAAACGAAACCAATTTTTTTTTTTTATGTGACATCGCAATAAAGGCAGGCAATGAGTACACCACCATCTTTTCCTCAAAAAAAATTGGTTAAAGTGGTCAGAAATTGCCTCAGATCGCACCACAGAGCATCTAGAATCCAAAAAAAAATTCGGGGCCCTTAAGCGGGCCCCGAACCCCACGCCGTAATTTTTTGGACCACTTTTTTGGGGGACCACTTTTGTTTTTTGGCCCCCCCTAAAATTGTGTTCTGGATCCGCCCTTGCCCCAGACATAATCAATTTCAGTATGTTGACACATTTTGTTTCCTTCATCATTTACCCAGTTTTGACCACAAGTTGAGAAGTTATTTTTAAGAGATTTTGGTTTTGTATTTCCCCTCAAGGAACGCCGATCTTCACGGGAGCTTACAGTTGCACGGAGACCTTGCTCGGTATCAACCTGTGGGTTGCAGACGAACCGAAGTACGTGTTGGTACCTGGAGATGTCGTGTACGAGTTCATCCCAGAAGAACTCTGGTAATTCAAACACTTTCTTTTTTAACTTTGTAATAACATGGATGCTATAGATTCAACAGAACAAGCCAAACCTTATGGTAGGCCTACTGTCAAGGCCATAAAGGACAAACTATTCAAGCAGTTCCTTTCTCTTTCAGCCAGGAAAAGTATCCATTGCAGATCTACCTCATCGACGAGGTTGAGGTCAGCAAGCGATACGAGCTGATGGTGACGATAACAAACGGCTTCTTCCGTTACCGCTTCGGCGATGTGGTAGAGGTGGTCGATTTCCACTACAACTGTCCAGTCATTCAAATGAGATATCGGTAAGAACGAGATCTTGTTTGTAAGAAAAGGTCTGCTTTGCGTTAAGATTGACGACCTAAAAGAGTTGGATATTACACTAATGTAAAAGACTTGAATCCACAAATGCAAAGTAAGAACACATTCTGATTTTTTTTCCCCTTGATTTTTGATCTCCATAGAACAGGCGAGCTCCTGAATCTCAACGGCGAGAAAATCGACGTCAATTTGATGTTCACAGTCATACGCGAAACTGTGGCTGGTTGGCCGTTAAGGGCGCTTGTGGATTGGACATGCGCAGAGAGCCCGCTGCTGTACGCTCACAAGAAAGGTAGGCTAAGCCAAATTAGATTAGACAATATAACTTTGCACATACAGTACTTCGTATTTTTCTTATCGAGAGATTTTGACGTGATTTAATTTGATTATTTTTTGCATCCTTAGATCCGTATGAGATGTATTATTTGATATTCATTGAGGTTGAGGAGGAGGTGGGACAGCGTCTTACCGAAGCCGAGAGATCAGAGGTAAGTTGGGTGGTGTTTAAAAAGAAAAAAACACTTGTAGTGGGGAAGCTAAGATAGGGGAAATATTTGGAGGGGGATGGTGCCTTTGATGATACAAGCATGGCATTTGGCATTTTAACATTAATTTTAGAAGAGCCACCAGATAGCGATTTCGTTCGCTTTCGGGCAATATTGTTTTTGCTTTTCGTCTGTCTTTGTAACATTGTTACTCATAATGTTTGTATGGTGTCTTGTATCTGTATAATGTCATTACCTGAGAAATAATAAATGAAATGGGTACTCGAAAAAGCTATAGAGCCTATCAGCGCCCTTGGATGGACTCGCATAATTATGATAATTATGCCACGTAATTATGACAATTTCGAACTTTTTTGCAGTTCGACAAGATACTTCGCAAACACCACAGCCTCTACGACCATTACAGAGCAGTGGGCACCATCGCAGCACCGCGCATGCTTCGCGTGCGGCCAGGCTCGTTCAAGAAGTTTCAGGACTACATCATCGCCAACTCGACAGCCTCGTACAACCAGTTCAAGATGCCTCGCAAGCTCCGCACGAAGATGATGCTGGACTACATGATGAATATGACGACCGAGTGAAATGAATTTCATTTGAACAAGAAGTAACAAGGAAAACGCGAGACGAGGGAAGACACTTTTGGAAGAATGAAAACGTCTGCTGCAGTGCGTGGAGTAAAACTATTTTTAGAGAGCCAAGCGTTCTTGTTTGTGTAAATAAAATTGTTGTTTTGCTGAAAAATGGGTCGACCGGACAGACGAGTTTCCGATGTTCGGTTAATCAGGGCAGTGCGCACAGAGGTCAAACACAGGTCAAGTGTGCGAAAGTTCGAGTATCGATAACCATTGAGTTCAATAATTTTTGATGATAATCTCCACTGTTTGGTGGAAACCGGAATTCATTGACATACATTTTAATGACAGGTTTTCCATTGAAAAGACTTGGTGTGACAGTTACAGTCACATATTTACGGGAACATAAAAGTTTTGTAAAAAGAAAGGGGAAAAATGTAACTAATGTATATGCTAAGTAATACAATGTATATCATAATTTTACCCATTTTGCCCATGATAACTTCCGTAAAAAAGAAGAGAATTTTGATGGCAGAAAAAAGGTTTCGAAGAAAAATCCTCAACAGAACTGTAATGTATTCTTTACATCTATTATCTTTTGTTTTAAGTTCAATTGTTAAGATGATAAGGTGGATGGAATACTTTTAAGAGGGACATTATTGTCGTTATACAATGTACCTATATTTATATTTTCTGTATGGTATTGCTTACTGAAGATCAGGTGGAAAATGATGTACAAAATATTTCACATGCCATAAGCTATGAGAGCATCATTTTGATTTGCACTGGATTAAAAAAAAATGATAAAATACTATAAGATTTATCTGCAATTTTCGTCATTTGTAGGTATGGCGCTCACTGTGAAATTAAATTTGCCACAGTTCACATTTATTTCAGTGCTAAAGATTTGCTCAAGCATACGGAAATTCTTAAGTAGCAACTGAAAGAATCTGTGCAAATTTTGCCTGCATCTCTGACCAACTGACACCGGCTTTATGTTACTGAATAAAGAGTGGCAAAATCTGTCACGAGCCAATATGGCCCATCAGGCCGGCGTTTATCTCCGGTTTCAGTAGCATGAAACGCCTGAGAAAATTTCTACTCCCCCTGGATGAGAGGCTAGTCCATCGCAGGTTACTCCCCAGCTGATGCTGGTACCCATTTATACTCCTGGGTGGAGAGAGGCAAGTGGGGGAGGGGGGGGGGTGAAGTGGCTCGCCCAAGGACAGACCACATGGCCAGCAGCTGGATTCGAATCCCTGACCCTCTGATCATGAGTCATGAACCCTAACCTCTAGGCCACACTCCCCTATAAAAAAAATAGAGGGCGCTCTTTAAAATTCAGGGGAGGGGAGGGGCGGGGTCTGGTAAGAAGCTCATGAACGCGTCCCTACTGCTGTATAATCAACTGCATCTAGAAACAAAAAAAACATCTAGAAACAAAAGAACGAAACACCTCAGTGCTACAGGAATAACACACCGAGCAACAACACTCGTTTCCATAAACAATAAGCCCAATGATGTGGCTCTTTATTTTCATCAAGGAGCATGGTGGCACAAAATATTTCACTGAAGTTCTCTAATTTCTTTTGGTTGATCAACTCCTTCAAAGACTGAAGATTTCAATACTGTTTGTACGTTACAGGTATCGTCAACATTAAGCAGTGTATTTTACTGGCCACATCAATGAAAACAAAAATTACATTTGGTTGCAGACTAATTAAAACAGCCACGAAAGTAGGCCAGGGCGAGTAGTGGATTTTTCTACTCGAGTACTCGCAAAGAAATTTACCGCGAGTAGTCGAGTACTCGAGAGTAGTTAACCGAAAACCCATAAAAGCAGATGAATGACATATTTTAGTATGAAGTGAAGTAACTTACAAGCAAATAGCTTGCAAGTCACACCATATTCTTCAGGACTGAGATATCCTTACTGCGCGAAATGTTGGGTCATTTAGATGATTTTTTTTTCAACGAATGGAATCCTAGGGAGAGAGAGGTGGAGGGAGTGATTCCCTGTTTGCAGGGGACGTATTAAGCTGTGAACCCTAGACCCTCAATTCCTACTCGCGAGTACCTGCTTCTACTCGCGCCAGGACGAGTAAAAGAAAAACCACGAGTAGAACGAGGAATCGAGTTACTCGCCCAAAGGCACAAGAAATGTTTAGCATTTGAAACAAAATTTACAAACTCAAAGAAACTTCCGGTTTCTCAATTACAAGAAAGACTTCATCAATTGAGGACGGAGTGGGGTTGAAATCACCTAGCACGCTAACAGTGTACATGCCGGGAGGCCCCCTTCAATGGCGAAGGCATACAAAGAAACTGCCCTCTGTCGGGTTACCTGAACAATAGCTAGCACAACGCTTTCGCCATTGAAGGGGGCCCAGTGAGTGTATATCGAACATACCACACTGATTATCATACCTCATCAATCTTTAACATTTAAAAACGATTGCACACCAGTGAAATATCCTCAAATATCAGAGCTGTTTTTCATTTTGGGTGATTTCAGTGGAAATAAATGGGGAAAAAAAGAGATTTCCTCGGCCGAGTTCAAAGTTATGGTCACTACCCCTATATACATTTAACACATGAATCTCTACAAAAGAAACCCTGATTTGCCCGAAGTACTGACTTTTGCTTCAAATATTCAACTACATGTAGTAATAACAAACTAATCATGATTCCTTTCAAATACAGGCAATAAAATACAATATTCACAGTCTTACATTGCAGACCCATGGATCAAATCTTGTGTGTGAAACAATATTTCAATAAATTGATGAAATAAAAATTTAAGCTAAATTCGGAAGGTATTTTAATAGTTCAACACACATTCTTTTGTTGAAAATCGGGCAGTATTGTTAGCACCCTGTGTATTTCCTGGAAATATTTACACCTTATTGCTTCTAAATGCACTCATCAAACTTGTAATGTTTTTATATTTCTATACCTCCATATATTTCATTACACTTTGTTAGTCTTTTGTGTGCTTTGGCATACACAGATGTTAAAATGTATACAACTGTACGTTTAATTTCACTATTTTTTTTTCACAAAGCTGACATCGATCAGAAACATTGGACATTATGCACAACTCTGCAAGCCAGAAAGGAAATGGATTATTTTCAGGGAGGAGAGGGGCTGGGCTTGACACTGCACTAACTCAACTCAGCTAGGAACCTTGCACAAGGGTTGAGTGGGATTTGAACCCGGGTCGGAGGGATGGAAGTTGAGGAAAGAACCAATGCGCAACTCTTCTCAGCTGGGAACTTTGAATCCGATGTCATTCGGAGTTGTCGTATCCGTGACTGTCGGCTGGCAATCCTGGACGATTTCCTCAATGTTGTCTTCGTTGATCTCCAGGAACATCCTGCGAGCTCTGCTGAACCAGTAGACCGTGTCGGTCGCGACGTCGTACCACATGCCGTGGAGGGATAAGGTGCCGGCGATCACGCGACGCCGGATGGAGCGATAGGACGACAGATGCTCCAACTGCTGCAAAACATTCACCTTTTAAGGAAAGAAACACAGGCTTTTATTTAATATCGCCGACGATTTATTTAAAAACGTGACGCTGAGCAAAACAGATTTCCAGAAATTAAAACTGGTTTGCCCATTTGTGAATGTTTGCCTATTTGAGTACACTACATACAGTGAACATCTCCCTATAGCAAGACAACTATGAGGCTGTGTTCCCGAATGAGAAGGTTCTGGGGGAACAGATCGTTCTTGAAGGCGCTTCTCTCATCACAATCAAGTTGACATTAATGGCTCTTCCTAGAAGGTTAGCCTAGTGTCATCACTGTACCCATCTCACTGACTTCTGTTTATGAGCTTTAGACTCCATAGTATAAACCCTCCTGCTGTCCACCTGGTCCGAACAGTCGCAGATAGTCTAAAAATCAATGCCATGCCTTTATACGCAGGCTAGTCACCAACAGTCTCATCACATTTCAGACAAGCACTGTGACTAGTCAAGCTCAGTCAACAGACAAAAGCTAGTAACTGGTAGGTACAGCTGGCTTATCAATCACCTACAGTCAAGGCAAAGCTGTATCAAGTTACATGAACAGTCACAGCCAGTTAGTGCTTTGTGTAGGCTAGTAGCTCTTAACTGTGAAAAACAGTCACTTGATTGATTTTGACTGCTGGGATAGCTTTGTTAAATTTGACACTTGACAGCCAGGGAGGGAGTTAGACCAAATTGATCCAGGACCAGTTGTACTCGTCTCGTTCCTACCTTAGAGAGTTTGTCTAACAAGCTCTTTTCATCTGTGGAGTCAAAGTCTTTGAAGTAGGCTTCAATCGGTGTTGCCCCGACATCGAATGTCATGACCCCTTCACTGGGAGTCCTAGCACTCAGATCTTGTAGCTTGTTGAGGCTGGCCTCTACGCCGTGGGTCCGGCACCACTGATGAATGACCTGGCTGACTCGCTTGAGGGGTTTCTTTGTTTCTTTCTCGGTGTAGTGACTGTAGGCAGCGTACAGTGCCTGAAAGTAAAAAATGCCCAAAGAGTATTTTGCCATTCATTTGACTCTGGATTCTTTATACCAGAACAGAAGATCAGATTTTCTCTTGAAGTTGTAAGCGAGGAAAAGGGTTGCTCACCTGACAATCTGAGTGTCCACACACGACCACGTGCTCCACCTTTGAGCGATTGCAGGTGATCTCTAACGCCACGACCTCGCAGCTAACGTGCGTGGGCTCGCCCTCCGAGTAGTTGGCCCGCGGGATCACGTTACCGGCATTGCGCAAAATGAACATGTCGCCGGGGCTTGTTTGGCAGAAGTGGGTGGGCAGAACGCGGGAATCGACGCACGAGACGAAGAGAATCGGAGGCTGGATATGTCAATAGAGGGAATAGGAATTTCAGTTTTGGTTCAGGACAAAGTTGGGGTATGACGTTTAATATTTGAAAGAAATCTGAAAGCCAAAAATGTGATTCAATATTGCTATACATGTATGTACCAGTCCTATGAGGACAAAGTGGACCCCCCCCAACAAAAACAAAATAGATGCTGTGTTACTAATCAGAACATAAAACACAGACACAGCAGCATGTACATGTATGAGTACAATTCTATATGATTCCAGCAATCTTTGAGAAAAGTTTGGTTGTTTTTGGCAAAGATCGATTAAAATTGATCAATAAAGGTACGTATGTGGTACTCACTTTTACATGTTGTTTTTGTGCATGCGTAAACCATCGCACTAAAAAGTTGCTGGCTTTGTACTTAATGATCCCTCGTAAAATTTTCTCCATCGCGAGAACGGCTCTCAAAGTTCATTCACTTCAAAGCCTCACTTCAAGGTGAAAATAAATTTACAACAAAGGTCAATTTTACAATTAAAACATGAATCAAAAAGAGCAAATGTGAGTGAATTTAACTTCAGATTTTAAGAAATAGGGCATACAACTTTTCAAGGATCTATTCATGAAACATGTTCATAAGTGTAATTAAAACACAACTGTCAATACTCACATTTTATCAACATGTTGGAAAGAATATTGCAACCTGACACTACTTCAGTGGTTGTGTACAAAGTCTATGGAGAGTCAAGACAATGTTTTAAGTAGTAACAAAATTGCAAATGTTTCTCACTCATGTCAGACTTGTCAGTCCCAGATTCATGTCTTAATATCATTTTTGCAATGACTTATCTTCATTGAGAGATGATATTTGAAGAAAAAAAACAGCGTCAGGTGGCAACATTATTTCAAATCTTTCAATTTTCATGTGAAATCTTTCTTGTTGTAACATGGTTAAGACAGAAGTCAGAACCAGAAGACATCATATTATTAATATGGCTGGCACAGAAGCAGACTACATGTAGTCGACCATGTGTTGTGACTGAGCATGGATTGAATAATATATATATTATATGTCAGCTATTCCTTCCTCCATGGTTATAACTTCAGATACGTAACTTAGCACGTAAAAATGTTCTGTGGGTGCCACATGCCGCCGTGTGTAAAGTCACGTAGGCAACTGGCCCTGCAACACTTAACATCGTAAGCCAAATGTCAACATAAAAACATGTTATCAGCACTGACCTTTCGGTTTCTTGAAGGTAACCAACTCGCATAGATGAACTGAAGACCAACTGAAATACAGAAAAGTGATTTAGTGCTGTTTTCTCCCCGAAAATACCATCGATTTAAATGAACCGACTCTGCGCCTAGCCTGGTTAAGGTTGTTCACGAATGACCTTACTATGAATAGCGCCACCACGTGTTGCAAAAACGTACAGGTAGACTTGCACTAGTCTAGCCATTTCACTTTTTCACTAGTCGTCAGTTGGCCTGGCAACTCCATCAGTATAACTGTAAAAGCTCCATCCCCGGTCTGTGTCTAGAGGCAATACGTGATCTCATGTGTTTCCATGGGTATATGGACACCTATGAGGCGGGATCAGTTGGTAATCGTGTGCTGATATGGTTTGGTTTTTATGGCTGAATAAAGGGAAGCCGGGCCACTTCCCCACATCTCCATGCCTAGTGCCCGGCCCATCCTTGGCCTTGTGCACCCCAGCGTGGCCACTCCTTGGGATTTATTCCAAGATCTTGGGATTTTGGTGTTAAAATGTATTTTGTACACTTTTTTTCCATTGCCTTGGGAATTCTCGGGATTTTTATTGGATGTTGGGAATTTCAATTTTGATGAGTGGCCACGCTGGTGCCCCCTTATATAGGCCGGTGTGACAGGTAATTCTGTCTCCCTGGTAAATGTGTCCCCCCGGACACATTTACCCGCTCGTTACCCGGTAAATGTGTCCGGGGGGACACTTTTACCTAGGTAGATTTGTCCCCCTCCAGGTAAAATTGTCCCCCTGCCCAACGGTGAAAGTGTCCCCCTGGTAAATGTGTCCCTATGCAGTATACATGTATACTGAGAGCAGCAGCGTGTCGCGCGCGCCAGTACATGCTGCAAGATATGTGGCAGTGATTATCACATGTGTACATATGCGTCTCCCTCTACAATGGAAATTCGTCCAATAGGAAATGTCGTTACGCCCCCCCCCCAATAAAAAATTCCTGGCTAAGCAACTGAATACACGTTATATTAAAATGAATTTTCGTACACTCATTTGTCACGATGTTTGACATCAAAAGATTTCATTTCATAATAAAAACGAGAATAAATAAGAAAGAGACCAAAAAGTTAATTTTTTTCATCTTCATGAAGGGCAGACTAAAGAGTAAAAAATGTATACCTTGTAAAGTGAATTCATGAAAACAATATAGAGAACTGGCCAAGTTCTGCATTGCAAAACTAGGGGGACAAACAAACCTGGAGGGGACAGAATTACCTGAAGGGGGACAGAATTAACGGGCCGGGGAGGACACTTTTACCTAGGTAATTCTGTCCCCCGGACACTTTTAACGGGGGACAGAATTACCGTCCACACCGGTATTGTCTGAAACTTTAATGAAACCCATTCAGTGTGCCCACTTTAGAAAAGAAGCCCCCGGTGCCACTTGAAAACGGGTCCTGCGGCTAGTTGAGGAGCCCCGGACAGTTTTTTCTTCTTCGGGACGCAACGACAAACAAGTGCGAGGGAATAAGCTCCGGCCGGCCGTGTTGCAAGAATCTTGCATGAAAGTCTTGCATGAAATCGATCAAAATGATCCCTGCCAGAGCTGAAAAATGCGACGCCGATGGCACATAATAGAACACCATACTTTTGGTCAATTTTCGGGACAGACAGCCATACAGACAGATAGACCAACTACCAAGTGAGTGTAGAAGCTCAAGCCAAGAGCTTTCAAACTGTTCTACATACTAGCACAAAATGATTCATCGTTCTTGCCACCGATGAATAAGCCTACTTCACCCTGAGACGAAATAAGGGCACGCGCAAACATTGTTTATATGTAAACAAACAGTGATGTCATCAGCGCCACATCGTGCTCGCCTATGAAGTGTCTTATTAATTGTCACGGTGCATTTTCCCCTTTTAATAAAAATAGCAAGTTTTTGACAAAACCAAGGTATTCTAACACTCCAATTACAGCAAACTATAAGTCAATTAATGTGTTACTCTTATTGTGTTTTAATTATCTTCCTGTTAATTGCATTGCACAATAATATGCTCAATAACATTAAATATTGTATCTTATCAAACTATGTCATTAACAAACTATACAATTATCATTGTTATTCCATGCATAAAAATTATTAGTGTTCGTGTCGGTAATAGTATACAAACAGTGCATATAAAAAATAGTGCAACCTTGTTCGACAAACAACTCAGATATATTTCTTATAATGCATGGACACATTTAAACGTTAATCAATTGGATACAACTTCAAAATAAATTGGTACTGTCATTTGCGTTTTATTATAGAGATATATTAAGCTGTACATGTTACTGTTTATGTATATTATTGCACTCTAGTTTTTAAAACACACACTGCTTTGACTATGGATAATACTTTGTTCACTTCATAATTAGCTGCAAAAAGTCAAGGCTATCCCTCAGTTTCTGTGATTCTTTGTGATATTAAATGTTTCATCGGCAGCTTATTCGGTACTTAAATATATATACAAATTACATTTGTTTGTTTGCCTCACTCACCCAAGCACTCCATCTCAATAATTCACTCACATGAGAACCTCACACATCCGTTCACTCAGACAGACCTACCGTACACACACCTACTGTGGACATTCCTTTGTATTCGTGTAGTTAAGAAAAACCGGAGAAAAAACCCCCTTTACTCCCACTGTGAACACTCTTTCAACTCAAATTTGTTTATCATGATTTCATTGCGTGCTCCTCTTCATTCTGCGACGGATAAACCTAAATTCCCAAATGCCTGTTTTCCCAGAGAGGGGGAAACCTAGTGTGGACGTGGGCAAGTACGCGTTCACGCTTCCTACATCATGCGGACCTCTTTTGTTCACATGTCCTCAAAGAGTAAGGTTAGAGCACACTCATAAGACATAGGCCCTTACACTCACAAACCTCAGTGTAAAAACACCAGCCACATTCATGTCAAACTTATTAGCCTATTTGAGGTAATGCAGACACATAGGAGGGCGCTGTTTGAGTTGGGTAAAGTCCACAGACTTATAAACGCAGTCTTTTGTATTTACCCAAGCCAAATAGCGCCCTCATATTGCGTCGGCCATATCCCAAAGAGGCCAATATAGCCACTCCTTTTCGGCAAGGCTTCGTTGGTGCAATTAAGGTTCGTATCAAGTAACTTTATATCCCATAATTTTCATATCAAAGATATTTGACTATTACTTGGTAAGCTATAAATTGAACAGTCATCTACGTTTATACAGAAAGGCATTTTGTGCTGTCAACGGGTTCTCTTATCTTACTAAAGGTGAATGGGAGACGCTTCTACCCACGGCTGAAATATTGTAAATTAGCTTATTATTTATAGGCCCAAAATTCGTGTCGATTATACTCTGTACATATCCTGTGGGTTTCCCCAAATGAGTACAATTGAATTTCTGAGGTGATGATTCGGCCCAAAATCAAAAACAGCAATAGGTGGGGACGAGCTGACGTCATCCGATGAAAACATCTATTCATTTGCACACCAGTTTTCATCGGTTGCTATGTGATACCATTCAGCACTCCAGACTCAAGAACCATTGAGTTTCAAGAACATAGGTCTGGGAGCTAGATAAGCCAATGTAAAAAGTTCCCAGACACCCGCGCCCACCTAGACTGGAACGCGTTTCATCAGTATCGTAGTTAAATGTCATTACAGTTTACAAAGTACGTTTTGTACGGATCCTGAATATTCTACTTTATGGAAGTGAATACACATGGGTAAAATTTATAAAGGGCAAACCGTAGAAAAAGAACAGAAGAAGTGAAAAAAGACCCAAAAAATTAGTAACTAATAGAATATCCAGATTACGTGCATAAGGGCTCATTCTTCTGGGAAAAAACATTTACATCTGCATGGGAAAGAAATTGCAGCTACATAACTTAGGACGGGTGCATGTCGGGCGAATACAATTCCTCTTCATCATCGGAATTATACAAGTCAGCTTAACGAACTGCAGCTGGAGTTCCTTGACCTTCGACCTTTAGTTTTACGCGGTTGCTGTGACATTGGTGCTGACATCGGAGTCCGTGATGACGATGTGTACTGCGCGCGGCTTGGGCGAGGCACTGCCCACGGGCGCGGGGGAAGGCGAACGACTGGAAGGACGGCTACTGTTCAGGAAGTTCGACATACGGCTGGAGACTCGACTTGTCGGACGACTGGACGGATCGATCGCGCTGCCGGGACGGCTGGAGGGGCGACTACTCGGATTGGCCAAGCTGTTGCCGCTGCCGGGCCGGCTGCCGGGAAAATTGCTGAAGAAGTCTTTGGTACGAGAGTAAAAACTGGTCGACATGGCCTCGGTTGACAGGACGCCCTCATCGTTGGACAGGGAGGAGTTGTCGTCGGGTTCGATCTCAATGTCACTGCAGCCGCCATCAGGGACAGTCAGGAGACTAGACACCGAGCCTACGCGCTGCCCGAGGCCTCCTTGCAGCAGGCTGTCCGTGGGCGGAGCCTCCGATGTATTGGGGTTGATGGTGGACGTTACTATCGTCGACGGTGGATCGGGGACAATGCCCGGTGTTGGAGCCTCCCTTGAAAATTACATAGGAAAAAAACCAGCAGATTAAATTTCTCCATCTCGACATAACCAACAACCAACATGCGTTAACTCTGTATGCCATAGTTCTATTCGACTCACTGTCCAACCTTTGATCACGTGGTTCTTTCAGAACTCAGTTATTGGCCAATACAATGAAACACTTTCCATGACGTCACAGGAGTCCCAAATGTAAGCTGGTGGATTAGTAGGGCCAAAAACAGCAACACATTCCATTTTTATTTCACCTTAATTCAGATTGGTGGAACCGATTCCGTTCCAAAGGTAACCTTTGCATTTAATACTTACGGTTCTACGGCACTTTTCCAATCCGGCAGTTGTTTAGTGAAGCCATCCCTACCCGTCAACCAGTAAGTCCGTGCCATACCTTTACCCTTTGACACAAAAAGTAAATAATTTTGATATTTTGTAAAGTTCTTGGACATTTGGAGACATCTTAATTTTTTCCTCTGAGTTTCACAGGCACTCACATTATGTCGTACAAGACATTAACGAGATCTTCTTGGTCACTGACTGTAAGACATGTTACTCTTATACGGAGATAATCAACTTATTGCAGTAAAGTCTCTTGCTCAAGGGCACAAACAAAATATTCTACGGTAAAAGAATTTTAAGCCTGGTTACCATCGAAAATGTGAGGTAATGTTCATTGCTTGTGACTGGCTACCACTTATTGCACATTTCTTTCCTGAGCAATGTTTTTTGGCCCTAACATCTCCATGATGTAATTAAGCCAACATGCAGGCGCACGACAGTCACCTTTGACCCTTGTGACGTCACTGCTAGTCTCCTGTGACGTCAGTTTATAATCAATGGCTATATAGTTACTAAATATCAGTTACCTTAAGGTAAATGTCTCCTCTGAGATGGACATGATATCCTCCAAGTTCTTCAAGAATATTTAGGGTGGGCTGACTGACATGGATGCGAAAGGCTACGAGCATGGAAAAATAAATGGTTTACTTGGGTGAACAAATAATGCAAGAAATTGGAACTTTTCAACATTTTCAACAACATTTCAACGACAAATTTCTCGCTTTTACTTCTCTGAGGTACAACGTCAACAAAAATCTTACCCATGCCATTAGACTCCATTCGTGACGCTGTGTTGACCGTGTCTCCAAATAGACAATATCGCGGCATTGCTAGGCCAACCACGCCTGCCGCACATTGTCCTGGATTCGAAAAAGGAAGAAACATACATTCCATGATGCTCAGTTGCATGAAAATCGAATGACTGTGGTTAATGAAAGCTTCATCGTTACATCGCAACACCCTTTTCATTCAAAACTTATGATATTGCTAGATATCGCCCAATGACTGATGAAAACACAGACGGTGGAATCCCGTACCCGAATGAATGCCGATTCGCAATCGGAGCGGCTTGTCTGACATGTGCCTGATGGTGAACTCGAAGCCGGCCACGTGCAGGAGATCCAGGGCCAGATTAGCGATCTCGCCCGCGTGTCTGTTCCCATTCGTGATCGGTAGGCCACTGGCGACCATGTAGGCGTCACCGATGGTTTCCACCTTGTGAGTTAAAAAAAAAAAAGGTATCGGGCCTAGAAATTGCATTAGCTCGAAGTGAAAGAAACTTGGTGAGAGAAAAATAAAGGTGTCTGTCTGACACAATTATCCGGTTCGTAAGTGTGACGTCATTTCAAGTTAAACCACGCCCACTGCACACCGATTAGCACTGAAACCATAATTGGTACAAAGTGGCGTGTTTAGCCAACGGACGCCAAGTGTGTGCGCGTTTGTTCATGGTGTAAATCGAGGACACACACGTGCAACATCATCGGTGAATCGAGGACACGGAACCTAATCGAGGACGACCTCGATTAGAAAACGTGTACAAAACCGATGAGAGCTGTTGCGAAAAAAGGTAGAGTACAAACAAAGGAAAAGGGAAGAGGAACAAAAGAAAATCCTCGATTTACACCATAAACAAACGAGTACGTGCGTGTGTGTGTATGATACAGTCACTTACGAACCGGATACAATGTAATGCAGAGCTCGCATCACGACTGCGCGCACGTCGCACGCGCATTTGGGCAGCCCTATTGGTTGAAGGAGCCGTGAGTACGCGCGCACCACCTGCTAAACTGCGTGCGTGGTGAAACCTCATTGGTTTAGGGAAACAAAGTTTTAATGAGCCGAACCAACCAACCTTGTACACGTCGTGGTAGGTGAGCGTGTCATCAAAGGCTGTGTAAAGATCATTTAAGAAGTCCACTACTTGGAAGGCGGTGCTTTGAGCTGAGATGTTGGTGAAGCCGACGATGTCTGAGAAGAAGATGGTGACACTGGAGTAGTTGACGGGAGGCACCGTGCGACCAGCCTTCAACTCGGCAGCTACGCTCCTGTAAGTACAGAGGACTACGAATGAGTGGTCAAACTTACGATGTGGATTTGTGCGCATCTATAGGCAAGTGGGATTGCCAAACCTTCTTTAATATTTAAGAATGTTAAAGGTAGAGTTACGGATGAAAGACCTTTCCAGTACTATCGTTATGAGCAGTCAATGGACAGATCTGCAGAGAATTCTTAAGGATACAGAAGTTCGTCCCTCAATGTACACTACTGTTATTTTAAGAAACTTGGAAAATGGAACAGATTATCCAATCGGAAGCTGGATTCAAACGAGATGTACAACAGTGGAAAGAATATATACCCATGCTATCTTATTATTCCATTGTAAATCGAAGAGGACGACTGCGAGTGTCAACATTATATTCACCCCAAAAGACAAGTATTAAGATTTCAAAATTGCCGACTTAGTTAACGGATATTCATGATGAAATAACACCGATTGTGTCTATTGGAACTCGTCTCAGGTGCTAATTTTACACTTAAGCCACAGGCGTCAACATTGGAGAAATAACTCGATTCTGATATTTCATAGTGTTAATTTTACACCTAGTGTTTAATTTAACACAGAGTGTCTAAATTAACACCGTCTATTAGATTTCCTTACGGTGGCAGCATCCGGTTGAGCAGCATGTCTGTCTTGGCTTTCTCCTCATCCAGTTCGGCCGTCCTCTCCCGGATCAGATCCTCAAGATGGTTGGAGTATTTCTCCAACATCTTAAACATGGAGTCCACGATGTTGGCCCGCCTATGCAAAAACATAATTTATTTGGTAACTCAATGAGCCTTTTTGAAAAAAAAAAGTTCTTGAAAAAAATTAGTCTGCTATACTACACATTAAATTTAATGGAAAACATTCGGTGGCAAGATTCTTTCAGGTAACGGGGGATGCAATTTATTCGATTTATAATGAATTTCATTCTTAAAAGTCTTGTCGCTATACTTTCAGTGACCTCTAACTCTTTTATAAGAGAAATTTTGAACTGTTTAGTGGTGTTTGTGGGGTGTAAAATCCCCAGAAACCACGACAATGATGGTTCTTTTTGAGTTTTGTTTTTACCTTCCCCTGTTCAGCTTTTTCAGTTCCTGATAAATGAATACGAAGTCGAGTCTCATGTCTGGCATTTCCGACCAGCACTGCTTCATGATTTCAATGACTTCTCGCGGGGCTTCGTTCTGTGACACGGAGGGACGGCACAAAGGCGGTGGCTTCCGGACTTTGGCAACTATTTCTTGAAGGAAAAAGAAAAGAACATTGTCATTCTATTTTTAAATTATATTGATACATCATTAATAAGCTGTCAAACAAGTGCAAGTTACTTAGAACATAAGGTTATTTCTTTAGCATAATTGGGAGATCTTGGTAACCGATATTAATTAATATCTTCCTTCTCAATTTGGTCTACTGATGTTAAAAAATTCCTCTTTGTTACAGAATGCACTATAAGGAACACGTCATTACGTGGACCCAAAATGGATGGAGTACACGTTTCGTTACTGCGGTAACCACTCTTTTGTCAATAAACCTAGTCTTTCATCACGAAATTGTCGACTTAGCCATATCCCAATAAGGAAAACGTGTTTGCACCGTGTTTGCTAATTGTCTGTTTTAGTCAATCATCGGTAAAACACGTTGTAGGCTGTAATTTTAACAACGAAATGCTGACATTTAGCGGGAAAGGAAGCGTGACGACCAAAAACGTGACAACGATCACGTTTGAATTTCCGCGGACTGCGTCGGCGCGCTCCGGTCATTAACCGCCTGGTTTGAAGTCCGTCAGTTATTTTGTGTAACACTCGAAAGGGAATGATCCTACGGTTTAACGGCAGTATCCACACGTCGTTGGGTTTTTCCTGGAGCCAGATGAAATTAAGTGTGACCCTGTGCGTGTGTGATGTCGCGTGATACCAGTCAATGTTTAGTTAAGCTAATATCCTCCATGTTTTGAGGGTGCGGGTAGATGGTCGTGTTTTGTTAAATAAAATTTGCAAGTGTGCTGGCCAAAAATCGTTCTAACGTCTTGCAGGGAAAAAAAGAAAGAAGAAGAACAAAGCAATTTCGACTGAGTCAACAACAACACCATGACGTATGGTTTTCAATATAGCATTTAATTTCTGATTCAAATAATTATAGTTATATTCTAACCATTTCTTGTTTCAAGTACCACAAATTTTGAGGCTGAATCTGAATTGGTTGCCGCATTGTGGCACCCAATTTCTAATGTTTCGAGCCATTTTTGAAAGTGTTCCTGACAAATAAAATTAGAGCGACACCACAAAGGAACACCCACACGATCACGATTTTATGTTCAACCCAGCGAAAGAACATTTGATGATTCGTGTCCGATTGGTCTTTGGTAAAGGATTCTTAATCGAAACCCCGGAAATCATATGCCATCTCGAAAGAAAAAAACGTGATCTTTATTTCAGGTTTGTTTTCTGAAATTGGCTTTTTTCGGACCAAAAGAACTCACATTGCTATTTCTTTGCCTTCTCAACTTTGTTGCAATAAAAACGAGGTCTCACTCGCAAAACAGACTTTTTCGCGTTGTTTAAAATGTGGACTGCAAAACAATTACGTTGTCAAAGCTTGTCAGACTGCCTCTCTGTGACCCAACCAAAATGACAAATAGCTCGGGAATATTCATTAACCAACATGTATATTTATATCTGTTCTTACCTTTTGGGTTGATACTAAGCATAGAGAAGGGTTCGGCTCTCGTAAGGACTTCCGACAGGATGATCGCGAAGCTATAAAAATCTCCTTTTGGTGTTCCTGTCCTCCTTAAAATAGGATCACGGAGTAACTCGGGTGCTGTCCATAATAACTCTACAGATCAAGAGATAATAAATGTAATAAATGTCAATTTTGCTCCTTGACATGATGTACCAATCTAGGTAATTACTTTTGTATAGTGGGTTTTATTTCTAGAATGTTTTGATGGAGCGTGTATTAAAAACTGCAGGAGTGACGATAATTGGCATAAATTTGACAAACGTGACGTCAAAAGCGTCCCGTGTGTAGCTTCTTTCCAGACGATACTCCTAATTGTACTTGGCATACCCATTCCATCTACCACGTCTGATTTATGATAAAAACGGAATTCAGTCTGGTGTGAAATCTACACGGTGCTAATACCGTAACAAACAGGCTGGTTATCTGAATTTAGACATGACTGTGCACGTAGTATGGTGTTTGCCTGCCACTTTCTGTCCGTTCTCGACAGAGGGCGGTAGTTGTTACCTTCGGGCTCTTGCTCAATGTCCTCGCTTTGACTTTGCGTGGAAAGCATCGCCGGGATTCCGTAGTCGGTCACTTTCAGGACCCATCTGCTGTCGATGACGCAATTTGATGACGTCAGTCGGCCATGTTGCTTGATGGGACTGTTATGTAAATACCGCATTCCCTTTTGACAAAAAAAAACGAAGACAAAACCTGATGAATTCAACATTCGCACTGAGTTTCCTCTTTAAACAGATTCAGAAGTATCAACGATCTTCAATGGTTTGAAGAGATTAGGACGGAACTAAAAGTAAAGTGACTTTTTGTTGTAATACAAAACTAAATTTTGACCAATTTTGACGTCATTGATGGAAAAGTCCCATAGACCTTGAAATCAAATTAGTCAAATAAAACACATTTGAAATCAAATTTTGTTAGACAATTTGCCAAATTTCTTCAGTCATGACAGCTACGGACATTGCATCTTGCGATGGTGAGTCAACTGACAGGAACATGCGAAATGTAAGCTCGTCTACGGCTCAAGACTTCGAATAAAAAAAACCCCGTTTTTTCTACAGTGTGCTTTAAAATCAACGGACGAACGGATAGGATGAATTAATTCAAACATTAAAATCTACTCACTGAGACCAGGTCCACCAGAAGAGAAGACTTAAACGTCCAGTCCAATTTTAAGTTTTCATTGCTATAGATATCCTAACGAGAAAACAAACAGAAAAACAACACTGTGCTCAGCAAAACTGATATCTGTTATCCTTTACACACACAAAAACAATTGCGGCAGGTGTAGAGAAAAAGAAAATGGTCACATATGTCCCTGTTTTTGTGAATCAAGCTGATTAATTGATCGCCTTGGGCAGAAATTTCGTCTTCAATACATTGGTAATTTATCGAGTTAGCCCAATCAGCTGCATCGCCTTAAGCTACGCTTCACAAGGAGGGGAAAATCGGCTTGATATGAATAATTAAAAGGGCCGTGAAGCTAATGGGTTGATGAATACATTATCTGTGAGTATGATCTTTTGGAATTATATGCGCCGTGGGGGATGTTTCAGTGATCGTATTTACACAAAAACAGCATGTCAGAATTATTTTGTTAGCTCTCGAAGTAGCCGCTATAAGCAACGATGTGTAAAGGAAATCGAAACAATAAATGATCTTCTTAGTATGTTTTTATTTCTAAGATCCGGGTTTTTGCGAGTCACTTAAAAATATTACCAAATGCAACTCTTTAAATACTTCAAACGGATCGATTGAAATCTGAAAATATTTTTGGTTATGTTGTGAGACAATTTGTTAATGTTTTTTAATCTGTCCCCCCGGTAACTGCCGTGTAAGCCCAGACATTTTGTTCACAAGAAGGAAATAGTTAATCCTGGAAAGACTCTAAAAATCCAGGAATGACTAGTCCCTATAAGCCAATCAATCAGGGGTAATAATATTTCATGTTTTGGTACCTACCCTGAGACTCAACCTGGTGCAATACTCGTACACCCAGTAGTAATCCCCCGGCTCCGTGTAGCAGCCCACGAAGGGGTTGACGTTTTCATGTCGTAAATCGCGAACCTGCAAAAATACAAATCACACCAAAATCATCGGGATCCGTCGAACACTTGAGGGCGGCATATGGGGTATGTCACGTGAGCTTGCAGGGCATGCGCATGATGGCCAAGTCTTAGAATGCCAAAGATTTGAACGTCGAGTTTTTCACAGCCAACCTGTTCGTTTTAGAATCCCACATCTTCACAAAAGAGATTATGCACATGCTGTTACCGCAAACTCTACTTTACCAAGGAATGTTGCTACCGCATTTTAAGAAAAAGTCTGCCTTAAAAGATGGGTAACTTGAGATGTGGTAATTGAATAGTATGCCTTCGGCTAAGTTTTACTTCAAACTAATACTAATTTTAACAATTTCAACCATCTTGCATCTCAAATGTTTACCCTTATATCTTAAAATCTCGTGTCGAATTGGCACTTATCACAGAAATAACACTATGGCCAATTGTCCGTATTCCTCAGTTGCTATGGTACTCTTTTAAGAATGCGTTTTTTAAAGTCCCTTAACTACGTTCCTTACCCATTCAGACCGACCATATTAGTTTATATTAGCCACGAGGGGAAACTCGTATACCAAAGACGAAAAGTATACTTATCGGCCCCTGAGCGCTAGCCCGCCAAAGTGTTTGATCCTATCTGAACCGTGATGTTCTCAGAAAGTATGATGGATGAATCGCACTGTCATTCTTAATCACATCGGGTAGAAGTCAGGCGGTCTATCGAAGCCATAACTTGATGTGATAAGTCATCTACGGACACCTAGTAACCACTCCGCTTTGCCGCGGTACGGTTGCTTGGTAACTTATTAAGTTAAGACCTTAACAAAAATTGCTAGTTTATCATCTTGGTACATATATATGCCCTTTAACAGTAGCGTTTTTATAGACAATTTGTTTTATCATAATAAGTGCTCATGCAAGTCCATGTATGATACAGTTTTCATTCAGTTTGCATTAAGAAAAATGTTTGATCAAGAAAACCATTTTGTATTTATGATTTACATGGATGAGTTTTTCTCTAGAATTATTTTTTTTCCGTCTTGATTACTAAAAGTTATATAGACCCTACCTAATAATTTAGGTAGAGAGTAAATTCTGCGTAAAATGTTGACACCAAATATTATCAACACAAGTATGTCTATTCGTACATTTAATACAATCTGGTTATTCCCAAAATGTTTGCCAACTGATGGAGAATAATTATAGACATCCCTTAAAGTGAAATGACATCGTGGTTACAAGAGTTCTTCAAGAAAACAAACAAAATGGAAGTTTTCATTTGTGGTAAACGAGTCATTGTATTTCACTGGCTTCAGTCTTTGAATGTGTTCACCCTCCCTGTCCAATTATTTTAATTCATTCTCAATACAGCACGCAATGTTGAATTGAAGTGCGACCCTTCAAACTGTCCAATTTGGCTCTGAACGAGTTAACAGCAAATTCCTGGGGAAACCATCATGAATTCCATTTATTTTATGCAATGAATGAATAATCTGTTCATTTGGAAATGTCGAAACCCCCAAACAACATTTTTCTTTAGAATATTATTGATGAATTGTGTCGAATATTCTGGGGCCACTATGGAAAGAAAATTATTTTGTAGATTGTTTTGGATACTTCTCGTGGGTGAAATATTATGGCTCTTATAATTAGTCGGAGCTAAAGAAGAAAACATTTCGGTGAAACAAAAAATGCCTTCATATGTTACGCTGAAGTACCCCGAGCAGAACGAAAATAATAACGTTATTATAATCTTTCGAAACAAAAAATAGGTTGAACATTTTCATTTGCTATAGGATTCTCCAATTACCAAAGGAAGAAAGATGACAAGGAATTCGTTTAATATTGGTTTAAGAAAGCACCTTACCAGCTTCATCTGTCGAAGAAGGGAGCTTTTCATTTCGAACGAAGATTTCCTGACATTCTTGACAAAAACCAGTTCTCCCTGAGATGAAATTTAAAGAAAAGGATGCTGATGAAAATATTCAAAGGGAAGCGCGGCATCCCGCTAGTAATAATAATAATGATCATAACATTTATATCGCACCTTTTCCAAAGGTTACAAAGCGCACCAAAGACTTCTCTAATAGTCTGGGGATAAACAAACAAACAAACAAACACCCCAACAACCCAACAAACATTCACTTGAATCAAGTGAACAGGTAGGTTTTAAGTGAGGATTTAAACATATGTATTGAGGTGGAGCATCGAACTGATTGCGAGATGGAGTTCCAGATTCTTGGATCTCCCACAGTGAGGAGTGTAATATCTTTGCAGAGCGGGGAATATGTTTAAGGGTAGCATATCTCTCCAATATTGCAAGCTCTCATTTCGATTTTGCGAATGCTCCAGTGTCGGAACAAATTTATCGCGCAGTTTGTAGGTTTTTACTGTGTTTATTCATCCATAAAGAGAAAGCAAACAGCGCGTATGAGTAAAAGAAGTCTGTCTCGGTGTAATAAAGACGGCATGAACAGTCATACGGGTATCTCGGAATGGACGTGACAGTTTGTTTGGTTTGCGCACATTGCAAACCATAATTGGAAAAGAAATCACTTTTGGTCTGATGTCCAGCCGTGACAGGTCTTCTGACCTGGAAAAATGAAAGTTACCTGAGGAAAGTCTACAATTAAATTTATAACTTAAAGCATAAACAATGACCTGCTCCATTCTTGATTTACAGCCTTATTTATTTTGACAAGCGCTCTTAATATTATCAATCTGATTATTCGAAATTAAATGAGACCGACTATCGAATGCCATAAGAAACCTGAGGAATTTAATCAGACTTGAATTCACAAGTATCGCACTCAAATGAAACTGTAATTAAGATTCGAAATCAAAAGCTTGGCTCCATATCTTCGATACTCGACTCTATCGGTTAAGTACTTAGATCTTAAAAATAGAACTTGATTAATAAGAGTACACATACACTAGTTCCGAGTGATAGACTCTGAAGGAGGTCATGGATTTTAAAGGCTTCACAGTGAGAAATTTTCTTTAAAATCTAAAAATGCTGAAGAATTGCCCGAACGGTTGAAATGAGCCGTGCGCGCGTGGTCATGCATACGTTATTCGCTAATACAACTTTGAACGTAGTAACCAAAATCACGTTCGTCTCCGTGAATATAATTGAAAATGTCGAAATGGTGGAAAATATTCATCAAGGACAGGGTTTTCACGCGGAACAGAAATGTGCCCTTTCCCTTGAAAATGTTACCTCCCCATAATATATTGACAGGTTACGAATTAGCCTACGTGACTGCACATTGTAATCAAAAGTGCAGCAGCCACGAAATCTTCATCACGAGTGACAGAGAAACAGAGAGACACAATGATTACATTGTCCTAACACAGTTTGAAAGATTCTCTGACAAGTTTGAAATCTAGGCGCTAAATCTGTCTTTTGTAACCGGAAAGAAATTGCCAAGGGATGCGGACTTTGGCTAATTATAATTATGCAGAAACCGGACAATAAACTAATACCCCTTCGCGATACAGAAGCAGAGGCGTAACCACGAAAAAGGGGAAGGGGCATGGGGCCCCGCTTGAGGTCTGTGTCCTCTTGTCTCCCCCGGTATGAATATTGAGGAAGGTAAAACTGAGCTTCATAGAGTAAAACAAGTGCGAATGCACAATAATCGACGCCGATGACACATATGGAACACGATTCTTTTCGTCCATTTTCATTTCCTCCTTCTGGGTACCGCCCAACCACTACAAAAAATACCATGTGACTATAACAATTCTGCACATATCTTGCCTCCGTTTACACAATTTCAATAAATAACTTACGAATTGTTACGAACAATTTCAGAGTGCATTTACGGACGACGGCATGGCATTAGTTTTGGTCAATTTGTGTGAAATATTTTTGGTCAATTTTTCGGCAACCGACCGACTGACCGACCGACACCAAAGAGTCGTGTAGAAGCTCCGGCCAGAGCTTAAAAACCACTATAACTATAAGGGATGTAGTCTGAGTATCAGCCGTTGTCCAACGGAGCCCAATAATTATGTCTCCTTGCTGCGCAAGGGTCTGTTTCGACTATAAACTATATAGTGACTCCAACCAGAAAATGAGGCCCATAATAAGTGCCCCTATGTGGACTCCAGTTTACGCCACTGTGCAGAAATCAGACATCACAAAAACTATAGACATTCACAACTGCTCCCATTAAATTGTGAGTTATTCCTTGTCTTGACGTTTAATGGGTCGCCATGTTTGTGTGTGCGGAGTATCACCGTCTGAACAACCAATACCTAGCTCTTGAAGTGAGTACACTTGTCCAAATGGCATAGTCAATATTGATTCTCGTCAACGCGGTGCAGGTTTTCCATTCCACTAGTGTGTAAATTTCTCAACATTACACTCAGTCGCTCGGTCGAACAGGGAGCATTTTTTTTATAGACGGTATAATTCACGTGGATACCGCGAGAACACGTTTCTGTGAGATTGTATTTCTTTTGCGCGATCACGCACTGCTACCAGATCAGTCCGAGTCACGAATGAAGGCTACTGTAACTTCAGATTGTGTCACAGACAAAAAAAGTCAACCGTTCGCGCGTGATGACGTTATCATTTAGTTCAAAATAACACTAATTCTTGGTGGAATGTTTTCCTCTTATTGTCCAAACAAGATCGGGATTCTGTAAATTTCACTGATCGCTTCCCTCATCAAAATATCATTTTCATGTCATTTGGATCGTCGATATCATTAACCCTTCTCCGTATATTCAATTCGATTGTTCAACTCATGCAACTTTTCGTTCAGGTGAAACGTTGCGGAGCTGATTTGATCACGTACGTTTGTTTTCCAAGGAAAATTGTGTTTGCAAACGACAAGGCATGACTCCCAGCCGCTGGCCAGTGCTGCTGTCAATGCTTTTTGATACTAAGAGAGCACTAATACACATGTATCTGTAAAACATGTTCTTCTTGTTAAAAGAAATATCAGTTACCAAATTTAGCCCAATTCTCCGTGTTCATTTTCGACATGACAGTCAATGCTGTCAAAGGAATTAATGTATCATACGTTTTGCATGACGTGTTTTTCTCACGGTTTTTGCGATGTTTCCTTCCACTATTCTTTGCACATCTTTTCTTTGCACATCTTTTCAAATACTATTACGGGTGAATACATTTCAGCCGGAACCTCAAGCCCGCATGGACAAGATTGCAGAACAATTTCTCAATGAATTCTTGAATTACGGCGGTGCCTGATGGGTCTCAATGCAATTAGGCGAAGGAATTAGACAAAGCCATCGGAAGGGTATTAACTCCGAAGAAGCGATGGGCTACTCACATTATAACGGGCCACTTTGTACTGCTTATTGGCTTCAGTCTTTAGCGGCACCGACTCCCTTCTGTGGGCCGAGTGGACGGACCGCTCCTTCAGCGTCTGCTGGCTCCCGCGGGTCCTTCGTCCGTCCGGGATGCCCTTGGAAAATACAAATGACGTCACAATAACATCATGCCGTCTTACAAAATCTTAGAGTTTTCTACAAAATCAGGCATTAGGTAAGGAGCACGGGGATAGTGGTACAGAAGTGTGCCATTGTGGAGAACAATAATGAGACAGCAATTAAGAAGGTGCTTTATGTTCACCTCAACTATACGACAATTTAAAGATTAATGTCTGTACCTGAGATTTATTTAATTTAAATTCAATTAGTTCGAGGCAAAGTCAGTTAATTGCAGCTGAAAGCATAAAATGTCATTCCGTATAGCAGTGACAACATTTCACTTCATTTTGAAGTGATTGGTTTTCTATATGTTCACAAAATTACAAAGTGCTTTCATATAGATTCTATGTGATGTCGTTGATTTTTGATATTTAATTTAATTTGTTTGTCTGCACGTCACCAAGGTTTCTTTAAACCTGCACAGACCCTGCAGCTCGAGATCCCGATGAAATCTGGAAGGAGAAGACATTGAAGAAATGAAGAAACAGAAGAGGCAGGAAAAGTTGGAATGATAATATCCCATGGAAAATCCCATGGAAAATCCCATGGAAAATCCACGGAATCAGGAACTTCAAACCCAATCCATATGCCAGTCTGGGCAGGAACCGAACCCGGGCCATATAGGTGGAAGGCGAGGAACGTACCGCTGGACCAAAGCTTACTCAGCTACTTTCTATCCGGAATTGAATGCACATTACTCGAACAGGCCATCGCACCTCAGATTTCGATAGAGATATTTTACACTGCACTTCGAGGTGCAAGTAGCTTTCTCGCCAATGATCAGATTTCAAAAAAATACGCATTTGGAATCTTAAAAAAAAAATAACAGAAACTCTCGGGAATAACAGTAATTTAGCAGGTGGCAAAAATGTGAATAAAATAACGACGAGACAATTTGAAAAACTGTAATCTGAAGTTAACATCAACTTGAGAGTCGCTAAAGGACATCCCCAGGGATTGGAATATCAGAGGAAGATCAAAATGAAGGCAGGATATCAAAAATTAAATCTGTTTCGAGTGCCGCGGACAAGGCGATGCGGATTTCAAGCACTCAAACCAATGAAACATTAATTAGGGATGTGCTCTTTGCGAGACTAGCCGAGCAGATAAGACTGCATGCATGTGTTGATACTCCAAGGAAAACGATTAGCGCCGCTTCGGTTGATCTCGACTGCAGTTGAATGACCTGAGCATATGAGAGCTTATTACCTAGACCTGATGATGACTTCGCAATATTTTCAGTCTAAAGCCACATTTTCTTTCCTGAAGAAAGTAGCCCCAGGAAGAATGAAGCTGTTTTCCTCGCCTCCCACTGCACTGACCAGGGTTAGATTCCTACCTAGGCCAATATGTCGATTGGGTTTTCAGTCCCTACCTGATAATACCATAGGTTTTCCTCCCACGTCTAAAACCGTAATTTCTTCACATTGTCTTCTCTTTACTGGGCCCCATTATAGACCAGTGGATTCCACTGAATGGGATACCCAGTTGAAATAAGAACTTAATATAGTCTCTCCGTAGAAAGGTCAACAGCGGTTGCATCGCATTGATGTTGTCATAGTGAGCGACTGTAAAGTCGTGCTGAATTATTTGACAGACACATTAATAAGCAATATGAAATTTGAATTTCAGACATAAAACTTTTAAATTTGTTTACTCAGAGATTTTTCTTTATAAATTAAATTGCTGAATCAGTTGATTTTTTTTTAGTAACTCAACTGCACTCGGTGAAGTATTTGCACATATTTCATGAATACTACATGTATATGTGGCTTGCCCATGCATTTAAAGAGTTATTCATACTGGAGGTTGTGACAAAGCATGAATTTGCCGAATATAAGTTCTACAGCTCATGTCGCCGTCGGCGAAATGTCCGATGAGAAGAAATTTATCCTCACGCATGCCCCCCCTTTTACATTGCAATGTCACCCCCGCCTCTTTTCATGTTCACTCATGACGCACACTGTCAGTTTGGCTAGATCAGTCGCCTTCATGTTTGCTATTTTCTGTCCTGGTTGTCAATAGAAAAGCATCGAATCAATCATTTTATGGACAAATCATTGCCAATGGGGCTCACCACTTGTCATTTTGTCCAATATTGAATTTCAGGCTGGAGCATGTTCGGTCACATTCAGATTGATTTTGTGAGGCGGAAACACACGCAACATTCTGCACATTGATTGCTATACGAAAACCTGTGAGTGCTGTGAATATGAATTCCAAAAAATAAAAAATATTTCTTCAAAGAATTACTGGCAATGACACTTAGAGAAACTCTGCGGCGAATTGAGCATTACGATTTTAAACATAAAAGCTCTTTATAATACCTAGTAAAAAATACCAACTTTACAGGGTGAGTCAAAGAAAGTGACCGAATATATTTTTTTGTTTAAATATCTGGTTCGCTCCATTTTATAAAAATAACATAGGGATAAAGTACGTTTTATTGACTAGAAACTGTGAAAATTGCACGTAATTTGCATACTCCATTCCCAAGTTATGTCTATTTTTTTTTAAAAGATCACAAACTTCAGCTGTCCACCACTGATCCTTGTTCTACGAAATGAAGAATACCATTACATACAATGAAACATGGACGTTTTCCCACCTCCATGAACAAACGAAAACGTGCAAAGCGGGAAAACAGACAAAAATCGCCATTTGAATATTTCAGAGAAAAAAAAGAGTTGACTTGTTCCTCATATTAAAACACAAAGTCAAACGGGAAAAACAATGTTTCAGTCTCGACTCAAATGATTTAAATCTCATTTGTATTGAAAAAAATGTCTGTCTGTAATCTGTAATTTTCACTCAGCTCCATAGCTTGCAATGACATTCCACAGATAGCTATGGCATCAGCTAGTAAATCTGTTAGTAACATGCATAACTTCTGATAGCATGGATCATTTCAGTAATTTTTTTTTTTCCAGATGAGCGGAAGAATATGCACCTTTAAGACATTCTCATCAGTGTATCAAATTTGATTGGTTTTAAGAAAAGAAAACATTACTCCAGTTCACTCTCTTTTTGACTCACCCTGTATTTACTCTTTATTTTCTTTACCCTTGCTCTTTTACTTACATGTAAGCTTCCGAACTCTCCAGGAGACCTCTCAAACATCAGGTCTCCGTCCGTCATGAGGACCTTGTTCAAACCACTTGCCATTTCCTTCTTCAACATTCTCCTCCTACAAGAACAAAATAGAACCAATGTGATTGGATGATTGTTTGATTGACTGATTTACTGACTGGTTGGTTATTAGAACTGCCAATCCAACATGACTTGTGCACAAATCACCCAGCGTTCTTTCAAAACCACTAATTATCTCGACTGAATTAACATAGGAGTTCAAATCGAAGAGCAGTTCAAATGGATGTAGAAAAACCGGAAGTAACTTACCTGACTATAATAAAGAACGCTATGGCGACACTTATTGCCAGACAAACGCCTACGGCGCCACCTACGCCAGCTATTATCGTGGACACCACTGGGCCTTCAAAAACAAAAGACAGGAATAAGCGTCGACAATTTGGGCGTAAATGTATTTTTATTCTTTACACATTCCTGAAACAAAAGTAAAGCATGTGGAGAGTCGTTAGTGGAATTGGTTCTTAAAACTTTCCTTGGAGGTGTGGCCTTGATTCTCGATTGACTTCCACTGTGAAGTTTGCACGCAACCGCGGGGCTTGCTGGGATACATAGACTGGTTCCAGCATGATAGATTCACATATGGAGACACTATTACAATGACTTGATTCTAGATCATAGATCAGAGACTTGGAACGGCCATTACGCCAATTGAAAACACACTTCGATTCTACTTACCGTCAGGGACGCTTGTCGGGCAGACAGTCCCGTCCAAGATGCACTGTTCATCCGGGTCTAGGACAGCGCCACCGGGCCACTCGATTTCACTCCCCGTCCATTCCTGGACCACATATCGGCCTGAAGCTGTCCCATCATTTTGGTCAAAGACCCGTTCTATAGTCCTTACTACCCCAAATCTCTGAGAATCCCTCTTGTAGTCCAGCAGAACGAAATCAAAAAGCCGAGCGCCCTCAGCGTCGATGGTGACGTTACCCGAGATGCCCTCGAAGGTGAGATTGCGCATAGCGGTCCAAACAGCCGTCGGGGACGGCTTGACGGTCGCCCATGTCGACCCGACGGCTATTGCATAGAGATACACGGAGTCGTAAACGTAACCGAACAGCGTGGAAACCTGCAGGCAAAGTTGTTAGACGCTTATTAATTGCCTCATCGAACTTTGTCTTTGCCACTTCCCAAACGAGCTTTTTTAAAATTGTATTAATAAGCATTGTTAAATGACGTCACTTACCTGATGACCTTTGACCTTGCTAGCAAACGGCTCCTCTTCCAATATCTTGTAAAACCTGTCCATTCCCTCTCCGTACTGCGCGCCAAGGCCACCTGGTTGCACAGTCAATACAAATGCGGCCTCGTAAGCCGCACTCAGCTGGTCCAGACCGGTCCGATCCGGTCTGAACCAGTCCTTGGTATCCAGCCGAACTCCGAAGAGGGTGCTGACTAGGAAAAAGGCGAAGCTGCCCGCGGTCATCCCGAGGTCTGACGCGGCTAGTAGAAGGTTGTTTTGGTCTTCACTCCCCAGCGCTGGTGAAGGCATGCATAGGATTATTGCTAAATTCGTAGACAAAAATATAAATTAAAGAAAAAGAAATAACATCAGAATGATAAATCCATAAAAAAAACGCTCACACACTCCTTAATGGTAAACCCCTTGCTTCTGACTCCACAGCTGTGGGCACGTCTTTGTTTATATGTGAAACTCAGGAGTGGACAGTTTGCAATTTCATTGTTGTCACTGAATTCGAATAACAAACACTAACCTCAGAGAGGGCGCACCGTGCAAGCGATCTGTTTAACGCATAGATAATTTAATGAAAAACAATTGGTGAGGATGTTTGTTTGTGGGTTTTCTCTTTACTGTTTCCATTGACATTTACACACACACACAAACAGTTTCCGATTAAAATAAACTGAGCATCTGGCGCGTACACTACTACAGTCCAAAGGATCAACCTAAGGTATGGAATTGTTTCAGCGACCGGATTTCAGCCATCGAGTTATCTTATGAGGAGGGAGTATTATTGTTGTCTTGTTCAGATGAGCACGCAAATGACCATCATCTGTGGGCTGGCGACCGGTAATTGCAAACCGTGGTTCCTGCTTGTGTACCAATTAAGACAATGATATCGCGGGAAAAAAAGACGAGGTGGATTTCTCACAAATTTAATAAATATCGTGCCAGCAACAAACTGGAAATGTCATCACATCCGTCACTCTACTAAACCAATTATTACCAATGCCCTGAAATTATGAAGGGAGGGGGCTGATTTTAATTTGCAAAAACAGCACATATCAAGACATTCAGTTTTATAATCGTATGGAGTGGGGGATGAGTAGGGCGGAGCTTAATAATGGAGAGGGAGGAGGCTGTTGACATCTTCTTCTGAGCTGGGTCGATTTTAACTTGTCACACTGCTGAACAGCAATAACATTTTGATTGGTGGTAGTTGCTATTTGTACGAATTATCAAGGGAAGTAGAGGAAGATACAGCTAACCAAAGTAGTATCTGACCTCCCTAAAGATAAGTCAAATTTAGTTATTCATGCTTCTAAAACTATTTATTGCACTCACAAGTAATTATTGTTTTTTTTTTATTGGTTCAGGATCAAAAACATGCACAAATGCGATCGAGTAAAAAAACAATTTTTTTTTTTACAAGAGAACCAAATATTTAACTTGGATTTTATTTTGGCCTCTTCTCGTTCTTTCTCATGAGTTTGTCTGTCTGAGCACATTTTTCAAATCTGTCTGTTCTCGTGCATAAGGCGTGTTGGTTTGTCTCTTTGCAGTGCGTCTACCCATAATGCCATCTGCCTGCACACAATTTCAATGGCTTTCAAGGGCTGGTCTTTCTCGAAGTAACACCCCGATAACCGACATTTTGAGTGTGAGTTAATAATTATCCACTAATGCATTTTGTTGTTTTTGGAGAACCTCGTAAAAACACGTCTAATACTTCCTATAGAAAAGTACAGACCAAATCATCTTAAATAAGAAAAAGCTATAAAAGATGTGTATCTTCTGGGATTTTGTTGAATTTCATTAGTCACTATTATGAAAAGATGATGTGTTTGGTGCCCGTACATTTTCCTTGACATCCGTGACGGTTGTAGAAACATTGTCCTCCATGAACTTGCATTGCCTCCGGCGAGCAGTCAATGTCTTGCAGATAGACATCTTCAAGATGAATCCAAATGAAAGGAATCGGCATTGTCTTTCTCAACAACTTCGAGAACAATCACCATCGATTATTATGACAAGTCGAAGAACGGAAACGCGAGAGTTTAAGTACAATGCCTCACAGCGGCACTATTACAGAAAATGTTTTCATTGTGATGACAAAGCTAGATATTTTTCTACGTTCGACCATTATGGCAGATTGTTTGCCCAGGATTGTCGGTTTTGTGGCGCATTATTAGCGGTGGGCACTGCAATAAAAGCCAATTAAATCACAGAAGTGCAGAAGCAAGCACATATTCATATTCCAGAGAATGAGTTTATTTTGGCTCGGTCTTTTTCGCCAGTATCTCGCTTCGGCTGCTTTCTTCGTCTACGCCGAGAAAAGGAAAAGACGTTGAATCAATGTTGAAAGAAAGACTTCAAGAATGATGATTTTTCAAAACGTCGACAGGAAATTCACTCATCACTTATCGATAGCGGATGGAAATGGCTTCTTTAATAGCGCATTGAAAATGTGCTTCCTGATGTAGGCCTTTTTAATTATACATCTTTGATAAGGAAAGATATTTTCCATGCCAGGAACCACATTTGGTGCCTCTTTAATGAAATTTAACGCTTTACAAATGAAACGAGAACTCTGCGAGTTTTTTTTTTAACTTTCAAGATGACATTCACGATCCAGACAATACAATCAAATGTTAATTTATCACATTACCGTGACCACAACATTTTTCATTGTCAAACCGATCTCAAAATCAGAACCCTTAATAAAAAATAGTTGCTGATCCTTCAACGAAATATCTTTAGTGGGCAAAATCTGTATCTCATGACGTCATATGACCTAAAATTTGGTATTGTTTTGTTATTGCCCCATACATTTTGACACATTTCAGAAACGGGAAATTCCCCCTTATCGTCAGGTCACCAATTTTCACTGGAAAAGAATCTGATTGATAAAGTCTTGATTTAATGAATCAAAACATATACAAGAAAATAATCCTGCAGCCACTTGATAATCTAATAATGTACACTGGGAAGTCAAACAACTGCTGTTCCAATACGATTGATACAAATTCTTAATTTACAGCCTGAAAAAATATTGCATCTCTGCGGATTCATACTTGTAATATGTATCTGTGCCGCGAAGCACTTGTGAACATCTTGCCGGTTACTCGGCAACATATGAGGTACTCAGATACTGCACCAAAGCAACCTCGCAATGTGTCGCCTGAGCAGGACAAGTTTGTTGTCTTTGTAATCAGTCTTGAAGTCAAAGTACATCTTGTATAAAAAAAATAACAAATGGAGGTGAATTGCAGGGGTTTTATTCACCCGATGTTTGCTGGGCCAAGTGGTAACGCAAAGCATCGCAAACTACTCTCGCTAGATGTTTGTCTTGTTTTCTTACCCATTGCAAATTTCTTGGCCAAACTACTTGACGAAGTTATGTTCTGAGAACATAACTGGTAGCTGGTAAACTTGTTTTTTTTTCTAAACAAGATTTTTTTGTTGTAAGCTCATTGAAATTATCCCTGAATCCTTCTTATATCGTCATTGTTTTTTTTTTTAAATAATTTAAGTACCACTTTCCATATATGCGTCAAGACATAGCAATTTAGTGGGTCGCGATGACAACACACGATGCGTCTATCAAGGAATCGAATACGAGTAAGGGCGGTAAGTTTTTTTTAAAGACATCATAATCACAAAATTGTAAATGTAATCGACTCCCTTTTACGAGCCACAAGTACGTCTCCCGTGATTTCTAACATTTCCAGAACGTCTGGATCTAAGCATCGGTGGTCAAGATAATGCCATTACAGGGAGCAATGGCTCCTATAATAGGTGCTTGATGCATCGCCGAGGGCATTGACACTGGAGTGATCACTCAATGTTTTACTGATCAAAGACGTCTAATTGAGGGTGATGAAGCGCCATCGACAAGACATCACCTAATGAGATTACACTCATGTGAGTTTGCGTGTTGCTTTTCCCGCGTTTTTTTCCCCGCGCGTTTTCCCCTGCTTTTAAAGTGCGCGGCGAATCAAAATGCCTCATCAGGTTGAGATGAGAAGTGTGTGCACGCATGAAATGGAAGACGCGATGCATGAACGTAAGGCAAAATCACTTCAACTGAACTCAACCGAAGTCATGTATCATTGGCAGTCTCTCGTTCCATCAAATACTAATCTGATTAGTCGCAGGGCCCTTAGTCGCAGACGCATTGATAATGTTTGTCTTCGTGACTAGGTCAGTGTTTGTTTGTCTGTGTTCGTCCTGGAATCTGTCTATGGTAAGCCTATGTCCGTAATATGTTAACATCGGTTCCTCTTACTATTTCTTTTCGCTTGTGCATGACAAGAATTCATGTCTCCGCCTAGAGAAAGAGTAAATCCTTCATTATCGACTACCGTTGACTTTTTTTTTCAAGACAAACTTAATAGAGAAATTCGCATTCAAAACAAATCTCTTCATTTAAAAATCTTCCATATTTCCATTCTATCGGCCAACTCTGTTCAATGGTAATTGATGACATTTGCAACAAAACTTCAGGCCTTTGCATTATTTTAACAATGACATCGCAGGAAAATTTCTCCACCAACTTTTTATTTTAACGCGGAGGAGGAAACAGTAATCACAAACCAATGTTTACGTCAACGGAATCAAGCCAAGCCAACGAGGTCATCTGTATTATTTTGGGAAAAAAGGGTATTCACTTAAGGATAACTCCAGCGGAAGTTGATCAACAATCTAACGAGGACATCGAATAGAGATCAGGTGGTCGAGGACCTAATGAACAAACCTTGGCAATTATTAAAGACAAATTTAATACAAACCCGGGAGAAAATGAAATGTCAAAGGTTATCGGTATTCATAACAACAACCAAGCAGCTGTGACCGACTTGAAAGGAAGAGGATATAATGCAGTCAAAGACAGAAATTTGAATCACAAGTCTTTAATATAAATAAACACTTGAGGGCTCTCGAGTGACAAGGCTCACAAACTCTTGAGGGCGCTTTTCCCTTCCCATTTTAAAATGTCGGCTGCCAGCGGTTACTGGTACTCGATATAACGACCAAGCAGCTCTGACTGACTTAGAAGAAAGAGGATGGTAGCCATGACGGGAATTTAAATCAAAAGATTTGCATGTAAACTCTTGAGGGCGCTCGAGCAACAAGGCTCGTAAACTTTTGAGGGCGCTGTTATTTTCAAAATTCAAATTTCGGAAGCAGCGCGCTCCATGACATTGTTGGTTTTCTTTACTTGTTTTGCTTTTTGTCGGGGTTGTGGGGTGGGGCGGGGTTGGAGGGGATGGGGGGGGTCCCCCTTTCGTCCCGGCAACGCCA